GATGATAAAGTTCTTGGGCAGGTGAATGAACGAGTAGTAAGAAATATTTCTCTTGGGTTTTGTTTAAAATATTGCAGGAATAATCACTTTTGTCGATCAATTGTCGAATGTATGGAATATGCAATCGTTGATGAGTAATTCGAGCATTGATCACAATAAGAAGAACTTTCTTTTCTTTATCGTTTTCAAACTTTTGAAATCGTTCTTCTAACTTCACTGAATTTTCAATTACAACCTACAAAAGACAAAGAATTAAACGTTTAAAACTAGGGGTGGCACTTTAACTTTAAAGAAAAAGTTAAAGTATAAAGTTGCTTAAAAACATAAAATAAAGAAGTTTAACGCGACTTTAAAGAACTTTATACTTTAACTTTTTCTTTAAAGTTAAAGTTAAAGTGCCACCCCTATTTAAAACTGTGTTCCACATGGACAAAAACGACTTACCAAATTGAGTATATCAATATGATTGAAATTATCAGTATATTCATTGATATTTAAATCGCCAAATACTTCATGACTTGCCTGATCACGAAGTCCAACAACATAGGACGATGTGCGTGTGAATATCATTACTTTTCGAGTGATTTTTGAGCCGTTCGTTACTGGTATTTGTGCATTAGTTGTTATTGCTAGTAGATCATCATTCGGAAGGGATAGAGATGGATTTGAAAGGAGCTGTCGAATGAAGTTTCCGACGTGAAAATGTTCTTGTTGGTGAAAATAATTGATGCATAGTAATCGTGCAAGTTTATCTTCAAAACTACGGTGGACAAAATTCATAGTACACTTTTTATTTTTATCTAAAACATAAAGTTTATCGCTAGAAGAAGTTTTCTCGGATATATATTAATCGCAAAAATATAGATATTTATTCCCTCTACTGAAAGGAGGGTAGTGCGTCGAGCTGATATCACCGAAAAAACGAGTTGATGTTCGTTCGTTTGTTCGTTCGTTCGTCCGTTCATTCATTTTTCTTCCAATATTACCTAATACTAGCTCATAGTAGTAAGGGTTGACTGAAGGGTAATCGGGGTCAAGGATCTCGAATCCGGTGTTAGTTTCTCGAAATTCCAATTAACTAATTAGCTAATTAAGTAATGAAAATTTTTTTGTTGCCGAGTAAGGGTTAACCGAAGGGTAATCGGGGTCGAGGATCTCGAATCCAGTGTTAGTTTTTTCATGAACACTTTCTGGCCAGTTTTTTTTGCGACAAAGGATCAATTTTTAGACGATAACGTTTTAAGCGGCAATATGTAGAGCAAAAAAAGTAATAGCTGACTGACGTCCGATCGCTGGATCTCCATAGTCATCAGCATATTACCGAGATCACACACTTTTATAAACATCTATACTATACGAATATCATCTGACGCCAGTCATTCAAAATACTGTTTCGCTTGTCAGGTGTTGTCTTCGACAGTCACAGTAGCACAAAGAGGGTGACTTTTAAAGAAGGAATAGAGGAGAATGAATGAATTAGTTTCAAAAGTGACTCTAGACTAAATGGAAGAGTGAAAATGTTCATGTAACGGCTAGCCGCGAGTGGCCGACCGGAGGGAGGCCGACGAGCGACTAGTCGTCGATTTGCAGAATAACATTTTTAAGAACAAACTTTGTGATTTTTATAGAGCTTTAAGATTTCTTGGTCAGAAATTAATCGTTGCTCTGCACGAACATAGGTGGCAGCTATTTAAGGTTCCTCTTGGTGGAGAGAAGATTGAAACCTTTTCCAGAGAATCATATAGCTATGTACAGCTTCTAAGTTTTTGATTTTCCGAAATGTGCTCATTTGCAGAACGCGTCTTAGTCCGAATGAAGTTAAGATAGTAAAATGAGCACGCATGGGAACAGCTAGCCGTGAGTGGCCGACTGAAGGGAGGCCGACGAACGACTAGTTGTTTCTTTTGAAAATTAGTTGAAAAGTGAGATTTATAAAACTGTCCCATAGTGACCATAATTTTTCTAAGGTATATAGTATATATATAACGTCTTTTCGAGCTGCGAGAAAAAATATGTAGATCACTGTAACGACAAACTGGTTGAGTAGCTGACCGCTTCTCACGGTATCGATGTTTATTGACTACTCTACATGACCAGAATGTATCTTTTTCACAATAAGACACGCGCTTATATAGAGAAGAGGAAAAAGAGATATGACCCGGAGATAGTATGATATAGAGGTGAGAGGATAAAGAACAGAAAGAAATGAACGATATCATTATCGTTACAATCACCAACTCATTCAACTAAAAATCATGATAAAGGATATACTGTAGGTCACGAAGTTGTGAAGAATTTCGGCAACCTTGCTAGAGACGGACTCAACAAGAATGAGGTACTTTTTAATATGAAAATATCATTAAACACTTATTAGGTACCAACGGCTAGTGGTGAGTGGTTGACCGGGGAGAGGCCGACAAACGACTAGGCGTTATAATTTCAGAAGATTTCAGGAAGCGAAATTGGTCTACGTAAAACATTCTGACAAATTATCAAATGATCAGATCGTTCAACTGAAATAACATTTTTCTCTCTTTGGATGAATAGTGGCGCTCTAATACTATCCTTTCAGTAGAGGCTTTAGCGGCTACTAGGTCGCGTTACTTGTACTACAAATAAAATCTAATACGAAGATACAAACTGTTGATATATCTTTTGAGTCTTTTTAATACAAGATTGAACAACATTTAATGATAAACTGTAAATAGCTTGATCAACAGTATTCTCCCATTCATTTTGTGATTTTGGATTTTTCTTCTTAACTTGTTGTTTGATAATGTTCCAGATTAGTTCGATTGCATTAAAATCAGGACCATATTTTTGTGAATTCAGAAAGAATTCAAATAGACCATTGTATGCAATAATTACGCTGGATGGAGCCACTGATGTGGTAAATCCTAAATAGTATATACACAAATACAGCAGGTCTAAAACAATTAAAAACTGATAATCTGATATATGAACTGTACTGAAATAGGCAATAAACACAAAATAATATATGCGAGAAAACTTTTTTTAGCGATAAACTCTATGTTTTAGAAGAAAATAAAAAGTGTATTATTAATTTTGTCCACCGTAGAATGGTTAATTGAGAATAATGTTGATGTGTATTTAGAAAATAACTTTGATCAGTTTCGTTTTGCTTCATCAATGACAATAAACACGAATAGAGAGTATTTTCATTCAAACCATAGAAATATTGATTACCGAAATGTTGAATAAATGTTTGAAGTTTTTCTTCAATGTTTTTCATTATTGTTCGATCATTGATCGAGAGTTGATCGAATTGGATTTGATAGAAATCACGAACACTTAACGAATATTTTTGAAAACGACTTAGAAACGGTGCTGGGATTTCTTTGAATTCGCTTCGTTTAATATGAACAATACACTGAAAATCTTCATGAACAACCACATCAATCGTTTTCGGACCAATGGCCACTTTCGAAAAGATTTTTCTCATATCACCGGTTGCCATAATCGAAAAATTTTGATTGAAAACATCATACAAGGATCCATGAATTCGTCCTGTATTGACCATCAGTATCGTTTTTCCTGTCTCCATACACAATTTAATAGTTGATAAGATTTCCACATTTCGTAGTTCATTATCTATGTCATCAGGAAAGTCGGACATACGAAAGACAGTTGTTCGATTAGGATCGAGATTAAGAATTCCGCTTTGGGAAAGTAAACGAACAGCACTTTCATCTTCTGATTCATCAATGATCAATTTGTATCGTCCATAAAGACGACGTCGAACAGAGTCAAGTTTCATGGATTCACCTAAGATTCTTGGAACATTACGACGATGTATAGGTATTTTAAAATTAGGATATTGTTCTTGAACAGCTTTAAAAAAGATCTCAACCAATCTTTCGAATTCAGTTTGTGATATTCCATTAAAATTATCTTCCAATGCTCGTAAAAGACTCACTGGTGTTATTCCTGCAAAACGAATTTCCTGATCGACATCATTTGTTGTTGGTGTTAATTCAAATCGTAATTCACGTAGCATATAAATAAAATCACGATCGTGATAAATATGAGGAATATCTGGTGCGATCAACACTCGTCGATATCCTTGACAAAGACCATAAATAATCTTTTGAAGATAATCATCTGCAACGGGTTGATTATGATCAGTTTGAAGACCAAGACAACCGTATGCTAAAATCTTCTGATCGTCTTTTGATGGTAATGAACGATAAACACAAATCATTCGATTTGCATTCGCTGCATCAAAAGCTCGATTTGCAACAGCAACAAAGGCGACTTTACATTCATCGAGATAAGGATGCAAAACTTTCAAGACCATTTTCTTCTCATCCGGCAATGAAGCTTCATCGAGAAATACGACCTAAAAATCAAAGATTATTTCATAACAAGAAAACACTCTGATTTCAACGAACTTACGCATCGTGTGTTCATTCGATTTTGTTCATAATGTTGTTCACGTTTGATGGCTCGTTCGAATATGTAGGCAATATCTTCCGAACGACTATATTTCGATCCGAGGCAAAAGAAAGGGTCAATAGCTGGTAAACGCTTACAAAATGGTTTCACTGATAGTTGTGAACCTTGGAGGTTTTGCAAAACAATTTGAAATGACAGAGTTTTCGATTGACCGGGTGCACCAATAATGCACAATGGTGTTCGAGTAACAACACTAACGACAATTGAGAATATATGTTCACGAACCTTTCAAATGAAAACAATGAAATCATTCAGATTAAATACGAATTGGTGTATACTTACAGCTTGATTGATAGCAACACCATGTGGAATGACGAAATTGTCGGTATTAACGAATTTATGTAGTTCAGATTTAATAACATCAACAAAATCAGGTATTGTACGAGAAAGAATTTCAGCAAGTTGTTCTCGTGGTGGTGTCTCGTAATTTTTCCGTTGTTCATTATCTTCGATGGTTGGAAGACGAAAATAATAAATTAAAGCTAATGCCAATGCAATACATCGAATAGGATTTGGTTGATACATGTCACCAGCTATATCCACTTCGTCATCAAATCGAATCTTCCAAAAGAAATCGATCAGATTGAAACAGCGTTGAATTTCTCGCTGAGAAACCGAATTTTTTCCTAAATATTCTTCGCAAAATGCTTGTGCATTCAAAATTGATTCCGATAACATTTCTTGCGCATATTCTTCTAAAGGCATTTCCAATCTTTGATTCACGTTGGTATTTCCGTGAAGTATTTGAATCTTTTTCTTAATATAACTTCTCAACGATGTTTGTTCCAATGCTCCATAACACACTTTGAGATTTTCCAATGCTTGCGGCAATTGATGAACAAGATAATCTCGCCGATGAATACCAGAATCAGGACTTGGTTCAATTGATGGATTGATTGCAGCGGTGAAAAAGAGATTTTCTGGCAGATCTTTACCGTGCAATGTCCGGTCAATAAACATTTCTTTGAAAAGACCAAGACATGATGCTGTGTTGACCTCGTCAAAGAATACGACGAACTCCATATCGGATAATTCGCGTGCTAATTGACAGATTGGGAACATAAATTGTTCGAGTTGTTCTTCGGTCACACCAGGATGTAATAATAAACGATAGAAAAGCGGTTTAATTTGACTATACATCAAATATTCATTAAAGATTCCGATGGATACGTGTACTGCTGATGACCGGGCTTCATGAAGTAATGTTTGAAGACGAAAGCTTGGCTCAATCAAGGGGAAAAAAGTTAATTGAGAAGTGACATATTCGTATAAAGCGGAGGTTAAGCTTTGTACAATATTCATAGCGTTTTCACTTGCAATCGTGATAAGTGTTTTCCACAGATATCGTAACATATCATTGTTATATTCATAATTTAGTAAGGACTTCTTTATTTCTTCTAATAATGGAAGATCAACAATTACTCCTTGTTGAACAAGCGCTGGTTCAGCTTGAGGAGCCGCTAAAGGAGCAATAATCGGTTGTGGTGCGCGATTCTGATTAAATGGATCCTCTTGTTCGTCATCAACTAGTTGAAGACGATGACGGTACATGTTCGCCAGCTGATCTTCTTCATCATTATCATCAACAGTTTCATCATCATCGGTGCCCATCAGTTTCGGTTTAATTTTTTCTAGAAATGAATTCATCAAATTCACCTCCTTTTCGAATATTTCTGACAAGACTGTTGTTACAAACCATAAACTAAGTCTTTCACGTATTCTTGGTGCAACATCATCGTTTACTGGAGCATTGAGTATTTTTGCATTTAACAACAACGAGTAGAATTTCAAAAGAAACGTCTTTCCAACGCCAGTATCACCTTCAATAATTAACGATAATTTTGTTAACTTTCGCTCATGAACATGAAATAATTTATACGCAAAGTTTTCAGTTAAAATAAATTTCATCTCACTCATTATTTGAATGAAATCTTCATATTTAATATCAATCAACCATGATAAGCATTTCGCATAGTAATCTTTCTGTTGAAATTCAGGGCTCAACGAAGGATTTTGTTCGTTAAATAGCTGTTTGATTCCTCTTGGAACATTGTTCCAGTCATCATGCAATAAATATAAAGAAAAGGCTGGGTCATAAACAAGATAAATACGAGGATAATTTGTATGACGAAAATCGATTTGTGAAAGTGATCGAGCTTCTTGAATCATTTGTTTTAGAGCCGTTGAACCAAGATTTCTTTTTGATGTATTAAACCGATAGTAAAAACCAGTAAAAAATTTTACTCTTCGGTGTAAAAATTTTGTAAATGAAAGTTCCGAGATTTTGTTTTTTGGCAATTCAGGAGCATACTCTTTGATACATTCATGAATCAAAGTACGACATTCATCAGGATTCGTTAATTTGTCAAAATCAACTGGTTGTTCATCATTTGTTAGTGTGATGATCAATTCGCGATCGATTGTTCCGTTTTTGTAAGCTTTTAGAAATCGTGCGACAAGCTCTTCTTCTTCGCCAATAAATAATTGATAGTTCCTTTCGGTAATTTCTTCGAAAGTGTACGAAGAAATAATAGACAATATCGGTAAAATTTGATTAAAGTTCTCTTTGATTGTCATTTTGTACTTATCCGTATAAGGAATTTCAATGTAAAATTTCCATTGTTTATCTTTAGGTAATGAAAATGTTAAACCTGTTGTACTATCAGTTAACGTTCTGCTGATAAATAAGGAGAGAAGAGTACGATTCAATTGCTCAAATGGTGCATGAATGGATACATTGAATGAGACAGATGGATCAGTATTTACTAGCTTTGAATCATAGGAAAGAAATGAAGTGATTAACGTGGATAGATTTAATGTATCGTTGATACTGAAACAAGATGTTTCAGGAGTTTTGTATTTTGTATTAATCAGATGAGTTTTTCCTATGAAAAAGAGGAAGAATCTTTAAGCAAAAAGTAATCTTTTGACTTACCAATTCCAGCGATTCCGCAGATGATTTGAATTTGTGGTTGAATCCAGTTATTTTGCTCAAACAGTCGTGTTATTTGTGAATGTGTATGGTGTGGTTGACGAAACTTTGGTGGAATATGAAAGAATCTTAATCCTTTTCGACTTGTTGTCAATTCATTTGAAAAATAATAAACAGTTCCATGTGTTTGCTCTTGTTTTGTTAATTCATCTTGTTCGTTCAAAAGAATTTCACGAAGACGATGATGCATTTGATCAATATTNATTTTTTCATAATTCCAATAATCAATGTACATTCAGATGCAGTTTTAATTAGTTGCAAATGTTGACCTTGAAGATTTTGAAATTGTTTCTTTAAGGTATTGTACGCCTGAGTTATTTCTTTCAGTGAACAATTTTCATCACGCAAACGTTTTAAATGATTAATAAAATCATCATCATCATCAGCTGATAGGATATCAAATTGTTCGATACAATTAAGAATAATATTAATATGACTATAATATTGATAAATTTGAAGCCATTCACAAACTTGTTCAATTTCCTTATCTGTTGGATTGGCTACAATAACTGTTGATGAACGTTGTCGATGTGTACCATTGTTCGATGAACGATTCATAAAAAGTTTTTGAACTTCTTCTCGAATATGAATATTCTTATCACAGAATACTAATTTCAAATCGGTCATATCTCTCAGACTAACACTTCCATCAAGAACACTATCGATAAATTGGAAAACTTTATCGAGTAATTGACTGATTTCTTTTTCTTTAACCGGACCATTGAAATGTTTATTAAATGCTTCATAAAACATATTGAATATTCCATTGAATAAATGACACGTTGACAGTGAAGTTTGAATAATTCGATACCAAACAGTTCGCGGATTGTGAAGCTTTTCATTGTCAATTGTTATGACCAATTGACCAGCTCGTTGTGTTTCAAATTCTCCTTGTAAAACATATTTTTCAATAGTGACGTTCTTCTTCGTATATAACAATTCGTTGTCATCTTGTACTTCTGCTAAGCTATATTGAATTTGAATATCGCATGGAAATTTATCACTGGCTATTGACCATTGAACATGTTGACGATCTTGAATAGGAAATGTCTTTGAGATCTTCGTCTTTGCAGGTATATGAAACGAATTATTAGGTTGTAGTCGTTTTAAATCACGAATGTAATTTACTGAATCCATACGAGTATTTAATTCACCGGCATCGATCATTTGAAATGAAGTTAAACAATTAAATAAATGACAAAGTCGTCGAAGATCGTTAAATGGTTGAAAAAGTTTTAAAATTCGTTCAACGATTGTTTTCATTTGGATAACGGTTGTTGAGGAATTATCTTTGGCATTATGAATATCTCGAAGTAATGGAGCAGCTCCATCAACATTCAAATTCTTAAGCCATTCAATAATATATAAGGAAATTGTAAGAAATCTATCAAACCATTGTAACCATTCATTCACTTGTTCAAGAAATCTTTTAAAATATTCTTCTTTCGATTCAGTTAATGTAATGTTGATGTCTTTGGGGATAAATGAAATGAACAGTTCAGTTTTTCGAGATGACAAAGGAAATTCATATTGCTGTAGATTGTTATCAGCGAATATTTGCTGAATATCTGTTTTAGAAAGGAAGAAGTACGCAATTGTAGAATTATGCAAATCACGATATGTCGAACAGGACTCTGCAAAATGAAAAATAGTAGGTAAAGTGTGTATGTTTTGAGAAATAAACAAACCTCGTAGAAGTAAAATTTTTTCAATTGATTTTTGTCCATTTGCTATAAATTCATCGACTTGTTTTGCATCGATTTCATATGTTTGTTCTTGTCGAATATTTTCAACGAAATTGAGTATGACTTCAATGTTTGGAAGAGATAAAACTGATTTGGCGTATTTAACAATAAGCATTTCGAATAAATTAATAACTAAAAGGATTGTTAATGTATCCGATTTGTCATAAGCATCATGTTTAACTACTTTCATCCACTCATTTAGTTTATACAGCACATCATTTGCATTGTCCTGCTTAGATCGAAGAATACTTAAATGTATAATTCTCTTCCATATATAAATTGCCCATCGGTTATTGTGGTGATGCTCGCAGAATGAGTGATAAATATTTGAGTTCACATTAAACAGAAAATCATCGGCAACAAGCAAAAGAAGTTCTTCCAACCATTCGTCTTTAATGATGGATGCCGGATCATTTCTCTCACACAGATCTTGATCGAAATCATTTAGGTTTCGAAAAAGATCAATAATTTTCTGAACCCTATTCAATCGAGCATCCATCCGAAATAACAAGTGATAAACAATGAGTGAACAACTTGGTTGGTGTAAATCATTTGTTGCTGACATTTCGAGACCAATCGATAAAAATTCCTTGAGACGCACTCGAGTAAACAGGCGGGAGTGTCGTTCATTGTTTAGCTGATATTCGATAAATGTTTCGAATATTTTTTCGTATATCTGTAGAAAACGTGGACGATTTTCAGCAGTAGTTTCCTTCCTACAATGGCGAGCGCTTTGTGTGTAATACAAGAAACTTTCGATCGATGCATTCATAGTATGGGTACGTATTCTGGAAGTCAGATGCTTCTGATTGACATCATTTAGTTCACAATGCGTACAAATACTAATGAACATTGTCCATGCGTTGTCAAGATCGACATTACTAGTATAAATTGCGAAATAGATGTCGAATAAACGATCACGACGACTAATAATTTTGAAGAATTGTAGAATGTGCGAAAATGAATAAAATTTCTGTTGTACACCTTTTTCGAAATAAGTAGAATATTTGTCGAGAAATTCTTCTTGAGCGAAACTTAACTCCCGAGAAAGTCGTATAAGAATAAGAATGAGAGAATCTGATGGTTGTTTTTTAACAGGAACTTTGTCAATAAGTTTCATAAATCCTTGTAAATCCAGTGGAAAATCTCGAAATGTGAATTCATAACTCATGTATCGAGATATAAAATCTTGTATAAAAATCTTCGAATCTTTTATGTTTGATATAATTTGTTTCCATTCTAATTGATCTTGCAGGATCTGTGATGCTTGTAATGCTAATTTGCATAAGACAAAGAATAAATGTAATTTCTGTTCATCGATTTTTGTTATTGACATCAAATGTTCAACAATGTTCATTTTCAATACTTGATCTTTGTCTTGTATTAAAAGATTTGGTTGTGAGCTTTTTTGGTCAATGGATATTTTCGATAATGAATCATGTAGTTCCTCTTTCAATTGTCTCACACTATTGTCCAATGTTCTTGTCCACCCTATATAAGAGTTTTGCTTGATAACTGCTTGGTATTCTTCGATTCGACGATGCATATACAGATATGAATCAATACGAGACGAAAATTTTCTTGATAATTCATCTGTTGTTAGACTACTCGCTAAACATGCGATAATAAAATTCACATCGTTTGAAAATGTACTATTTCCATAAACTCGATTAGTTTCATCGAAATTTTGAAATCGTGATAAAACAAGATCATAGAATGAGACGCCTTCACTATCTTCGTCAAAAATTTTGCTGATTGATCGAGCTGCTTCCGATAATTTGTCTTTGCCACCGTACTTCTCGCGCAAATTTTTCATTTTACCCATAGTAACGTTTGTTATAGAATGTTTCAAATATCTAAAATTGAATGAAATAGAACGTTGCTAAACGTACCTACTCGTAAAACATTTGTGAAAAGCTAAATGCTTCTATATGCTGAGAGAGTATGTCATAATATTCTATCGATAGAGAAAAAACCCACAAACAAATGTATTTTTTTTCCTTTTCTCCAACAGAAAAGAAACGATAGAATATAAAAATACGAAGTCTATTTATATCTACCATGCTTTCTGATCTCCGCTGAAAAGTATATTTTGAAACTTCGTTTATTTACCTTAAGTGGAAAACATAAAAGAACAAGAGAATTAGTCATCAGAGAAGATATATCTATGTGTATTTACGCAAAAGGATCGAAGTTTGACTTAGTGTTATCCTATGTGTGTATGGCGTAGTAAAGATACATGTACATCACATTACATTGGCATTTTTATATTTTAACATGTCAGTTAAGCAAATTATTGTATACGAATCCGATGATCTAGATCAGATAATTGGCCACAGAAGCGACCAGTCCCTTAGCATTCTCGGTAGTAGAATCCGTCTTGCTCAATGTTGTAGCGAATTTCTAACTTTTTTCAGAAATTCACGGTGCACTCTTCGTCACAAGGGAACATTATTTAAAACTTTATCATCTAAATCAGTATCTAGGTCATCGTAACAGTGCTATGTTGGACTATAATACAAGTTTGTTGTTCTTTCAAAATAAAAACTTGCGAATTATTTCCACTTCATCCATTACTACAGAGCAAACATAACCAATAGAGAACAGAAAAGGTGTTTTTCATATGATATATCAATTATAAATGAAGTATATCTATTTTCGAAGAAAATCCCAATATAAATACCTTCTCAAAACTATAATCAGTATACAGAAAAAGACATAGTTGAAAAACGGATGATGAGAAACTTTACATGACCATTCAAATATCATGCAGTATCAGACACAAGTGTAGGATGACTATATCGCTCATAAGTAATGCTGTATTCCTTCTTCAATCTACATTTTTCAAAAGACATACCAAAGCCGATTCAAAGATAATACTTTACAAAAACTTTGAAAATTGATCTTAGTCCTCCTGTGCTCTTTTACGCACTAAAATAGCAATTTACGCTTCTGTAAAATGATTTTCTCGGTTTTAAGCTTACTTGATAGAAAAATACTGACAGTATGTTAGTTTTTTATTTAGAATTATTAATACAAAATGAAATCTTAATCTGGAAAATGAAAATATGGAAAGATACTAAATAACAGACGGATATTTCCGATTCATAATCTAATCGGTCGAATCACATAGCATCACAACTGGATAGTCCAATTAATAAACGTCTCGAAGCAGATTGGGGATGAATATACATTTAAAATGGTGTATGAGTCTTAGATTATATTCAAAAATTTAATTTGCTCTCGTACTTAGTATTATGTTAAATACTAATGAAATTGTATTGAAGACTTAAAATGAGATGAAATAGGAGAAATGAGTTTCATTTCAGAATATACAACAACTCTATGTTCATGATAGATGAGAAGTGTTCCTTTAAACCCCACACTATCAAAATACTGCACTGCATTTTTAAATTCTTATGTGTGGGTAAAAAAGGACCCATGTTGGAAGGATTAGGATTAAATAAGCTAGTTTGTTCACATTATAAAGACTCCATACGTGAAATTCGTTATCAAATTCGATGGCTATTTATTTATATTTGAAAAAGATACAAACAGAAAGAAAATTAACTAAGCGAAAGTATTCTAATGTTAGCGTAAATGAAGAAAACGCATTAAACATCGATAGCTGTGACATAGGCATGAGTTCATTTGATCAATCACCACATGCAGTATCTCATGCTCTGTTTGAATATCTGTGGACACATTTGCGTGAACATAAAATATCGAGTAAGAGTTTGCAAAGACGCTGTTTTCTGTACTAGCGTTGATTCTTGCAAGTTCCCATGATTTGCGCTTCGTTAGTTATCAGGCAACAGATTGTTTTCCGATCGTCGCACTACATATATTCCAAAGAGGATCGCTTATTCAATCGGATAAGTGGTTTGATACATAATTATATTTCATTTGATTGTCCACTCGAATATCATGTCGTTAATACAATCGAAAGAATCAAAATACTTCTCAAGAAAGATGGCTTAAGTCATTTGCAAGCAAACTGAAAAGCATTAGAGTCTACTAGAGAAGTTGCCGAATTCATATTTCATTACCTGTCTTTGAAACAAATATTAATAAATGCATTTTAATTTTGGTTCTATAGTCATCGAATGTTTGAAGTATATTTGTATCAAATCGATATTCGAATTCTTTTAAGTTACAACTCAATAATAGATAGAAAGCATTTGTGTTGAATAGTAACAGTGCATCGTACATGCAAGACACTTTCAGTTACTTTTCTTACTATATGTTATGAACGATTCTTCTGAAGTCTATTTTATCATCGGCTTAGCAACAACCTGCGTTTTGTGAATCTGTTGAGCACTAAAACTGAAAAGTCTCTCAAAAAAATATCTCAGGTACAATAAAACCAGAGTACCATGATTGAATGTGTCATGATGATTCATTTCAACACAACGACATGTGCAACCGGTAAGGTAGTTCATAGTTTCAGGATGAGAATTTGCCGTTTCGCAGCAAATCGATGAAAAAAAACCAGCGAAGTCGTCGATCAGACGTTTTACCTAGAAGTTTTCATACAAAAGCTCTTAGTATATTTGTCATTATAAGATGGCGTCCTTTTTATAACAAGAAAGAATCTTACACTAGATAAACCTATGATCATTAACAATTTCTTTGTTCGTAATTTTCTTCTTCCATGTCCATTCAATTTTAATTATACTCTCGCTCCCCTTTTATTTAACGGACGTCTAGTTTTAGAATTTATTAATAATTCTGTGATTAGCTGTTCATGATTTTTTCCCTTGATTGAACGTAACTCGAACTTTCCCAGCGGCGATCACCATTGAAGCAAAATGTTAAATAACTTCCTGCTAAGATTTTATCGAAAATGAAAGCATTACCATTTCATGTTTTTGTAATTTAATATTACCATTGAAATGAATAAAAACTTAGTGGCAAACGGCAGAGAGGAAGAAAGGAATATTAGTATCGACTTAGACGTTTCTTTTCTCGGTCTGAATAGCCGTCTTTAGTTATATTTTTTAATCAAGGTTATAAGACAAAATAGAAAACATGCGTCTTTTCGTTTAGAAAAAAGGCCAACGAAAAGATCGATCTTTTGTTTTCTCTCTCGTATTCGAAGCGATGCGAAAGGTAATTTAATACTAATTGTATGACGTATATTGTAATAAGACAACAACATTCTTTATTTTGCATACACACACACACACATAATATATATAAAGAGCGAGAACGAACGAATACACAACACGCATCATGAGAGAAAAAGAAATAGTAAAATTTGCACGGCTCACTGGGGAACAGCTCCATGTTCGAGTAATACTTCGTGTCCATCGTGTGTAACATGTGCTGCTGCATTTGGATCATCAGCTAGTTTAATTAAATCGACTATTTCGGCTTTTTCATAGGGTATTTCTAGGAAACTATCACTCTGTTTTAACGATGGCGATCGAGCAGGCGAAGATTCTTTTCCAATAGCAGTTGGCGCAAAAGCATGATTTGACGACGCTTCATCAGTATCTGGTGTCGACGGTTGTTGTAATGGATCATTGGAAAGATCAGTAACAGGTGTATTTAAGATAATTGATGACGGATCGGCATCGATGGAGAAGCGTTTAGCGACTGGATGTGAAGGATGATGACGATCGAAACTGGATTGTTGTGAAAGGATTTTGGTTAATTTTTTTGTTGCAGTACGATTTGTCGGAGGAATAGAAGCGTTCGGAGGTGTTGAAGTAGTTGGCGATGATTGAGTATCACTCGTTGATTTGTCTTCAGGAATGATTAATTTAGGTGTTGCAGAAGAAGACGAAGATGCCATTTAAGCTATTCGTCTAGAAAAACATCGAGAAAATATTTCAGTTGTGTTATAAGAAAGAGTAAAGAAGATAGTTTTAGGTATAAACCATCTATTCAATCGTTGGATAGGTCTACTTTAACCGATGGATGAATGCAAAGCACAAAAAAGGACGACGAAGTAGACAAAGAAAAAGGAGAAAACCTCTTAAAACATAACAACTACTTCTTCTTTTCTCGGAGCTTTTTGTAAGCGAACTGTAATGAAATAGTACTATGCTTATTTGTATAGAACAAAGAAGTAAACAAGCAATCCACTATAATATGAAAAAACCAATATTACAAGACACTTTGGTTTGATTTTACCTGTTCTGATGTAACTTATTTTACATATAGATGTTAGTGAACAAGTAAACGAGAAAAACAGACGCCAAAAGAGACGGGGAGAGAGAGTGTGGGAGACAGCAAAACGACAACGTTAGTATTCTTTAGAAATGACGTGTGCACATGTATATGCAAGTCATAAAGAGAACATGAAGGAAAAAAGAGAAGGACGATGATGGATGACGACAACAAGGGATTGAAAAAGAGAAAGAACAAGGGAAAAGAGATGAAAGAGAGAGAGAGAAGAAGAAAACGCGTGAGTAGAGAAAAAATAATACAATAATGATAATGAGAACACATTCGAAGGACCGCCGACGAGAATCGCTGTTCTTCGAAGCAGTTTTTCTTCTCTTCTCTTCCCTTTGCTTTTCTCTCTCACTGACGAGAAGAATATTTTAGTGAAGAAAATGAGCAATAAACGAAGGAGAAAAAATATCATTACGAAGAAAAAGAAAATGCAAGATGTATGCAGATGATGTGTACATGAACTCATTCATGAACGTAATTGATAAAGAAAAGACAATAGCTTAAGCTTTTTCAATTAGTCAACATGTCATTCTCGTTTGTTCAAACGAGAGAAACAATCGTGAAAAAGCACAAATGAACTACTAAATCAAACTAGTGATGTAGTTTCTGCGAAGGATAAGTCCTTACTTGCCAATTTCCTTTGCCTAGTATATATTTAGGAAAAGAAACGTAATAACTTGAGTTAACGAAAAAAAGTCACCGAAGAGAAGACGAGTTGATTGATTTATACGTCTAACGACATGACGGACGCGCCGACAAGTCTGAAGGAGATAGAAAAAAACTCATTGAATTAACACGTTAGATATGACAGGAAAAAAGAAGAAAAAGAAATGTTCGATGTTAAAAAAATAACGGTGCACTCCCATCCAACTTTATCTCTTCTACAGGGATTAACAATCATTGCCAACGACAAAGTAAATCCATATATTCTTTCTCGTTTATTGCATTCATAATTTAGATGAATTAGTACAATGGCCTCGGCATTGATGATAATAAATCTCGATTAGAGTACTTTTATGCTTAACTAAAACTTCTAACAAGAAAACAAGTTCATTGGGCTGTTGTTTTATTTGGCACGACTACTTGAAGAATTTTTTCTTATAATCTACTCAACTGAATGAATGAATCTATTTCCTCCTTTTCTTTTTCACTTACTACGCACAATAAGTGAGAACACGAGAACTGTGATGTGATGAATCATCGTTGTACATGATTGGAGACTAACAGGAACCATTGAAATGTAAGACGAGCAATGATGATGAACATACGAAAGAGAGGTTTTGCGAAACAACATGAAGAAATGTTAGGCAAAAATGGCGATTTGAAAAGCAGTGAAATAAAATCAAACTTGAAAAGAAATATTTTCTGATCAGTTATGTCACGTAGTTTGCCTTATCGTCTTGAATGTCCGGAAAAGTGCCTGCAGGCTCAAGATGAAGCACTCAATACCACATTTTTCATTCTAAGACAAACAGGTCCCACAGCTTTTGTTATTAAAGAAGATGACGAACGGATGTTCAAAGTAGTTCTAATGGAATTCCATTGACATTTTTCGAGTGTTAATATTTTATTGGATAGGTATTTCTGGGCGATCAACATCAATGTACTTGTAATGCATTCCAACGCGATCGCGAAGTATGTAAACATCTTTGTTGGCTTCTGCTGAAACGATTTCGTGTGCCAAGAACTAATCCAAGTAAAGATTTTGACGTTGAATAATACCTTGTTAAGGTTGTCTATATAAATATTTCTAGTATTATGGCAAAAAGGTCTTGTTGAGCGTGAAATCAATGAGCTGCTACGTGGGTCCATCCGAGACGAGGCTGGTCAACGAAATAAAACCCAATCCAATCAAAAATCTAAAGTAAACTCATTGTTAATTACTCTGAAAGTCATAAAATCTGTGTTAGTCAACCCACCGGCATTATTTCACTAATTCTTATTTCCTTTCAATCCACCAGAACGCGTTTTCCGGTTGTACTGATGACAGCGCATGTTTGTTCTTAATAATTCGAATAACATCATGTCTCAAAAGACCGGCACAATCCTTTGATAGTTCATCAACATTTAATGTAGTGTAATGAATAGTTTCTTTTATTGTAGGTTGACTCAAATGAAAACAATGATGAAGGTGAAGTTGAACAACGACCAATTGGCGAGAATGACGTATGTCCCATATGTCAAGAAGAATTCCTAGTTAAGAAACTACCAATCACTTATTGCCGGTTTGATTGAGGAGAATATTCGATTTGAAAGCGTATATAAATGATATTCATAGACATGGCTGTGGAAATAATGTTCATGTTAAATGTATGAAAGTTTGGCTTGATCATCAGATCTCAACAGGTGAAAAAACAGTCAAATGTCCACTATGCCGAGAGACGTTCGGAACGCCCGAACAGTTAAAACAAGAGTTTCGGTAAGAAAGGAGTGTTTGTTTCGTTGCATGAGAGGAATTTGATTGGATTGTAGAACAAGTGGTGCTCAACAAGCGGAAAAATCTTGCATTCATTTGGGTTATTCGTGCCATCGTTGTCGAGCATGTCCAATTTCAGGAAAATGTTATAAATGTACTACATGCACAGATTTTTATCTTTGTCAAACATGTTTCAATTCCAATTTTCACAATGAACATCAGTTCGATTATCGAGAAGTAAGCGAAGAACACATCTAAGCAAAAGATCGAAGTTCATCTGGATTTAGAAATCATTTCAACGATGGAAATTAGCCATACGAGAACATTTAACTGCATTACCGAACGCATTGCATCAAATGTTGGCAACGAGAGATATCACAGAACATGACTATGATATTCTTCTTCAACTTGAAAAGTAAGCGAAAACGAAACAAATTGTCTATGAAATATTTTTCTTCTTGAATAACTTTTAAGTGCACAGAGTGCGGCAATCATGGGTATACCAGAACATGTGGTTAAGTCAATGCCCACCGAGCGTGTGCATGATCGAAGTCGTTTGTTACAGCATGGAGAACAGTGCCGTCTATGCTTGAGACCTTATCAGCTTGGAGAACGTGTTCGTCGTTTACCATGTCGACATAAATTTCATATTGATTGTATTGGTAAGTTTTGAGAGGGAAAATTCTTTGTTTATTTTTCTTTTCCAACGAATTTGATTCTTCTAGATGGCTGGCTTTTACACAGTCATCCAACATGTCCTATTGATGGCCAACTTGTATGGAGTGCTGAAAGAGAAGTTGAACAAAGAGAGGCTAAGCGGTAGTTGATAGTTGCAATGGAAACAGGAAGTTTTTTTCTATCAATCTTCTTTGAAATTGTAGTTCGGCTCCTGTTGCAAACCGACAAGCGTCAAAACAAATTCCGCCATCAATCTCCTCTGGTTCATCATTACTCTCAGTCGAGATGGGTTTGTCTGTAACTCCGTATCAAGTCCGATCAGTTAATATGCCTAATAATTCCGAGCTGAATCAACGTTTTCGACGACTTCACATGCGTGCCCCACTTCGTCCATTGATAACAACGGCCACGAATGCATTTTCACCTCAACTTGAAATCAATGCTCGTAGTTTAGGAGTTCGACCAACGTTTTCTCACGAACTTGAACGACAGTCATCCCTTTCGTCAGTCCCTACACTCGTTCAAGAAGAAGTTCGACGAGTCAACATTGAATTCGATCAGGATTATACTCTACCGAGTACTATTGTCGGTCGTCGATTACTCGAACGCAGACGTTCCAATGCTAAATAATCATCTTTGCTCACGCTCGTGCTTCAGTGTATAGAGTCGATTTCTTTGTTTATTTCGTTATTAATTTTATTTTTTAATTTTGCATTTGATTTTCAAAAATATATGAAAAAAACATTTCCACTGCGAATCTCCGAAAATAGACTGATCTATTTATTCGTACTTTCACATATGCGACTTTATGGTTTCAATTGTAAGTAGCCTGTGTTAACATAATCATGACATTTAGCACGAGCTTCATCAGCGTCCTTGGATTCGCTACCAGCTTGTCGGCCGATTTCATTGTTTTTCAAGTCCATTTCACGCTCAGCTAATGGTCCAGTGGTATTGTTATCTTCATGAAGATCAGCAATCTTCTTGGCTGAGGTGCGACCAACGCTCAATGTCATTAAAGCATTCCAGTAGCAATGACGAAAAGCATCACCAATTCCGTTATGTAATGTATCAGTTGGGTAACTTTCACGAGCAGCAGCAGCGGCATTATCAGCATCGGTTTTAGCTTTAGCACAGGCAAATGGACCAACAAGGAATAAGCATTTGATCGCTTCGGTCGTTGTCGATCTATGGATAAAAACGAATATTGGAAGCGAAAAAAATCATTGAACCTTTACCCTCGTGGTTCACCCCAGACTTTATCGACGACGGGTGTACTGGGTGCAGCTTGGGTGGCAGCGATGGCAAGAAGGGCAAGGAGTATGATTGATTGCATTACTGTTCTTTTCGTGTTTGGAAAGAAGATTGTGAAATCAATAAGCCTCTGCGAACTGATTTTATATGGTATTTCTGTCTAAATTCATATTTAATCAGAGCTTTCGATAATGTACGTAAAATACGTAATCTGATATGAGATTTAATTAACAAAGATTAGCGTGTTTTTTCATTCCGAAAGTGAAAACAGGTTGTCCGAAGGAAGAATGTGAATGTCTCCGATGATAGATAGCTGCACAGTAGCTAAACATTTATTTCTTTGATAAATAATTTTATACACAGAGAGGAAAAAAACGAAACAAAACGAGCCATCAATGAAATCCACTTGAATCATACCGACCAAAATGACTTCGATACCTAAGAAAAGAACAGAAATTGCAAAAATGATCGAACGCAAGAGAATAACCTACCGAAGCGGATCGAATGGCATACCCATTGGATAATAATCATAAGGACGTTCATCGGGAAGTTCATCCCCCATGAAATAAGGTGGTGGAAAGTCCATTTCAAATGCACTAAAGTATTCAACAAACTTTATATCTCTCTAAACAAAGTCAAAGACTTACGGATAACGTGAAGGGGGCGAATAACCATAGGGTAAACGCTCGCGAAGACTAAAACCTGATCAAGAACAAAAAAAAAAGTCAATTTATCAATCGAAACGATCAAACGGTTTACTTGGATAACCAAGATTGCTTGTTGAAAATGGATATCGATGATTAGATGAAGAACTAGTTCGAAAATTAGGTGCACTACCTCGACGAGACCATCGATCCTAAATACACAAGCAAAGTTCGGATCAATTTTCAACTTTCCCCCGTATTCTCTCTCTCTCTCGCTTACCCGCTCGGATCCTCCATCACTCGACGATTGCATTGCCGAAAGCAAATCATTGTCATTGCCATTATTTCCTCCATTATTGTTATTGTCACTATTATTATTCGAGGATGATGATGAACTTGCACCATTATTTCCATTGGTATTCTCATTGAATTGTTTCTCGAACTCATCCACGTGCATTGAAGGTGGTCGACTTGTATTTAATGGTCGATTACGAAAATGATCGATACGTCGCATGCCCATTGGCGGGGCTTGTGGATTAACATTACCCGGTCGGATATTACGACGATTGTTACCGCGCATCGGTGCACTCCATGGTATTCGACTTTTCGACATACTTGTGGTGATGATTGATGTGTCGACATTTGGCGCAGGTTCGACTGTGACTGCACGTTTCTTTGGAGATGATCTGAAAAAGGAAGATCCAAAGTGAATTTTGGGAAAGAAATCAAATGAAACTATTTACTTTCGTTTTTTCGCGATTTTGTTGATAATTTCTTTTTTATATTCTTCAAAAAAGTTGAACGCTCCACAATATTTCCCAATAAAATCTTCGAGATCACACTTCACCTGCAGAAAATCAAAGAAATTTTGCCAAGAAATATCTTGATTTTTCCTTACTTTTTCATTCGTTTCATCCGGATTCGTTGTCGAGTCATCTTGACCGTAATCCACATCATCCAACAATGACGGTGATGGTATTCCAAGCCAGTACAATTCCGAACTTCGTTGATCATCCGTATATTCATTGACAACTGTATAGATAAGTCGATTTCGAAACTGAATATCAATCGATTCAGATTTGGGAAGATGAATATCATTCTTTGACGAGAATTCTACTACATGATGACGAGAGTCAATTAGTCCGTTTTCTTTATCTTTAATCAACAAACCTTTTTCGTTACCATTTGTTTTAAGTGATTGAATAATTCCATTTGCTCGTTCGAGAATTTTTTGTAATGTTTGTAAACATTGTTGGTCCTCTTCATTTTGTTCTAAGCCATCGGGATTCTCATTTGATGCTTGTTTATGCTCGTTACCCGAGGAATCCTGTGATAAAGAGCGGTTCGATACAGAACTCGTTTGAATGCTAATCTTACGTCATTAACAACCGCATTGATTAGATCAATGAATTTCTCTAGTTGACTTTCATTCTCGGCAGAAACAGCTAGTAATTCACAAAAGAATGAAGCTGGTAGGAACTGCGTTCGAACAAAACTAAATCAGACAGAAGAAAAGCAATTGAGTGAAAATGTGATATCATGGAGTTCATACGATGACTCGGGAATTTGTTCTATTGTCATAATTCGTTGAAGAAATATCATTGTAGCTGAAACAGCTTCAAGATAATCAGGTTGTTCTTTGTCGAATCGAAGATCGAATTCAGCGATCAACGTGCAAAATGCTTCTTTGTTCTGTGTCAAAGCTCTGAAATATCAAACTTAGGAAAAAAAAGGTTGTTTTTAGTTTTGCTTTACATTCGAATCATTTGTAAACCAAAGTCATGTTCAGCAAGTGAGATCATTGTTCGAATACCCATGGTTGTTTGCGTCCATGTCTGTTGCTGTTTTGTTGATGATAACAACCGAAGAATATTCGATAGAATATCCGACAAAAGCTCTTGATTAGGTAAAGCATTGGCAAGCATTTGTAGAGAATTTTCCGTAGACTTCGTTGATGAAAGTGACAGATTTGCATCACATAATGTCTGAATGATCGACTGAAAGAGCAAAAACGAATCGATATACATTGTTTTCATTCAACAAACCATGGTCGCTTCTTGACAAAGACATGTTTCGTTTGATTCTGCTCTTGTATGAAGGTATTTAATCATATCATGGATGATATTTGTGTATTTTTCATCAGAAAAGTTTCTGTTGAACAAACAAAGTGAAATGAAAAAATGAGAGAAGATAAATAAACTTACAATAGTGCTAACAGTGCACTTTTCCCTGACCGTGTGGCAGTAAGTGAAGCAATAAATGTTACTAAACGACCAGAATCACTTATTGATTGTTTCGATGCTTTTGCTGTTTCACTGTGATCATTTTTCCAAGTTGATATGAGCTCATCCATTAACGTCCTATAGAAACGATCTTCATAGAAAATGTATTTTGATTTTTCGAATTTACTTCATGACAACTTTGGCCAATTTGGCCCCTAGATCAATTAACTGCATGCAAAAACGTCGAATAACTTCCTGCATGATTGAATTAGACGTATGGCAAAGTGATTGAATAAGTCTCTGGAGTATATGATTAGTATCATGTGTCCAAACATAATGAAGTACTGCATGATACCGATGGAAATCATCTCTAAGAACATTTGTTTCGTTTTCTGTCAATGGCTAAAAGATACACATGGTCATAGCTGAAGACTTCTCTCTCGAATCTCAATACCTGTCGAACAGTCAGTGGTAGTGGGATTGGTAAAAGTTCTGTCAATAAACATACACCACTGGTGATTGAATATGGAAAAAGTATTGTTAAACGAAGAATTTCACGAAGCACACAAGTCCACGCACAATTTTGAACATTCACTAGAATTTTATATTGCAACGATGATTGAACTGGTAGATTCTTACTTTGTTCGGTATCTGACTGAGTTGACCAAGTATACGCATGAAATGCGTCAATTAAATTTGTTCGTATAATATCTACATCAGCTGATTCAGTCGACAATGACGCACAAAGTGTCACAGTATAAACAGAGAATAGTGCAGGAATCGGTGTGATATCGATGAACTATTAGAGGAAAGAAAAGATGAAATCATACACATTGGGAACAGAAAACAAACTTTAGTTTTTCGATCAACAGTTAACTTTTGTAAAATTGTTTTGAGTAGGATCAAAGCTGGTAGAAGTATGCCATATATAACAATGCGATCGTGCATAACTATTGGTATACCAGCTTGCCATGGGCGCAACAATGTATCTGCGCATTTCTAATAGGAAGAATAAGGTTTTTTTTTGATGAACAAGAGTTGTGAAAGAAATGATATACTTCGAGAATATTGATTAATAATGAATAAATTCCATTACTGTAAAACTTTAAGAGCATGTAATCATATTTAAGTTCGATTTTTGCTCCGACGACAAATTGATTTTCAGGTGGAATGGATAAATGTTGTATGATGCGTAGAAGAGTAATCAAAGCGGGTGAGAGATCTCCAGAAGTGTTGGATTCACTCAGTTGATTTTTGACTTCTTTTACCAGATTTTCTGCTGTTTCTTCTCCGTATGTAAACAACTGAATGTTTCGTAAAGGTAAAAACCAATTCCGAAGACGAACTAATCGTTGATTAGAATCTATGGGAAAACAAATATAAATGCGAAGATTATTTCCAAATGAGTTTTACGTTTTTCACAAATATTCAAAAGCTGCAAGCCATACTGCTCTAATAATAACACTGAATCTGGTGTTGCAAATAATTCGTAGACAATTCGAGCGATGTATCGTGTTCGAATACTGTTTTTCAACGTTTCACCATCTCCTATTAGAAAGACTCTCAAATAAGAACGAGCAAAGACGTTCATCAATACCTGAGAATTCCAGAAAATGTAACAATGGAGCAAGATTCGACTCCATAGCAAGGACTCGAACAATAATTCGCCGTTTATTCGATAGTTTTCTCACATAATGATGAAATAGAATCAATGATAGAATACAATGAAGGACTTGTAAAAGATCGTTATCATCAATGTCTATATCATCTTTTAAACTGAAAAGTTTCAATTCGTCGACATAACTTAAAATTTGAAATGCACACATCAGCTGTGGACCGACAGGATCGTTGTTAATCCCATCAAATTTCGTTTCCTAGAAGATCAATACACAATAATCACAAAACGAATGTGAACTTCTTACTGCAAAGAAAAGAGCTTTCAATAAACCATTCGGTGTCGATATTTGATTCGCAAGATAAAGCAATCCATCGAGTGAATTGAGAAATTCGCGAAAAATATCCTCGATGATATTGAAGATATCTTGACGTTGATTCAGAACGCATAAATGTATAAGAGCAGTGATTGACTTGAGAAATTCATGTTCGATCATCAGACGTAAGATTGACGGCCAGGAGTTTTCTTGATTAGGAATTTTAGAGAAAATGGCAGGAAGGATTGTCTGAAAAGGAGTCACACGGGATGATTTGGTTTGAGATAGAAGATCAGACGAATTGATCAAAACATCGCGAATTGTGCAAAGTGATGTTAGAAGTTCATCGAAATCAATTCGATGTTCATTGATCGACCATGGAGATTCATCAGAAGATAAACTACAGAGAAAATAATCAGTCACCGAGAAAGATATAAATGCTCCATACATTTTTATTTTCGATTGAAAAGAGAGAAATTCTTCGTTAAGATGAATTTTTCGTATTAAACAATTGATTAATGCAGTGGATTGTTTTGTCTACAATAAGAATGAGAAGATAGGATGTAAGAAGAAAACGCATTTACCTCATGTCCAGTATGTAACTTTTGTATCAATCGAAAGTACGGTGATTCACGTGTTGCCGAAGGAAAATCACAATGTTGACCTTTTCGAAACCATGTTAAACTTCTCGAAATCCTTTTTTTTTTTACAAATCTTACCGATAAACCAGAGTAAACTTGATTTGAAAAACAAGCTTTGATCCAAGATTTTAATAATCAATAATTTTGCAGATGATGCCAAGTATTCGTCATCGTACAGATCTAATAATTTCGATTGAAAATCAGTTTTCTACAAAGAAGAGCAATTCCTATGCGATTCGAACGAAACTAAACGCAAAGGATATTTACAATCCAACTGTTCGATAGTTCTTCTGTTAAAACACTTAAATGTCCGCATAGTCGAATGCCACATTTCATAATTCGAATATTAATTAAAGTATCTTTTAGGTGCGCAACTTGTTTGCCTATAACATAGTCAAGATTGATTAATTTTAATGTCCAATCAGTGAGACGTTCGATCGCTGAGACTAAAATCGAAGTAAATGAATGAAAAAAAAATAACAGGAGAGCAAGTCGTACTTAATTCTTCATTGGAGTCTAAGCAGGCTAAAGCAATGGGTAATACTGTACAAATTGTTTCTAATGACTCGAGAAATCTAAAGGAAGAAAATACGAAAATGAGAGTACAAGTGAAAGAAAAGTTTGTCTTACGTTGAATCACAATGGTCAACGGTAATATGAGAGAGGACTTTGCGAAAGTGAAGAAGAAGTTCTTCATTAGCCTGACGATATTTATCGTGATGAGCTTTTTCACACTCGATTTCATATTGTGTTTTTGTTGTTGAATGGAAAGTCTAAATGAATAAATCAACTTTGTTCAATACAAATTCAATTCAAATTGTTACCTTAAGTGCAGTGAAACGTGTCGAAACACGAGTATTGTATAATACATCACGCTACAATAAAAGTACTTCAGATTATTCGTTAAGAAATAAAGATCGATGTACTTTAAATGCTTGTTGTTCATCTTCATTAAAGAATAAACCGTGTACACTTGATTCTTCGCTTTCAGATGTATTGTCATCGGACATATACGAATCACCGTCCTAAATCCGAAAATGGCTTATTGATTTCGTAACAGTTCATAATAAGAAAACGTACACTCGACATTTGTTGTTGGATGGTATTGCCATTATTTGCAGGAGCAATAGTTGCTTCTTGCATTCGTCGTTGATTGTCATTGATGCAGGACGGATGAAGGAAAAGTCGATCGTCATCTTTTTTATTGATGTTGTTGTTTAAATGTGCATTTTGATGGGATAAATGTGAAAAGGGTGGAGTAACTATAGGAACACCACTATTGTTGATCAGTGGATTTAAATCATCAGGCATATGATCAGGAAGATCTAAACCAAATAGTAAGAAGTGTTTTAATGATGAAAAGACTTACTAGGACGATATTGTGACGGTATACGTGTAAATTTTTCATCCATATCTTCGTGTCCTTTCTCACCATGAGGATAATCCCTGAGAAGAAGAAGAAGAAATCACGTTTATTTGCAATAAATTCAAAGATAAATCGATATTTACGACGGGGAATAATTAGTGGTACGCGTTTGTGGTCGGGAACTGAAAGTTGGTGCCGCCTGTGGACGTATTGTTGGTCCTTGCTGTTGATCCTCCTGACGACTTGAAGGATAAATTGATTGAGGTGTTTGATGGCTGTAATCATGTATATGTTCATCTAGACGTGGTTGTGTTGGCCCAGCGAAATTTGATGGTGGTCGTTGTGGTTGAAGACGCGAAAAACTACCCGTTGCTTGTGGTTGTGTTCTCGTCGGTTGTTCAGGTGGAGCGACCCAGACACCATCGGAATGTGCTGAAGGTGACGGAGAAGCATTATTCATCACAGATGAAGAATGTGGATGTGGTTGAACAACGAATGGTGCTGATGGTGCATTCGAAGGTGGAACGGTAGCTAATGAGAGCATATCCATCGGATGCGCGCGATGTGGAGGAGGTAAAGCTGATTGTAAAAAGTCAACAATTTGTTTATTATTGCTGGGTGCATCATGACGTGGGGGCTAAAAATCATATTTCATAATCATATGTTTGAGAGCTTTTCATTTTATTTACTGAGGACTTTGGACGAGCTAGAACACCAACAACAGCTACTGTTATAGCATCATATTTTCCTTTGATAATCATCGAATCTGTTGGAATCTGTATAATGGAAAAAAAACAAATGCAATTGATCATTCCAAGTATATTTGACTTACAGAATGTCTTGGATAATATATCATGTCATTTTCATCTCGAAATAGTCTCCTAAATTAAGTAAAATGTTTAGGATATTGATTAGGAAAAGAGAATAGAATTCCGATTGTCTTACTTTCCTAATCGGCGGTATTTCACTCGATCACGATTCGATCGTGCATTGAGATTTTTTCCGAAAAATTCCAGTTCACATGGCATCGGCTTTGTTGATCTGCAAGAGAAATTTAAGCAATCTAACAAGCATTTCTTCGAAGCATCATACCCAATACGTGTTGCTGAATTCTGTAAATCAGTTACATTATAACCAGATGGAATAATACGAATTTCATCGATATAAACTGGTTGATCGAATTTGATTTCATCGACTTGAAGAACCTGAACAAAAATCAAATGAATTCAAACCAACTGTCTTTTGTTTTCTTTTACATCACCTGCTCGATTTCTCCATCATGCACAATCGTATCAAAAAAGAGAAATTCCTGTTGAGATGAACTCATTACTGTCGAATTCTGAACATCTGAAAAATCAAGAAACAAGAATTGCAACATGTTAAAATATGTCGAACATTCTTTGCGTTTTTTTCTTTTTGATTATTTCTAAACATATGAGAGTTCACTTCATAATTGGTGAATAATGGAAACAAATACACTATATGTCGGCCATTTCATATTCGTACGCAGACGACATCTATCAGTGGTACTTTTAAGCAAAGAAACAACGGTGCAAATGTAAAGATGAGCTCAACGATAATCGATACCGTTCACTTGAATAAAACGAAGTCCAGTGATTGATTTATACACATGAATTTTGACTTACAAAAGTTTTGAGCCGCATATTTGAGATTGCTTTTTTAAAATTTGCATCAAATTTAAGTAAGCTTCGGTGGATAGATATTAAAAGGCGACTTTTGAAAATTCTACATGAGATAGATGAGACTCTTCATGAGTAAGAAGAGATTATTTAGGGATTTCTCTCACAAATGCTCGATCATTATCAATGCATGTTAACTCACATCTCTAATGATCTTCTGAACGATGAAATCAATTGCATTAGGTAGTTTCTTTTGAAATAGTTTCTATGCATCAACTAATAATTGTGTGTAGGTCAACAAAACCATATTAAACTGAATTAACAAGTGTTCTTTTTTAGAAAATCGAATAAATGGATGAAAATACCAATAAATTCTTACATGGAAAGTATTTTACTCAAAAGAGCCTTTTTACTAATTACAAAATCTTCATATTCGTATGGTTAAATTGGTATATCCTGTGCGGCAGTAATACTATTTGTTAGAAATGAACTGAGGGTTTATTAAATTTGATAGAAATCTATTTAAAACAGCCACCGTTCTTTCTCGTTAACGGGAATGTCGTTGGGATTGAAAACTAATAGGAAAAAATCAAGATTTCCTTTCGAATACATTCGAATAACAAAAGAAGAGGTATTTTGTCAGTGATATATTCTGAAAATTAACACCAGCTGGTCACACCTACACAGAAGCTCGTGAATAACAATCATCGGTTTCATTTATAAGAAGCATCGACTGATATAATCTCACAAATTTAGTGATATTTGCAGAAGAACGCATCACACTCTAACACTAATATTTCACTCTCATCATGTGATCAACGTGACTTTGTATTTCTGGTTCAATTACTACGAAGAAAATATCCACAGCTATTAAATGAGCCAAATGATTAATAACTATTTTATCAGATTTTATAAAAGCAGCCTACAAGCCTCTATAGCTCAGTGGTAGAGCGCCAGTCTTGTAAACTGGAGGTCCGTAGTTCGATCCTGCGTGGAGGCATTACTTTTTTTCTTTCTTTACGTCTATATAAAGTAATTTCCATGCAACGTACGGGATTTATTTTCACACGTTTTAATTGAAGTCAAATGAATTCTTTTATGCAGCATAAATTTGGTGTGTACACTTCTGATTAGAAACATGAAAATCCCATTGCTAATTATATTTATTTGTCTATGCTTTTTGAAGATGATATTTAGAAAAAGTCACAGCAATATGTAGTTAACTAAGCAATCAATACAATTAAGAAGAAGAGAGATGAACACGCGACATTGTTGACAAAATAGAGAGGAAAAAGCACGTACACACAATAGTATTTTGATCTACGTCCTTCAAATGTTTAACGTGGACGAACAGAGCTACTACGAACCATAGAAGTAGCTCGTGCTGCAGTTGATTCGCGATAATCATCCTATAAAATATTCATTCTTATAAAAAATCAACCGATTCTTCGCAAGTGATTAACATACGCCTGGTGCACGACTTGCACTGACTGTTGATCGATTCTTAGCACGTAATTTACCCAATTGATTTTCAGCGATATCAGCACGTTCAGCTGAATCCTCTAAAAACAAAGCCAAAGTTACACTGACATATCTTCAAAAAGATTTACCAAGATCTGTTTGAGCTTTGCGATATTTAGCCAAATTAAGTGCAGCGATTTCCTCTGAAACGAATCGAAATCAATCACAGAAGGCTTTTTATCAAAGAAACAACGAACCAGCTTCTTCAACTTGACGTTTGTAGACTTTGATCTTGTTTTGTAATTTCTCTGAAAGATCTTGTAAACGTGATTGATTCTTGCGATCTTCTTCAACTTGAAAGACGAGTTCTTTCAAACGACGATCATTCTTGCGTAATTCTTTGAGTGTTTCTTGATGGCGATGTTGTTCCATTTCGTTTTCACCTTCCAATTCATGAATCTAAAGATCACACATAAAACATAAGAATCATTATCATATAATCTATTCATAGTACTTACACGTTGTTCAAGTTTGGCGATGATACGTTTGCCACCTTTGAGAACATTCCCTTCGGCCTCGTCAAGACGTGTTTGAAGATCTTTAACTTGTTGTTCAAGACCTTTACGTAATCGTTCGACACCAATCGAATGTTCTTGTTCTCGACGTAATTCTTCTGCAAGACGAGCAGTATCCGCTTCTGAAAGATTTCAACAAACTTCATTCATTTGGTCTATTTGATCGTTTCCACTCACCAGCTTTCTTTGAGCGTTCTTCAACATTCTTCAATTCGGCGACGGCTTCGTCTAAATCAGATTGCATGGCAGCAACAGTTGATTCGAGTTGTCGTCGTTGTGATGATAATGTTGCATTATGTGTGCTAACTTCGCTAATACGATCAGCAGCATCGTGTAATTCAATTTCTGCAGCTTTACGTGCACGTTCAGCTTGCTCTAAAGCTGTACGTAATTCTTCTAGTTCACCAGCAATGACATTTGCACGACGTTCAGCTGAGGCAGCAGCTTCACGGGCTTCATCACGTTGTTGTTGTTCATGTTCGACTTGGGCTTGCAATTCTGATGTAGTTTGTTGAAGTCGTTTAAGTGATTTTTGTAGATCGGTGTTGGTGCGATTAGCATGATCTAGTGCTGATTCGAGTTCGTTGATGTCAGATTCAAGTTTCTTTTTCTAGAACGAAGTGCTCGGATGAAGAGAAAAACTATCGACCTAGATTACTTGTTTGAGAGCTTCTGCTTTAGCACGCGTTTCTGCTTCTAAGCTGGCTTGCATAGATTCGAGTGCACGTTGATGATTACGACGAGTAGTTTCGAACTCTTCTTCTTTTTCATGGATACGTCGGTCAATTTCTTGACGAACGGTACCCAATTCCATTTGAACGCGAAGAACTTTCGCTTCCTCTTGTTCAAGGGCTGATTCGGCTTCTTCTAAGGCAAGTTGAATTTCTTCCTTTTCTAATTCTGCACGTTTACGAGCTTTGTCCAATTCATGTATACTATCAAAATCAAACATTCGTATCAATCAAAGAATATACAGTCGATTCTCACCCTTTACCACCGTCGGTTAATTGATCAGTGAGATCCTATAGGACAAACAAATATGCAAATCTTGTAAAAGAAATAGTTTACTTTGATTTCGTCAGCTAAATTCTTGTTTTCTTTGCGAAGAGCTTCGATTTGTTCGTGCGATTCATCATATTGTCCCCGAATCTTGAACAATTCAGTTGAAAATTGACGTGCTTCCTTTTGTGAAGCTTCTAATTCAATAGTAATATCTTCGCACTTTTGTCTCCATTCGTTGATCAACTTATCGAATTGTTTTTGTTTTTTATCCATTGTCGAAGCATCTATCAAGTTTTCAAATGAATAGAAATCTTATTACTAAATTTTCACTCACTAGCATTCGCACGTTCGACATCCACCATAAGGTCTTCGACTTCACCTTGAAGACGACTTTTAACTTTCTCTAGTGCATTGCATTTTGATAAAGCTGCTTCGACTTGTTCCTCAGCTTCAGCCAATTTCGCGGCTAGCTTACGTTTGGCTTCTTCTAGTTCTTCCGTGCGAGCCATACCTATCGAATACATATGAAAATTAGAGAGAATACTTGCTAAATGAACGAAATCAACCTTCAGATTCATAACGAGATCGCCATTGTTGAACTTCTGAATTAAGTTTTGTGACTTGTCGTTGAAGATCCACTTTACTTTCGAGTTCTTCTTCAAGTTGTTCACGAGCTTGATCAAGATCAGCAGTTAAATTACGAATTTGCGAAGCTAGATAGTTGCTCATTTCACATCCGTTTTTTTTTTCTATTTCAAATGTTGCTACTTACTAACTGAACCTTTGCCACGTAATTCTTCATCGATGGTGCGTTGTGCTTCCGACAATTGTTGCTGTAATTGTGATTTAGCCTTTGCCAACGCACCAACTTGATGTTCGACATCTTCTAGTTGTCGTTGTAATTCTGAATTTTCGTTGACTAGTTTCGATTTTTGTTGAGTAAAATCATGAACTTGTTTGGCGTGCTCATCAAGTTTAATATGCATGTCGTTCAATTGCTGTTCGAGTTGTTTCGATAGTTTTTCGGCAGTAGTTTTACCTTTTTGGATGTGCTCAATTTGTGATCGTAAATCGTCTAATTCAGATTTGACTGCGAGTTTATCTTTTTCTAATTTATTCTTCACTTTTTGTAATTGATCGATTTGTTCACCCATTTCGCTAACCGCATCTTGATGTTTCTTACGAAGTTGTGCAGCTGTTGCTTCATGTTGAAGATTAGCCTCTTCCAAGTCACGGCGAAGTTTAGCTAATTCAGCTTCACGTTTCTTATTCATTTCAACTTGAGATGATGTTGCACCACCGGCATCATCTAATCGATCGCGCATTTCATCGATTTCGCGCGCTAAGTCAGCTCGTTGTTTTTCGGTTTTCGCCCGTGATTGACGTTCATTTTCCAATTCTTCTTCTACTTCTTCGACACGTGCCTGTAATTCCTTGATCTTCTTTCCAAGGCTTGTAGCTTGTCCTTGTTCAGTTTCAAGACGACCATTCATCTGTTGAATTTCCTGATCTTTTCGTTTGAGATTATCTTCGAGCTCACGTTTAGCACGTTCGAGTTCTTCAAGGTTGCTTTGAGTGGTTTTCAAATCACCTTCAACTTTACGTTTCGCTTTGTCTAAGTCAGCACGACCTTTCTTCTCTCGTTCCAAGTTTCCTTCGAGTTCATCCAAGGTTTGCTCGAGTTTGGTTTTGAGTTTAGTCAAATGGTTGACTTTATCTTCTTCAGCTTGTAACTCTTCAGTAGTCTTTGTGTTTTGTTCTTCTAATCGTTTGCGTTCACGTGTTAGCTTAGCAATGCTTTCGTCTTGTTGTGCCATCTCATCCTGTAACATACGGATTTGATTATCACGTGTTTTGCATTCATTTTCAGATTTTTGAAGACTTAAACGAATATCATCGATATCTTTTTTAAGTCCGTCAATATCTTGTTCTAATTTCTTCTTCTTCTTGTTTAATTCTTGTGAGTTCGATTCTTCCTCATTGATTCGCTCGGACATGTCTTTGATTTGTTGTTCAAGATCAGCTTTTTGCGTTGCTGTTCAAAAGAAGAAACTCGAATCAGATAAATATTTAGTAATCGCACGTTTCGTACCTAATCGAGTCAAACGTTCTTCTGCTTCTCCCATGGTTGTTCGTTGAGATTCCAACTGGAGATAAATATCATTCTTTTCTTTAAAAAAAACAAAAGGAGAAAAACTTTCTCTCTCATGTCTATTTGCCGCATTTACCTCGAATAAGTTTTGTGTTATTTTCCTCAACTTCTTTACGCAGTTTTTCCTCTTTTTCAAATGTTTCTTTGAGTGCCTTGAATTCATCTTCGAGTTTCTTCAATTCATCTTCTTGACGAGCAACAGACAAGAGTGGTTTGACTTTCGTGTACAATTTCCACCATGCCCAGTTACGAAGTGATAGATATTTACGAATGTTACGTTGCAAAACAGAGAGAGCCAAACGTTGTTCTAACATTTTCTTGTATTCTCTCTTCATAATATAGCCACGAATTTGACCTTGTAGAGACGCGATGATTTTCGATAGAGCAGCATCACGCAAGTCTTCGAGATGACCCAATGTACCAGCTTTGAAGAAGACTTTTGTTGTACCACAACGGTATAATTCTTCGGAAAGAGCGATATCTTTGAGAATATTCTCGGTAGCTTTCTTGGCATCAACGAATTCTTTTGGAATTGCATTTGGCGCCAAAATTGCATATCGTTGTTTGAATTCAGCATAGATGATTCGGTTCGGGAAACCTTTACGACAGATACGAATACCTTCGAGTACACCATTGCAAGTAAGTTGGTGCATAACCAAATGTGAATCGAGAACACCTCCGGTTTTAATTTCATTCGGAATAATACAACGAACGAAGTGTGGATGTGTTTGTTTCAAGTTAGCCATCAGTTTGTTAAGAGATTCCTAAAGATATAAAGATGGTCTTACCAAAGAAAGTGCCGAGGGCGTCTAAGGCTTACACGATGAGTAGCAGAGATAGTTTGCATACTACCACCTTTCTTCTTAGCACCAGCTTTACCGCCACCTTCTTCTTCAATAACATCAGCGTAGAGATGAGCCAACATGGCATTTTTCGATTTAGCAAAAAGTGTGGCACTGGAAAAAAGAGAAAGACAAATTTCGCATGTTTATGAACACTCTCTATCGCGAGTACATACACTGTGGTATTGATTGGATCTTTGTTCTTCTCAAGCCATCCGGTAGCAGTGTATGGGACCGAACCAGCATAGTGATGGATTTCGAAATGTGCTTCCGCTTTACCTTTGGCTGGTTTTGGTTTACCAAACTGTGGGTGTTTACCCAAATGATTATTGTAAAGTTTTTCGACGAATGTCTTATCGGTAGCTTTGGGGACGATACATTCTTCTTCCAGGATGGAAAGAATACCCATAGGCTAAAATTTGCCTATGGTTGAGAACCGAGCAATCGATGTTTTCATTACCTTTTCGATAAGATCGATGCAAGCTTGTAAATCCATACCAAAATCAATAAATTCCCATTGAATACCTTCACGTTTGTATTCTTCTTGTTCTAAGACGAACATATGATGGTTGAAGAATTGTTGAAGACGTTCATTGGTATAGTTAATACACAATTGTTCGAAACCATTGTACTGTGCAAAGAAGGATCCAAAAGATTGCTCGAGTGAGAATGGAATACTTACTTCAAAAATTTCGAAACCAGCAATATCAAGTACACCAATGAAATATTGTCGTTTAGCTTTGACATCGAGCGTAACATTGACACGTTCGACCAACCAGCAAAACATACGGTGGTAAATCTATTCAAGAGATTATCTGAATCTAACAAAGAAGTTGAATCTAATTCAACCTACCGATTTCGATAAAGCACCAATAGAGTTGACAACTTGATCTTTGTTTTGACCTTTGTTGACGAATTCGTTACCGACCTAGTACATGAAGTCGTATTTTCAACGATAAACGAGAACAGAAAATGTGAGCAAATACTTTGATACGAGGTTTGAGTAAACCTTTGATAAGTTCAGCTGCATCAATGTCGAGTAAGTGGGCAACTTTTTCACAATCTTCTGTGCCTTCAGCTTCGGCTTGTTCTTCCCGTGGTCGTTGTTTCCATTGAGAATTACCAAAGTGCATAATAGCAGCTGTGCACTTATACATACTTTCCTTTTCATCCTAGAAGATTTTGACAAACAAATGATTTTTCTGAAAAACGATTCAAAACTCAGACCTTTGTAAAGCCAAGAATGTCAAAAGCTTCGTCGGTAAGACGCATTTCTTCGGCATCATCAACACCGTCAATGGTGAGCATACCCTGTGCTACGAACTGATATTTGGATGGATCATTTGTAAGAAGACATAGCTCTAGGAATGATCAAAGCACGATCATCAGTTCGAAAACGGAAAAGACAATAGTTCATACTATGAAGTTCAGGTATTCCATTTGAACACATTTGGTAGAAAATGTGGTAGTTACGTTCAGCTTAAAAGAGCTCATACATAGATCTACTTTTAAATCGAAGCAATTTCGACATACCCGGTTGCTACAAATCGGAAAAAAACAGTAATGTAGAAATTAAAACTTAAAATAAGATCAATTTACCTGAAAGATGACACGAGATTTTTCGAGAAGATATACTTCAATATCAGCACCAGCGATTTTGCCAGTTGGACCAAAATGAATTCGAATAAATTTACCCTAGAAATACTCATCAGTTGAACTCTGTACCAAGGAAAGAAGAGAAGATGTTTCATATCTGGTTCAAACTTACGAATCGTGAAGAATTGTTGTTACGAGTTGTTTTAGCATTACCATATGCTTCCAATACCGGGTCTATTCAAACAGAAGAACATTGATTCATTCAAAAGGCAACCGACGAAAAACTTACTAGCTGAAATAATTTGATCTTCGAGCGTCATTGTTTTCTATGTAGAAAGAGATTGAACAAAATGAATGTGAAATTCTGGCTTTTGTCACAAATTACTTTGCCACTATCTTCCTTTTTCACACTAGCAGCAGCGACCAAAGCAAAATATTGAATGACTTTCTTCGTATTTTCAGTTTTACCAGCACCAGATTCACCAGTAATCAACATAGATTGATTCTCACGATCTAAATCAAACGTGGTCTCAATTTGTGTGCGTGACAAAAATGATAGATCCCAGTACTTATATGAACTCGGAGTTTCACATAGTTTCATCAATTAGTTTCAGATTTGTTCACATTTCTTTGTTTAGATGATTAATTACGTTCAATTCGTACATCATTCTGATAGTTCAAGAAGACATTTTGTAAGAAATATGTATGTTAACACTCCGTGTGTGATCGGATGATCATGTACCCTGTGGTGAATCTTCTTCTTTTCTATAAAGTTCATCTGTCCTGATTAAATATCTTTATTTTCAAATGATTGGCGGCTGTCAGTATGATCATGCTGTTTATTTATCTCCTACAAATCAATATTCACCAATCTCCCGATCTCTTCTTAATCTACAGACGTCAGTCTTCAATAAAAATTTATCATCCCAAAAATCTGATCACATATATTAGTGAGATTATTCAAAAGAAATAACTCTATCGTTTTCAAATCTGAATACGAGAATATTAATTGAAGTGATTATCCATAATAGGAAAACTTCTCATGTTTATCTGCTTCTCGTTAAAAAGTCATTAATCCTTGAATAATTTCTTCTCGCAGCAGTGTGACATATGCTATTTCATCAAAATAATCTTCTCTGAGCTCTTGATCTAATCACAATAAACAAGTTGCATCTGTTTATTGACGTCTAATGTCGTTTTCCTCGGTGTGCATGGACGTAGGTGATAACAAGCATCTAACAAATGTCTCTTGCCTCTCACATACGCATATCAGATTACATTCGCTCACTCCTTCTTCATATGTCGATGTTGATCCAGACGTGGATACGCCTTTCGTGACATTCCATCAAACAAGGAATCTTCAAGGACGTGTCCTTTTTACTCTCTATGACGTGTATCATTATCAGGTGATCTTTCGAACAATTGCTTTCTTAATAAACATTGTTGTTTACAGTATGATACTCACCACGAAGCATATTCGAATACGCATTGTCAGCAATGGCATACAGATGTGGTGCGACTTCAGTGCGTTTCTTACCACGATACAACATAACTACCTTCATTGTATAAATGGGTAAACGTTTGTACGGATTAATGACGACACAAAAAAGACCCGAATAAGTCTAGAAGAGTCTTTCAATCTAGTTCTAAGTGACAAAACAAATGAAACTAAACTCACGTAGATGAGCCAACGTCCATAACGATCACGAAGATTGGCTAAAACTGAACCATCATTTAAATGGGTCAAATCAGCCATATCATCCGTGCACGAATACTTCGGCGGATTCATCTGTTGTAGATTGTCCTTTTTGATTGTAACAGTCTGCAATATAAGTACAAAAGAAGATTTTCGAACCGAATCCTTGTTTCTTTCGAAGACATACTTCGCCTTTACTGGTTTTAATTGTAATATCATCACCTTTGGTGCTAACGATTTCACCAGCAACATAAGATTCTTTTGGATCAGGTACCCAACATGCTTTCTTGCCATCGAATGGTTGGGCTTGAAGTTTAATTTTTTCTTCAGGTGGAAGAACCAAATATTTCATGGCTTCCACTATCTCCGGATCGTTATGATCGTAGTTTTGAGACATTTTGCTTCTCTTTTCGAATACTGTTCAATTGAGAGTGATTGTTTCCGTCGTCAATAGTCCAAGATGAAACGCACTGAGTTGCGCGTGAGAAATGAGCGAGAAACTTGTATAACAAGTCGTAATATACTATCGATATCAGCAGCGAGACAGAGAGGGAGGAGGACAGAAGAAAGAGAATAGTTATCTTCACCAAAAAACGTCTATTCTCGGAAAACAATAGAAACAGCACACACAAGGATCACTCTCTTCCAAATAACAACAGAATATATTCTATTGAAATATCACCAATATCACAATGGGACCAAAATGGAACGTCGGAAACACCAATAATGACGAAGATCTTTCCTTTTCTTTTGCGACACTATTCACCGCATACTAACAATCGTGAATATTCTATTATAGATTATACACCAGATTAGTGCGAATAACAAAAAATAGATATACAGAAAAACATCGGAGTAGACTTTTTTATCTAATTTGCAAGTCGGTCTGTGTGATACCGATCTTTGAATACTCTGATACCACTGAAAAACAGAAGGATTGTACGATTGTGACAGATAGGTGATCCTTCTTGGATAATCATTTCCATACAAATCCAGAAAACAGCGAAGTTATAATTCGACCAAGTGTCTTTTTAGGTGTTTATTCATTAATATTTGTTATTTTTCTCTTTCAAAAGATTGCACTCAATACATGCAAATCTCAAAATGCCGAAAGAGTAGTGAAAAACAGATTATGATTTCATTGAACTAATCTCTGTTATTTAAAAAAAAAGAAATATGACGACAGAAAAACAAATCAGTTTCATTCTTTAAGTGAAGCTATTCTAGTAAAGAAAATAACACAGTTAATGTATGAAAAGGAGAGATCAAAACGAAACATACACTATGTACAAGAATACACATCAACAGAGAGATACCTTGCATTGATTTCTCGATAGATGTTTCAAGTAAGAATACAATATGGCATTAGTGTTCTTGAATTCACGTTCTCTCGACATAGGGGACACCGAGATGACGTGGCCAGTAGTTGACGACTGCATAAGGTACACATAACATGACGACACGGGGTGATTATCAGATAAACACCTGTTCGCTGTAAATGTGAAAGTGTTTCGAGGCAAATTGGACATTGCTGCACGTCGATTGATAATTTACGTTCAAGTAAAACGGAAGAAGAAGAAGCAGTTGTTGTAGAAGTTGGTCCATCGTCTGTCAGGTCGATTAATTCGTCGTTACTCAATTGATTGTCATCATCGTCTATGTGTAGTTGTTCTTCATCCTCATCATCCATCAAAGTAAATTCTTCATGAACAATTTCAATATCAGCACTGAGAGAAGAAACTGATGGAATAATGTCATCCATAATGTTAATGTCTTGATCGTCATCGTTCTCAGAATCCGAAACAATTATAAGTGTAGCATCATCATGTTCTTCAATTTCGATAATATCATTGTCTTCATCGAGAGGACTGAAATATCCGCGAAAATGAAGAGTTTTCATATTTTCACGAACAGATAAATAACTGACCTTTCTTCCGAAATAACTGCAGATGGGACGAGGGGTTCATCAACAACAATTTCGTCTTCATTCTGGTCGTTGTCATCCAAGCTTTCCGGTGGTGGTGTTGGCGAAGAAACAAAAATACGCGGTCGTTTTCGTACAGGTTCAAGTTCATCTGAGATCTGAGAGTCGGAATACGGTGATGAAGGCGGAGACGATGAATTGAACTGTCGCTTCATTACTTGCTTCTGCTTATTGCATTGTTATCTCAAATAAATGAACAGAAATATTCATAGATGAACCATTTTAACGAATGAAATGAAGATGACGACGATAATCAATCAATCAATGAACGAACGAACGAACGAATAAGAAGTCAAACCTTTCTTGTGAATGGTTAACAGCCATGTCACAATTAGAAACAGATTGAGTAGATGTCGCTACACGACATTTTGCAATATTTATATCTGAATTACTGAGAGAAAAATTATTTGCTCATAAAATATGATTTAAAAGCTGAAATTATTTCGTGAATTAAATCGAATTGACCAAATAGCAAAACAATAATAAAAAAAAAAGATCCAATCTGATTGGTTATGAATCACGGGGATAGAATTGATCTCGTACTACTCTCTCTTTCTCTTTCTCTCTCACATGTATTATCTAATTTGAAATTGAGTAAGAACGAGAAATGTAACGAGACGTAGATGCTGTAATCGTGTTGAATTCATCGAATTTCATTATTAATTCAAAATTACTTTGATCTCATTTCAGATTGTTGAATAAAACATGTCGAACAGAAACAATCAACGCACTCGACATCACACGGATCCATCATCGTCCCGATACAACAATGCCAAATATCATCAACGTAATGGCGGAAAAAACAATCGTCCTGAATTTTCGCGTCGACAAATAGGTTCCGATGATGTCGATAGATTAATGATGTCCGTCGATGATGATTTGACAACGAATGGAAAGTCTCAGGAAGCGTCATCACGAGCACGTGCCTGCAAAAACAATGGCAACCGTCGGTCAACTCGTTCAACTCCACAACTGAGAAAAGCTCATCAGAATCAAATTGGTTGGTGGCGTATAATGGTTCAAGATGCGGGAAATATTGGCAAGGAACGTGTGATGACAGCACTCCGAGCTCATTGTCCTCGACAGTTTCAATCCTATCACGTAATTTAGTCAACAGTTAATAAGTTGATTTTATCGTATACTATTTTAGTACTATATCGACCAAAAAACCAAAGCAGGAATTTTCTTCGTCAATAGTCAACAAGATGCTGATATGCTCAAACGTGCCAATGGCAAAGTTGAAGTACAAAGCTTAGATATAGTAAATTAGAGAAAATCTTTTTTTTAATGAATCAAAACTTGTTTTGTTTTTACAGCTTCGTATTATCGTTAGTCGAGTACCTTCACCGATTCCATCGCTAGATGAAGACATACGGCCACACTTCAAAGTATATCATTGAAAAAAGAATCATAACTCATTCAAAAATCTTGGTTCTTTAGGATTATTTAATTAATCGTCGATTTGATCAGCAAATATTTAAATTAGATTTGACTAACTTAGCAGATGATGAAGGTGAGTATCGAAAGTAATCTTCACTATTTCTCTAGAATTGCAGAATCGATGACAAAATTCAATTTGTACTTTCTGTTTTAGAATTAAGTTCTTTCGGAATCTTTCCTCAATTCAATAAACAGGCATTTATACATGAAATAGTCGATATTCTCAATCGAGATCTTCATATGGTAACTTTTCCGACTTGTTATCTTCTTTGACCTTCAACAATTGTACTCTAGACACGACAACTCGATTTGGGGTCGAATAATATTGTTAGTCTTCAAGAATTTCGTAATCTTAAACTGAATGATCTTGGCCTTCTCAGCGTTGCTTCCAATTTAGTAAGCATTTTCTAAGAAAGAAAAGACAAGAATTTCATGAAACTGGTTTTCTTAGATCAAAAATGTTGATGAATTTGATAATCTCAAACATATCCCACATCTAGCTCATCTATTTATTAAAAATAATCCAATCACGTTGCCCAATAACAAACGCAATACATCTTCCATGGACAATATTATCAGGTCAGATCTAAAACCTCTTTTTCTTTCCATAGACATTCACAACAGACAAAACATGATCGCATGCTCGTAAATCGGATATTTTCCATAGATTTGATTCCTCATTTCTCTCATTCGACTTCGTTGGAGATGAACATAGTTCAAAAGTGAGATCGTCTACTTGCGTTGTGAGGTGTGGGTGTGTTGTACAACAAAAACTAAGTGAGTGAAGGTGAAATATAAAAAAAAATATGAAAATTTCATCAATTTGTTGTGAATTTTCAAAAGCTTTTTTTGTACGCCGATAAAAACTTCAACAAAACAAGCAGCGGCGAATTAAACGAATGGTCATATATCTATCCATGATATTCATCCTCTAAGTCGAAACGGATGTCGAAATCTGACATTAAAAGTTATCAATTCCATGTTGATCTGTTGATCACCTGATTTATTTTCATAAATCAGCTCTGTTCCTATTTCCAATAGGATTTATCATTATGAAAAGAATGCATCATTTGATGACATCCGATGACGACTAAACTATTCTACATACTTTCAACTCCAGAATCATTTCAATGGCAACAACATCTAGTTCCTAACTAATTTTTTGTATCTGTGATGTGAGATTTTTATTGATTGTAAAATGTGATAGACGATCTTCATAATGACAGATGAAAAACAAACCGATGAACAAGAAAGGAAATGAGATGTTGGCAAATCGAAAGTATCTGATTTCGACATGTATGGGAATCGCTTTGAGAGCGGGAACGTCATTTATTGCTGTTGCTTGTGTGTCTATTTTTTTTCATTAGTATCATACAATAAGCATGTATCAATTGGTCCATCTCCTCACATTCTAGCACTATACAGCAAAAGATACCACAGCTCAAACGAATTGTACGTAAACTTTCTCCGGCTAGTCTTTTTTTTTAAATATTTTGTAATTCAGGACAATGTTGATCTTCCACCAATGATACGTTTTGCCACAGATATCGAATCGATATCTTTACCAGCATCAGTGCCACATTGTGTTCCAAATGATATGCAGGGATTCTTAGCAAAATTTATTGACGAATACTATCGATTGTTTGACACACGTGGGCGCGAAGAATTACATGCTTGCTATCATGATGTGTGCATGTTTTCTTTATGCATCTCAACGGCCGACAGTACGATTGTTCCAACACGGCACTTTAAATTTGGCAACTTGGTTGTCGAATCAAGAAATTTACAAAAAGTTATTGATGACAAACGACGAATGATGCTCTTGCGACAAGGAAAACCGACAGTCTTAGAGTTTTTAAGAACGAAATTTCCATTGACGAAACATGATGGAAATTCATTTCATGTTGACGTCCTTTCGACGGCTGTAAGTCATATAAAACATGCCTTTAGGTCATTTTGTGATAAAACTAATCTATTTTTTTTCTAGAACAATCGAGCAGTTTTTACAGTGAATGGCTTGTATAGAGAAGGTAAGTTCTTGTATAAAGATAATAAACATCAATTGTGTGTTTTTTTGTGATGATTAGTTGAACAAAGTACTAATGGTCCTGTACGATGTTTTCAACGTACATTCACTTGTGCGCAAACAGCAGCGGGGTAAAGATCTAATTCTTCTAATCAAGATCAACCTTCTTTTTTGCATAGCGTTCTGATCGTTGCTGATCATATAATGATTTCCAATGCAACTGATAGTCAAGTTTCAGTACGTAGAAGACTATGAACCCAATAGTACAACAAAACCAACATTTTCTTTTGCTATTTAGAAGATAAATTCTGCGACTCCATCAGTAACAGTATCAACATCTCAACCACTCAACACCCATGCCGATCTAGAGAATCAAATGATTTTAAGATTTTCACAAGAATCTGGAATGAACATAGCCTATTCTAAATTGTAAGTTCTACTCTATCATTACATATCGTTGAGTACAATGCCATGATTTCCTTTCAGATGTTTACAAGAAAATAATTGGAATTATGACAAAGCTGCGGAAGTTTTTCTTGATGCAAAGCAAAAGGTAAATTATGCACGAGGAGATGATAAATGAAATATATTTTGTCTATTTAGAATATGATACCATCCGAAGCTTTCTATAAAATTTAACATAACCGTCTTATTTCTAGATCGTGTCTCTAATAGAGATTTGACAGAATTTTTTTTGTTTTTATATTATATCTTTGTTGTTTTTTCGAAACCGAAGTGTTCACGTTCTTGTACGTTTCGTTTTTTTCGATTTCATCAACAAAGTCTACTAGTGTATATGTGTTGAAACCAAGAATAAACGCTGATAAGCAATATCTATCTAAACACTCTCTTTCATTAAAGTCAAGTTCAATCAATTGGACTTGATGTTGAGAATAAAAGTCGTTCTCTAAAAGAACCCATTACTCGAACGACACGAAGGAAGACAATAGTTAGGTGTTGATTGATAAATCAATAAAATTTACTGTGTGGACTTGTTTTATCTCGAGTTCTGTTCGATTACTTTTTTCAAGCAAAACTTCAAGGTAAAAATAAAGTCATTGATGTATACTTGTCACAAGATCTTTGTTTCGTGTCAATAAGTACATAAAATGTCGAAGAACAGAGTAGAAATCTTTTTCAATCTTAGCAAGAATTTGAAGAAAGGCATTCTAGTACAGCAAATGTCAATTAACACGTCTTGAATGGCAACTGTTATGACTCTGGAAGTTCTCAAATCTCGTCGATATATAAATGAAAGATAATCAATGACATTTCAATCGAAACAAATCTGATAAAACAAAAAACGAAAAGTTCAAAATGAGTCAATTGATAGATTCTGTTTTTTGCTATCTGAGATAAAAAAAAACAAAATTCATATCAAGATTTCGAGTTGAATGCTTTGTATAATAGCTATTAAATATTAACTCAGTCGTTTGGATACATGCTTTGTTTCATGTTACTCTCAATCAATAAATGTTTTCTTTGTTAGACAAATCGGTTTTTTCAATTAACATCGTCGGCGTTTTTTGAACAAAATCAATTGAGGATTGAGATCATACACATAAATACCAAAGTTTTGACATTTTATCGTTTTAGTGAAGAGAACTTTGTAACAGTATAAAACAGGTTGAAAAAGAGAAGAATGTAATAAAGAAAGGTTGTTCTTCCATTCGCACATTAATAGACAAACGAATCGAAAAACAAAGTCGTTTGCAGATCGTTTTCTTCTCTTTCAGTTATTTCTCTCACTTCGAAAACTGATTCTTAAATCTCCTCTTGTTCTTTATCTCGATAGACTAGAGAAAGAGAAATTCTTTCCGATTACTTCTTCGATTTCTAGTCTTCTTTAAATAAGTACATCGGCTGTACACTGGAGCAAACGTTTCTTTTTTCATTTATGATGATCATGATGAAGATTAACAACAGTTCGAGACGGTGTAAGCAATAAAGAACGATAGTACATGTCCATACGTATAGGAGAAAAAAAGATCGGTAGGTATTTCTCCGACGGTCGGAAGGAGAGGACAGGTCATTTTCTTCCATTTCTATCCCATACATATTTGTACGTATATCTTAAAGGTGAACGTTGTACATTTTGAATTCTTTTTCCTTCTTCTTCTTCTTCTTTTTCTCTTTCTGCTTCTTCGTATTTCTCTCTCCAAGAATTGATTTAGATGAAATTTTAGAAACAGAGTTAACCTTGTGCTTTTCTTTCGCTTCCGCTTGAGGCCTTTCAATATATATTCAATAGAAAACGTAAAAAACCAAACTCGGTCGCCTCTTTTTTGGCAAAGTATAACACCACGTTTGTTCTTCTATCCTTTTCTTTCTCTATCGATAATCAAGTTGAACTACAGTTAGCTATCCAAGCCGCGCGCCATGCATATATATGCATCTATATACAATAGTTCCTCTGGAAAAATTCTTCTCGTTCTCCATTTTTTTTCCTCTCCTCTCTCATTCTCTCTCGTTTCAACAGGCATAAACTATCGAGGATATATCATTCTATACTTTGATTCATTCAGTCATTTCATTCTTATTTTTTCCCTTCGTCTTCGTTCTCGTCTTCTTCCTTTTTCCAAACTGATCGATCGTCATTCTTCATATATTTTGGACTTAATAGAGAAAATTTTTGACATTTATCTTGAACTTGTCCGATTCATTCATTCCATTTTTCTCCTTCTTCTCGTCTACAGCGGACTGCCATTTGATACCAACATTTATCATTGTTTCAAAAAGAAAACATTGAAAACAAATCGGTTAAACACGTGCCAGATCATCTCTTTCAGATTTCGTATAAATAAAGGAAAACAGAAAGAGAAAATTTTCACAATAAACTTGCTCGCTTTAGTTCAAACATGGCGACCGCCTACATATGTCCAATGTGTGTTTTCAATTGTGACAATCTACCTGATCTAGAGCAGCATCTCGAAGGTGAAACTGAAAAACTACGCTTTTACTTACGAACAAGTCTTTCTTTTTAGCTCATGAGAACAATCTCATTCAATCACCTGCAAAACAACAATCACAACAGGCAAATAAAGCCATTCGAAATAGTCCACTCTATGCTAAACCTCAAGCGGTAGATCTTATCTTTTTCTTTGTTGACAACACTTCTGATATTTTCTTCTTCAGCAACCAGAGAATCATTCACCGATTAATACTTCTCATTCACCATTGAATTCTTCGCCCGTTCGTTCATCACCCAATAAAAGTTATGATAGACGATATTCATGTAAATCATGCCCATTCTCCACGCACAGTGTCAAAGCATATTTTAATCATCGACAAATGGCACATGATGAGCAACTTATCATCACGGAATGTCCATTCTGTGATTATGCGAGTCAATATCCGGGCAAGGTGAAGAAACATTTAACCGATGAACATCCGATGCAGCAGATGTCCAAAGGTATGCATGTCTTGATTCGATCAATTTCAAGTCGTTCTCTTTATCTTCTAGATGAATCAACAGTACAATCAAATCGTCTATCAGCACGTGGAAATTCAATCAATAATACCATTGAACAAAATGGAAAAAACAATTCGAACGCAGCAGGAATGAAATTCACTGATTGTCCGTTCTGTTCGTTTACATCAGTTGAGCCTGAAGCGTTTCGTAAACATGTTCTTACTAATCATCTAATCGATAAAAATTTTCGTTGCCTTATCTGCAATCGACTCTATCGATACCGAGGCGACTGTAAGTTGAACGATGTCAATGAAATTGAGTTTTATTCATTACCACTTAGGTTCATTTCATATTCGGAAAAAACATTCGGATCACATGATTGGAGATAATATCGAATCTTTACGCGAATACATTGGTGAATTTCAACCGAATCTAATGTCGATTGAGGAATTGAGAGAACTACTCTCATGTCCATTGACTCCATCATTAGCATCATTATCATCCAATGGAACGCCAACTCAGTCTCGACAATCGTTAACTCAGACAAACAATGCTGGACATGCATTTCGTTGTGGTTATTGTACGTTTTCCTCAGCTAATTCTGGCGATGTGAAAAAACATCAAACGTGGAAACATGCGAATCTAGCATCGAATATTTTACCAATGGATTCCAATAATAATGAACAGCAATCAGCTGTGGTCAGTGCAAAACGAAAACGAGTTCAAAGTACAAAGATAAGCAATAATGAAGAAGAAGATGGGCCAACTATACGACGACCGAGAATATCTATGCCATCGCAACGTCCTTTAACAATCGATACATCTTCAATGTTGAATGCAGACGATGATTCACCACCAAGAGGTTGGTTCATTGAAATTAACTCTGTAATCTCAAATATTTCTTGTTAATAGATCTACTTTCACCTAATGAACCTGGCATGTCGATAAACGAATCTGAACAACTATTAAATAGGAATACAACTACTCAAAATCAACTATCTGCCATTGGAGCACTATCATCACGTGTCTATAAATGTATACGTTGTGAACGTTTAGCACCAAACCGTTGGATTATTGAACGACATATACGTGCGAAGCATCCTTGTGATTTGAACAATATGTCCGATGTGATTATTGAAGTTGATAAATCATTAACTTTAGCGACTACCAACGGTGAACCGATGACGGCAACAAAAGCTTCAATGTCATCTGAGAAAGATAATTTAACTGTAACGATACCAAAGGCGTTCTCGTGTTCGGCATGTTCACTTCAATCCTACAATCTTTGGGTTATTCTTCGACATATTCGAAATGCGCATGAAAATGACGGATCTAATGCTAAAATTATTGATAATATAAATAATCAAGTAAAAATCTTTTTTTTTCTCACTTTTTTCGGATACAATCTCATCGTTTTGTGTAGATTATTGAAGATAATGATAATATGGAATCAGATACTCCTGCTAATAGTGTTCCATCACATACTGCACTAATAAATTCAGATGAAGATCATGAAGAAACCGAAAATCAGCAAACTGATGTAAATAACGAAGAAATGCTTAAACAATTAATTAATACAGCAATGGCATCAAGAAAAACCAATGCGTCAAATAACATTTTGGAAAATCTTCCAGCATCAATAATGAATAATAACGTTGCAGCATCACTTGCTACTCTACTCGGACAGCTAACTAATAAACCATTACCTCAACAAGCACTTCATAATGAAAAGGCTCCTTTAGTGAAGCGATATAAATGTTCACTCTGTTCTCATGTATCAGCGTGGGGAGGTAATGAATACTATATTCAAATTTGAATGCATTTCTTTTGTTTTTCAATTCATTGAAGGCAATGTTAAGAAGCATTTGAAACGCATGCATCCAACTGATTACTCAGGTCATGTGATTGATCTTAGTTTAGAAGGAGCTACTGCTGCTGCTAATCATTTGTCACTATTATCAAATAAAGACGAACTTGAAGAGCAACAAATTCTCACAACAAATACAAATAAAATGCAAGTAGCTAATGAAAATGGTCGGCAATCGTACCATCAGGTATTTTTAGGGAAATTCGTATGAACTACAATTGTTTGTTGTCATCTATTTTCAGTCAACTGATCTAATCAATACTAAACTGAAGGATATTGATAATTCTCCTTCATTTGCGCCTGTAACATCAACAAATTCATCTCAATCAACTCGTCCCGAGCGTCTGTATGGATGTTCCGCCTGTTCATATGAATGTACGAATCCTTCCAATATTCATCGTCATGTGGAAGTTCACTGCGGAGATGATGGCGGCGGTTTTCAATGTTCACAATGNGTTCGCAGGAATGTACGAATCCTTCCAATATTCATCGTCATGTGGAAGTTCACTGCGGAGATGATGGCGGCGGTTTTCAATGTTCACAATGCTTTTTTCTCTCAAAATGGCGTGCAAGTATCCGCAAACATATGATATCCACACACGGTAGTAGTTTAGCATCGCTGACCAACGTGCTCGAGCCAATAACAATCAACAAATCTGATGATGCTACTGTCATTGTTAAGAAATGGTTAGGTATGTTCTTTGCCTAACCTTTTGCTATTCATTCTTTTGTTTTTCATCATATCGATTCATTCTAGTTCATGAGAATGGTAATAAACACGAAGATGATCTGAATAATAATAGTACACATACAATGGATATTTCAATATACTATTGTTCGTCATGTCCATATACAACTAATAATCGAACATCGTTTGAACAACATGTTATTCATCATACTTTGTCGAAAGCTGATGACGACATATACACATGCTCGTTTTGTACATTCAATACGAATGAGAAGGATTCATTTAATGACCATCAAATGTTACACATTATGAAAGAAGATTTCCATGAAGATGCGACAGCAAATGCCGTTGAAAATACGGTTATATAAGTACAAAAGCAGCATAAATGATTCGTTATCGTGTATCTTTCTTTGCTATTATTTGTATTTCTATATTAAATCGAATACGATTTATGTGAGTTATCTTCTAGAGAACCTATCCATCACTGCCGACTTCTTTCTTTTATCGCAGTGTTTACTTTTGCAACTATTTTCTTGTTTCGTATCATTCCAACGCATGATTCCTCGATTACTCTAGTCAGATGATGAAGAGAAATGAAATAAAAACAAAGACAAGATAACTTGATAATTATCTGTATTATTTAATGTTTGTTCCTTCTTCTTTTTGTTTGCTTGTTTCGATGTGTTCGTCTGTGTTAGTCTTCTTTCTGTATTATTATTATTTTGCTGAAAGATGGAATTCTATCTTTCAATTTTCATTTTCCTTTTGCCTCACTGACCGTTTGCTTGGTCAACAAAGAAGTAGTTTGAAACAAATAAACGAAAGTAACACATCAACGTCGTGTATGTTAAAATGAATTGCATGACATGAAGAGGAAACGGTTAATCAAAAGGATCGATTTTCTTGAGAATATACCTTTGTTAAAATATTAAGCACATCCGTGACGAACTTTTACTTTAAAACTGAGCAACTGTTTAAATCAAAGATTTTTTATAATTACTGAACACACAGCAGGTTGAACTCGTGAAAACCAAACACTAATCCAGTTTTCAACGAATTCATTTTTAAAAATAAGCATGTTCGAGTACGTCGAAGCCATTCTATTAAGTATTTTGATGTATTTTATATCGGTTTTCTCGGGCGAAACTAATCAGTTGTATTTGTCAATCACACGAGGTGTTTCATTCAATCCATGTAGCAATGCGTCCATCATTGAACAGTCGACATTTCACACAGACGTGGATTGTGTCATTATATGCTTGACGTAATCTGTTTGTCAATCGATTATGTACGATTATACTGGAAAGAGTTGTACTATTTATGACGCAGCAGATGGAAATGTATACTCTTCGAGCGGACATATTATCTACATGAAAAGTAGTACATCCGTTTCTATTGACGGCCTCACAGAAGCTACTACAAAAAAGGCAAACACCGAAGAACGTCTGAATATTGTTGTATTAGTATTAATGAATGAATCACTTTTTTAGCTTCTACTTGCGTCACTGGCAGCTATCCTTCATTCAATTTGGATCTCATCGCATTGTGGCGTTTTGTTTTGAATGCCAAAGATGCTCAACACTCTCATAATAGAATGCTGATGAGCGATCCTGTTATCGACAGTAATGATTACATCGACGGAGCTCTTAATCTAGCAATCTATGGTTCATACGTCGAAATACCTTATATTAACATGTTGTCGACTAGTTTTACTATGGAATTATGGATTTCCCGTGGAAATTCTTACACTAAGGTGACGTTGATATCGGAAAAAACCTAATCTTACGTGTAAATTCCGCTGGCTTTATTACCTTCTCTGAAGTAGGATATATTACTAGGGTCTATCTTCTGGAAAAAACACTGGTATCATGTAGGTTTTGTCTATGATTATAGCTTAGGACAGCAGCATATCTATATTAATGGAATATAGGATTCTACAGCTGAATTAACACTTACTTTCACAACGAGTACGGCATTTTATATTGGATTAATTTATGGAACGAAGGAGTTTTTCGACGGTTTTATCGACCATGTGTCAATAACAACACGTATCAAATCTACATGTGAAATAGTAAGAGATGGATCATTGATTGCTTATTTTGCATTTACAGATGGACAAGCATACGTAGATTCTGGACCATACGGAAGAAATGGAACCATCATGGGCAGTATGTACGACGCACCAGGTCGTGTTGGTGGTGGTGGTGGTCAGGTATGTAAATGTAAAAAGAATTATGGCTAATAAATAGAAACCGAAAAGAATTTCTATTTCCAATTTTTAGACACCTGACATGCCCAACCTCATCGTTTTTGACGCTGACTTTTCCTTTGCACCCTTTGTTTCACCTTCATCAATTCGTAATTGTGTATTAATGTATCTATCCGGCACGAGTAATATCAGTGACACGTCAAAAGCACGGCCCTATTTAGGTACGAATTCATCTGGCATTATAATAGCAGAACTTCCGCAAGAAAACACTGATGAAACACCAATAAGTATTCCTGCGAATCAATGGAGTCATATGGCTTTGACGTATGATCACAATGAGGCTTTCATTATCATTTACTACAATGGCTAGTGTGTTTGTTCCTCCAGATATGTATTATCCGGCGATTAGCACTCTGCCCGTCTTTGTAACTTTAGCTAGTCCTTTAGCAGGCGGAAATGATTCACTCATACAAGCACAACCATTCGATGGTATTATTAATGAATTCTACATGTGGAGTCGCACACTTAACGCATCAGAAGTTTATGCATTAGCCAATCCAACCTCAACATGAAATGACTGTTTCTTATCTTTCCGAAACATACCACTGTTCATTAATATACAAATAAATATAGTAGTTCAAAAAAAATGCTTCGAGTTTCCCTGACGCGCACGCCTTCTATCGCTCTCGCATGCAAGAGAAGCACATGGCCGAGAAAAGAGCGATGACTCATTGATGTGTGCCTTACATCATAACAGACAGTCAGTCCTTCTCAAATTGATTGAAAAACAAGAAGCGATGACTTATTTCGAAGCATCTTCATCAATAGAGAATGATTTTGATGATAACAGCAACGACGAAGATTTTCTTATTGCACTTCAATTGCAAAATCAATTTGATAACGAAGAAAAAGAAAACGAAGGACAAATAAACAAGATCACTCAGGTTTTCAACGTTACAAATTGTAAGAATTCATTCTCTGAATATTTTTTTAGATTCATCCAATGAATGTCGTTGACCAACAATGGGAACTAACTGATCCGAATCCAAATATTTATACGTTATTTCAACAATTCAACCATCAGTTTTTCTACAGTAAACTAGATAGCGTCTATGTCGAATGGAGCAAACGTATGACGCGGTAAAATCTGTTGCATCTTCTCTATGTTTATTTGAAATGATTTCGTTCGTTGCAGATGTGCAGGTATTTGTTATTATCGACGAGGCGGCGAATGTCGAATTGCTCTCAGCGCAAGTTATTTAACACTGCGACCCCGAAAAGATCTCGTTGAGACATTATTAGTAAGTATCTTTTTCAGAAGAACAACGCTGATTTCCATTTTTCGTTTTTCTTAGCACGAAATGATCCATGCGTATCTATTTGTCACTCACAATAATCGAGTAAGTGAACTAAATTTGTCACCTTGTGTAGATTTAAAGTATTTTTCTCTAGGATCGCGATGGTCATGGACCAGAATTTCTTAAACATATGGTACGAATTAATAGTGCAACTGGTGCTAACATCACTGTAATATAGCGAATGACCTTTCAATTATAGTAACTGAACTGTCTTTAATGTGTTAGGTATACCATTCGTTTCACGATGAATACGATCATCTTCATGGTCATTGGTGGCGATGTACGGGGGCATGCCGTCAATGGAAACCTTTCTACGGTTATGTGAAACGATCAATGAATCGAGCACCGTCGAATCGAGATCGATGGTGGGGTATGTGATGTGACTTTTGATAATTCTTATGTTTGCTTTTCTCAAATTTTCTAAGACGAACACGAGAAACGTTGTGGTGGTAAATTTGAGAAGATAAAAGAGCCGGATAATTACAAAACAAAGACAAGTAAAAAACGTAATGCTAATGAGATGACGTCAAATAACAATGAAACTCTACCTTCATCGAGTCAAAGTAAATATTCTTTTTCGAAATGACACTGTTGAGACCGCAGTTCATGTTCGATGATCGTTTCAGATGTATCACCAAAGAAAAAGAAGAAAACAACAACAACAGCTTCTAACAATACAACACTGAATCAAGGTACTATTGATACTTTTTTCAAAAAAGCAAAATCTTCGTCGACGTCGTCGTCGACAATAACAGCTAAAACGCAGTCCGAAGTGAGGAAGTCAACTGGAACAACTTCGCCGAGTATATCTAATCATACCGATGAACAGAAAATCAATTATGGTAAATGTCCAACGTGTGATGTTCTTCTACCAAAAGCAAATTTATTTATTCATCAAGTACGATGCTACAAAAAATGAAATCATATAGTTTTTTCATCTCATAGATTATTTCAATGTCTTTCTTTTCTGTAAATATCTTATTTATAATAAATTGAATTGGTTAAAGAGAAATTAGAAACAGCGTTTGAGATTGAAATCCAATTATGGTTTTACATAACTAGAACACATAGAAAAAAGTTAAGGCAGCCCGAGAAGGGACAATAAATAAATGAACGGATTCTATCAGTAAGAGAAATCATTGATCATCATCATTTTTCGACATAATCAGATTATCCTCTTGACAATCGTCCACTCTCTTGCTATAGTATTACTCAATGTTGATTAAGACTTCATTCAAAACTATTTTCTCATCCTAACAATCAACTTATCTTATGCTCGTCAGGGATATTCTAACCTTCGTAGTTAGACTTATTTAAGTGCTACTGACGCATTCAAAAAATAGTTTTATTTTCTAAACATTACTGGAAAATATAGCTGAAGAAAGACAAAAAAAACAGATATATATCTGTACGTATGATGAGTAGCATATCTATTACCAAACACACAAAGCAAAGAGAATCTAAGCAGATTGGTTTGGATTTCAAAGAGAAGTCGCGCCCTTGATTTATTTTATAGATATTACAAATAGGAATGACACTAGTGTTATCAAGATAACTTATTGATAAGATGCAAATTAAGAAAAGAGTGGATAAATGAAATGCTAACTATGGCAAAATAAAGTTCATGAAGATTGTTTTCTTGATCATCTCTAACTGATATGACATTGGCTGGAACGATAACAGGACAGTAGAAAACGAAATATTCGTCAATAACTCATTTTACGCCAGATTGTATTCACATATTGCATCGAACTTGGTTAAGTAGAAGAATGTGTGTCGAATGATCTATAAATAATATCAGCGTTTATTTCCATACTTCAAAATATGACATCCCAAACATCAATCGAATGAAAGTTATTAAAGAACAAATCTGTCTGATGCCTATTCAATGATAATCGCTGCCACGAAATTTCTTGTGGAAGTTTTACATTCTTCTATTCTGTCTGACGCTTCAAAAACGACGCCATATGTATGTTGATGATGTTTCATTGTTGAAAACCGAAAATAGTTTACAATGTTAGGGTTTGCCGTTTGTGTCTGATTATAATCTGAAACACTGCGCTTCGTGTTTGTTTTCGAAACTATATGTTAGTTTCATAGAATAGAAGCATTTTGTCATTTTCTTCTGCTCTTATTGGTAGTAGCAAACGAAACAATTAAGTGTATTTTTGACTCAAATTGGCAAATACATTCAATGAAAACTAACTTACAATAAAGGAAAATATGCATTGTAAGTGCTCGCATTTGTATATCACAGTCATTATATTGTAAGAAACTAATCGAAAGTTAGCTGAGAGCAGGACTATGAATGTTTTAAAGTAAGATACTACAGCGTTCTTGTAGATTTCATAATTATCGTTAAAACCATCTGTTTAGAGATATCGAAAAGCGGTTTAACTTTTCCAGTAAGCTAAACGTCTTGTTTCCTAAGAGAATCGATAACATTTCGTGTTTCGAAGGTTTTCCACGTTTTCTTATTTATTAAAATACCATAGGGTAATTAATTCATCAAAATGAATTGACAGCAAATTGTTAGAGCACCTCGATGAGGGAGCTGTCATTCTATTTATACGAAAGATGGTGAATGTTCTAACTCACCCTTCTACACAAAAACCAGACATGCAGCTTAGGGATAGCAGTTTAGCTTAACTTTAAATGTTCTAGTTAACGTCACCTCTGCGGTAAACCGTAGCTCAATTTTATAGTATTTGGCTTTAAAAAGAAATAAAAGATCATATGACTGTTTTTTTCAGGTTGAGAAACGATCACTTTTGTTTTATCTGTCATCGAATAAGATTTGAAAAAATGAAACAAACACACTGAGGGACCCTGCATGAAGCTCTATCAGCAAACTATATCGTCGAACTTATTACAATCATCTGTTTTTTTTTATCTAAAAAACGTCAAATGTTGCAAAACAATCAGTGAAAACTGACTAGGTAACATTTAGTGTTCTCGAAAACAGAACATACATACTCAAAATAGATCCTAATGTAAGCTGTAGAGTTTTTCATATTCCGTTATAATTTTTTAGTGAAAAAAATTAATTTAGAGATGTTAATTCCTTTTGATGAAAATAGATTCGGTTACCAAAGGAGCTAAAGTCATAAAAGATGTCCTTTTTTCAATTTTTTGATTTACCATTGTAACTGTGAAAACAGAACTCACTGCGTACGTATTCTAATGCCATCTATCTGTGCACGCCAACAATTCTTAACAGTTGAAATGATTACACGTCATTTGTTTTCGTCAAAAACATATAACTGCATCATCACCATGAATTACTAATCATAACGAACAAAACGAACTATTTTCCCTCGCTTCCAGTCTCTACGGTACGGTTTGCTGCACGATTGAAATACAACATGCACACATTTTCCACATTACCTGTCGAACTAGTTTATCGAATTATGGATCATCAAAATGAGCAGACGCTATTTTGTTCAATGCAAAATATTTGTCGACGGCTCAATCAGATCCTGAGTACTTACCAGCGATATCAAGTAAGTTTACTTGGTATCCTAACATTCTTGTCGACTGTGCTATACATAAGCTTAATGGCATTTGATGTCGTAGGTTCCCTCATAGAAAAACCTAACTAATTTCATCATTCACAAATAATTTCCTAGAATGTGACAATCACAGCCAGAAGTCATATGAAATCAAGCCTTCCTTCACTCTCTCCCCGTTGTTCTATGTACATTGACGATACATTCGACCGATACGCGGTCATGGACGAGCAAAACGCTTACTCATGCGTTACCGTTTCTGCGTTGAACTACTCGACCCAAAAATTGCAACAATCACAACTTTTGAGGGAACTCATCTATTCAAGCAAACAACACAGTACAGTTGCTTCACCTATACCAATATTCATTCTCGACAGGCGTACATTAAATCCAACTCCTACATTTCACAAGACTAAGACTTCGATTTCACCGCGGCACCCCTTCAAAAGAGAAATCTCATTACCACCAATAGATATTGAAACTTATGTCCTACCATTTCTATCCCATCCTTTCACAGTAATGTCCAGTCTAGATTCCCGACACGGCACCTCTTTCCAGAACAACAACTACCCTCTTCATCAACTCCAAGAAATTCACATCTACACCCGACTGCTCCTTAAAAATCGACCCCACACATAACTATTTCAAATCACATACATACCATCAGAAATGCAATCAAAAGTTCTATCTACTACTTCCGCTTTTCACTATATATTACTTCAATCCAGACACTCACCAAACTTAATCTCAATAGCCACCAAATCGGTGCCGAAGCAGTACAACACATTGCGAGTGCGCTCCGGAGGAATACGGTAATATTGATCTCATTTCATAGAAGATCAAGCACTCAGTCTATCTCGCATCTACAGACACTCACTGCACTTCACCTCGGTTGGAAAAAAATCGGTGCTGAAGGAGCACAACACATCGCGGATGCTTTGCGAACGAATACGGTAATATTGATCTCATTTCATAGAAGATCAAGCACTCAGTCTATCTCACTCCCACAGACACTCACCACACTTGACCTCCGTTGGAACGAAATCGGTGCTGAAGGAGCACAACACATTGCGGATGCGCTCCGGAGGAATACGGTAATATTGTTCTTATTTCATAGAAGATGAAGCACTCAGTCTATCTCACATCTACAGACACTCACCACACTTCACCTTGGTTCGAACGAAATCGGTGCTGAAGGAGCACAACACATTGCGGATGCGCTGCGAACGAATACGGTAATATTGATCTCATTTCATAAAACATGAAGGACTCAGTCTATCTCACACCTACAGACACTCACTGCACTTAACCTCCACGGGAACAAAATGGGTGCTGAAGGAGCACAACATATTGCGGATGCGTTGCGAACGAATACGGTAATATTGGTCTCATTTCATAAAAGATGAAGCGCTCACTCTATCACATACATACAGACACTCACCACACTTAACCTCAATGAGAACGGAATCGGTGCTGAAGCAGCACAACACATTGCGGGTGCGATGCGAACGAATACGGTAATATTGATCTCATTTCATAGAAGATGAAGCACTCAGTCTATCTCACATCTACAGACACTCACCACACTTCACCTTGGTTCGAACGAAATCGGTGCTGAAGGAGCACAACACATTGCGGATGCGCTGCGAACGAATACGGTAATATTGATCTCATTTCATAAAACATGAAGGACTCAGTCTATCTCACTCCCACAGACACTCACCACACTTAACGTCGATAGGAACCAAATCGGTGCTGAAGGGGCACAACATATCGCGGGTGCGATGCGAACGAATACGGTAATATTGATCTCATTTAATAGAAGATCAAGCACTCAGTCTATCTCACACATACAGACACTCACCACACTTCACCTCGAGAGGAACGAAATCCGTGCTGAAGGAGCACAACACATTGCGAGTGCTTTGCGAACGAATACGGTAATATTGATCTCATTTAATAGAAGATGAAGCACTCAGTCTATCTCACACATACAGACACTCACCACACTTCACCTCAAAGAGAACCCAATCGGCGCTGAAGGAGCACAACACATCGCGGATGCTTTGCGAACGAATACGGTAATATTGATCTCATTTCATAGAAGATGAAGCACTTAGTTTATCTCACACCTACAGACACTCACCACACTTGACCTCCGTTGGAACGAAATCGGTGCTGAAGGAGCACAACACATTGCAGATGCGCTGCGAACGAATACGGTAATATTGATCTCATTTCATAAAACATGAAGCACTCAGTCTATCTCACTCCCACAGACACTCACCACACTTAACGTCGAGATGAACGAAATCGGTGCTGAAGGAGCACAACACATTGCGAGTGCGATGCGAACGAATGCGGTAATATTGATCTCATTTCATAGAAGATGAAGCACTCAGTCTATCTCACATCTACAGACACTCACCACACTTCACCTCAAAGAGAACCAAATCGGCGCTGAAGGAGCACAACACATCGCGGATGCTTTGCGAACGAATACGGTAATATTGATCTCATTTCATAGAAGATGAAGCGCTCACTCTATCTCACATCTGCAGACACTCACCACCCTCACCCTCCATAGGTACGAAATCGGTGATGAAGTAGCTCAACATATCGCAGATGCATTGGGAAGGAATATAGTAAGATTGATGCTGTGCTGGAAGAAGTTTGTAATTTCTGTTTTGTCTCATTCTTAGAGCGCCATGATGGCATAGATCTGGCTGTAAATTGAATCGGAGAACCAGCGATGCTGGATCTGATGACTCTTTGCGTAGATCGTATCTTTTTCGATTGAGAACTTAGTTGATATCATTTGTTGTGTGGTTTTCATGACATTGTTGAGTAATAAAGGTATAGAAAACGAATGTTGTTGGGAGAAGTGAGTGTGACCTGAATGCTAATACTTTTTTTTTCTGTGAGAAGTGCACGTGCATTAGTGAAAATGAATGGTTTAGTTACGAAGATATAACGGAGCAGTGTTTGGTAGAAGAGGCACCATACGTGTATAAGTGCTCGGTTTGGAGTTTGTTTCTGAGAGGGTATGACGGACAAGACAACATTACTGTAGACGGATGTACTATATTGGAGATATAGAAGAAAGCTGTTTCATGTTTTATTCCAAAGCCTAAATGTATTGATTGTTTGATGAGGAGGATTTATTTCTTTTTGTGGTTCATTTTTGTAGAGAGTAGTATTCATCCGCTATGTATGAGTTCTACGGTGCATTCGAAAGAAACGCTGTGTTATAAACTGACTAGACTGATATAGTGAAGAGAGAATAATTAAAAAATAGCGCACCAAATCGTTCTGTTAGATTAATCATTTCCCACCATCAGCTTAGTGTGAAAACAAGTTATTTTTGTCGAATATGATCAGCACTATTGACTCTTGGTGCTGATCGATGTTAAAATATCAAGGAAGTGTTTTTACAGTACTTTATCGTGGAAAGAGCTTTGCAATATATTCTCGAGCTCGTTTGTATATCATTCTGATAACAGGACTTTGTGTTTATGGTTTGCTTATATCGAAAATTTCGACACTGTTTGAAACGCTCAGAAGTTTGAGGTCGTATGAAATCTAATGATAGGAAGCTATTGTACCCTTGCTCTGAGATCTATCTTTTGAATGATGACAAAGTTGAAACCGCTTAGCTGCGCATAATTCAACATCTTAGTCTCTACGCTAAGATATTACATATATACTCGTAGTGTTCTTTAACATTACACTGTAAGAGAACGTACATTTCATTTGGTTTGGGTACCTGTCTTTGAGTTCTCTGCACGTATCGGTGGTTGAAAACTCACACGAGAGGATCATCATTGAACAGAAGTGGATTTTGGCTATCTGGAGCCACCGCAGACTGAATTTATACATGTAGTATTACTACGTTTTGAGGTGTATCTGAAATGGTATGTATATAGCCCGCCTGTTTGCAAGGAGTTAACAGCGCTTGGTCAAAATACACTCATATAAATCGAGTGGACTGAAAGTGTGCAAAGAATCATCGTCTAAGTACAGATACTCTTGCTTTCAATCACGGCATTTGCGCATATTTAGTCTCGGTTTGTTTATAAATGAGTACCAACAACGAATACAACCGTGTAGCAATAGTCTGTATATGTTGTAGATAAATAATATAATTTGCAACAACCAGCAATGTTATCGACAGGATTTGTCTATACAAATATATAAAGCAGTCGAAGATGAGCGTGCCCGTAGTCAAAGAAAGAAACATGTGCATTTTGTTTTCAGTAAATAAAATCGCGCCGTGCGATATTCAAACTTTTTAGCTGAGTATACAGTCACTTTTTATTACCACTAAACATAGAGAGAAGAAATTGTCATTGTTAAAGTCAGGTAAACTTGCTTGGATTAATTAATATTCTTCTCAGTAGTTGCAGAAGCCTATCCTAACACATGAAAAATATCCTCCGATATCTGTTCTAATTAAAGAGCTCACGCTCAAAAGTATCATCTTCTGATGGTAAATGTTGTTGAGTTTTCAGTTTAGATCTAATATTTCCAACAATAGCCATGGCCAAGTCCAAGATAACGAATGCGTGCACAATGAGACTTATTTCAGTATCCATATGTAATTTATAAGTAATTCCCCCAATTGAACTCGTTGATCTGATATTAAAATGTTAGAATTATATTGTTCAGCATACTTGAAACACCATAGAGACTTGTTTCATCTCATAAACCAAACCACTTGTCTCTTTGTAAAAAAAGTCGTTTTTGCCTAGTCGATTATCATGACCTATCCATAATATCCTCTGTTTTTCTGTTTCTATTCCAATTCAATGAACACGTTTAGCTCTATACCATGTTTAACACCAATGACATCCTACTGTACGTCGCATGGTGTTCTGTTTTTCAGCGCAGAAAAGCAGCAGGTTCACGCATACTTATAATGGATCGGAAAGATCTCATTTCAAACAGACTATATATCGAATAAGATTCGAAAAAAAGGTTCACAAGAAGAAACTAATGTAAAGTTTGAGGATTCCAGTCTTAATTACGCTTTAAAGGATAGTTGCTCAGAGCGAGGAAACTCCAGCGGATACGATGGAAATACGCCGAAAGTCCAAGAGTCTTAGCATTTCTGGCATCCGACCTGTTTTTCTAGCGGATTTCCGCAGATTCTGAAATCTCGATTACTCGTTGTTTATTTTTAATTCGTTTCTAATTCCCTTTTCTGAAAGAAAGGGTTATAGTGCATAAAATACGGTCGTTAAAATGCTAAAAGTTTGTTCGCATAATCCAATCAGATTGCAGTATTTTATAAGTTTATAAAAACTCATGAATAGTTATTAATAAATAATCGACCGAACGATAATCTAGATCGAGAATCTCGAATCCGGTGTTAGTTTTTTAATAGAAAAATTCTGTTCTGCTTCTTTTAGACAAAGGATGATTTCTTGCATGGAAGTACTTTTTTAGGCGATAGTGTTACAAGCAGTAATGTGTAGAACAAAACAAAATAGCTGATTAACGTCGGATTGTTGGATATTCATACACATCAGCATATTGATAACGTCACAATTATACAAACAGTTGTATTACACAAACATTATCTGATGTTAACCACTGAAAATAATACTTCCTCTGACAAATGTTGTTTTGGACAGTCACAATGGCACAAAGTTGGTGATTCTTCAACAGGGAACGGAAGAAAATGGTTTGATTCATTCTGAAGGGGGTTCTAAACTAGATGAAAGAATAAAAGTTGGACATGAAACGGCTAGCAGCGCGTGGCCGTGGCCGACCGGAGACAGACCGACGAACGACTAGGCGTTTGTTTGAGTGGCTTGGAAAAGATAAAATAAGTGTAAGTAAATTGATTTTTGATTTTAAATAGTGGGAAGAGAGTCGATTAATAAATGTTTAGAAATAGTGTTCCTTTTGCATACATCTCTGGACAAATGAATTGAAAATATGTTTGACATGAATAAAGTAGAAAAGGATTAAGCGAAAAGAATGTGTATAAAAATGGCTTTGATTCGAAGCGAATTAGAGTGAGGTTTATGTTGGAGTTTTTATCTAGAAAGTCTTCTAATTCTTTCGGAAAAGGGTCAGCGAATCCAACAGATGAGCGATACTTCTTTCTATGGTGTACTCAATCTATTTTTTGTTTTAGTGGTATTGTATGGAAAGCAAACTGCGGCTTTTATGGACATTTTATCACCGAATTTAGGTGTGACAGTTCTGAACTGTAGAACTGGATACCATCGGTTCATTTGGACTGGTACAACCAGTTCATCAAAAAAGAACTGGTAAAAATGAGACTCAACAAGTCTTTCTTTATTCAACTGACACCAGTTCTTTTGTGGATCAATTAAGTGCTGCATTCGATAGGTGTCAAACTTCTATTTATAGATATAGTCTGCCTTTCGGATACTTCATAGTCAATAAAATAAACAGAGAATGTTGTCGAGAATACATTTCTCCGAAAGAATCCACTTGTCATTTTTATTGTATTATATTTTCGTTTGATCGTTGGCAAATATGAGATCAAGTAATAGCTATGATACCCCGAATTAGTGTAAAGATTTGGTCGTGCATGTTCTTATAGAAAGATTCATTGCTCGTCAAAAGACTATAGGATCATTTTGAAAATCAGACTTGGGAACATACAAATTGAGTCGATGTGTTTCACTCTATATTATGCTCTTCATAAACTGGAAATAGAATAACAATAATAAAAACTTCAAGTGAACTTCCATGAATTTAAATTGGTCTTTAAAAATGTGTTCTACATCTATTTGCCTATGCAAAAGTGAAATTAACGATGTTTTGGATTCCAAAAACAATAATTCTCCGTGAAATAATCTTTCATATACGATTTCAATAGACTACCCTTCACCTTCACAAAACTGTTTCGATCTCATATAAGATCATTTTTGTTCACATCTAATGAAGGAAATGAACGAAAACTTATCAAAAAAGACTATCTTTGTGAGAGGAACAGAGTTTAAAATGCGAAATACTTATCAACACGAGATGGCGTTTGCGTCCGTCATGTGTAATAGTTTCAGCTGATTCATAGTTAATTTCTATTGGTCGATGCAAATCGATAGGATATCGATTGGTTCTGAGTATATTTTCAATCGACTAGTAGTTGCAACACATTGACTCCATTCGTTTTCTGAATTTGAACCATTTTCATTTTGAAATTTTCATTATAAAAGCTTATTTTAGATCTTGTCCAATGGATGCTTACTGGGAATTATCCGACTTTGATATTCATATTCGTCAACAAGGCTTCGAAAAATTACTAGAGTCATTGCAAATATCGTCGACGAATAACGAAGACGAAAAGGTTAGTTCTCTAACATATACTTTTTCATTACTTGGAAAGAAACTTTCTCCTTTTCTAGAGTTCATCATCACAACTTGATTATATCATATCACGATTAATCAAAGGGTTGGTATCCAATCGTAAATGTGCTCGTATCGGTTATGCTGCAACTCTTGGCACAGTATGTGATCTACTGCATAAAATATTCAAAAAATCATCTTTTTATTAACATCATTTAGCTCGCTAGTCTGAATGATACCGAATTAGAAATGCCATCAACTGATGAATTTATATCATTAGTTGAAAACAAATTGACAACGAAAAAAGAAACTGGTGTTGAAGTAATCTCCCAGAATTGTTCAAATTCTTTCGTCATGAAATGTTTCTCTTCAGGATGCCAAAAATGTTCGGATCGGTCGTGTTCTTAGTTATATCGCATTGGCTTATACACAAAAGGATAATGATGTTTGATTGCACTGGAATTCCACTTTGCAGAGATATAATCTTGTCTTTTTTTATTTAGTTATCAGATCTATTATCGAGAATCATACCTGATTTGCTTCTCATTCGTACGCAAGAAACTCGACGACGTTTACGCACATTTATCGATGCAGCGATCATTCAACTAGCGAAATGGGTAATAAACTTTCTCAAAAGCTATTATTACTTATCCAGGTGATTTTTCAGAGTGGTCGAAAGGTATTCAAAAAAGGAATTTTACCACAAATTCAAGAACTTCTTCCAAACTCATGGCAAATGGGCGATGATGGGTCAAAATCGATCTTTCTACTCATTTCACTCGTTAATCTTTATCCGGTATAAAATATTGCCAATTTTTATTGAAAGTAAACTGTTATTTTTCTTGAAGAAAATATTTGATCGAGAATATTTTCAATCAAATTGGAAAGATAACGTATTATCGTTAGGAAAAACCAGTGATCAACAAGCAATTATCAAAAAGTGTCTACAAGTACGACGAAAAAGTTTTCGATATTAATCATTTTCATTGTTTGTATTTAGTCATTTGACAATGAACTTCATTTACTTGAACAATTAAGTAGAGAACTATTGGTTTATGCTATTCATACACAACAACTGGTATCATTTTGGCCAATACTTGTTGACGGTAAGAATGAGGAACTATGGCTCATTGCTATACTCAAGGAACTATCGATTTTTTGTTTTCTAGAACTTTCAAACATTGGGCTTGATTCGAACAAAGGTCATATTTTACTTGATTTGATCACGTTCTGTTTTCAAGAACGTGAAAACTCTGATCCAGTTTACACGGTAGTTGTTGCTTATGTGTTTTTAAATTGAATAAGAGCCATCGATTTAGATTGAAACAATGCTTGATCATAGTGAATTGTTATTTGGTAAAATACTGGATTTATTGTCATCATCAGGACGGAAAACACATCAGCAAGCATCCATTCAATTATCTAAAGATGCAGTATGCTGAAGACATTTTTTTCACTGATAGTGTTTTATCTACATTCGATATTTAGCTCGATAAACTCGCACATACACTGGCCAGCCGATCGTTACAAGAACGATTACGCTTATTTGAAAAATTATTGAAATGGTTTGTATATATATATATATGATAAAGGATCATAGCATTGATATTTTCTCCTTTAGTGCGGATAAGAACTATACATGTATGCATACAGTAGCAACTGCTATATCAGAAAAAGTACGAAAAAGCCTTTCCGAGTTTCTTCGGTGACAGAAATCTGATAAGAAACTTTTATATTGTTCGTTTTAGTTAACAGTTGAAGAATTTCCGGAGTATGTGAAATACATCATCGGCTTATTTTTTACAATTGCTAAAGAAGATGAAAAGTAACTAAAAAATAATTTAATTGATCGAAAAACTTGAATCTAAATCTTTATTAGTGCTCTCGATCGTCGTCGACATTTTCTTCTTGAAACGGTTAGACAACTGTTACTTATGTAACTTTTTTCATCATGTGCTCGTTCTCTTTCAGCTTTCGAATGTCTGCAACAGTGCTGCGTTCGATTTGAAAGTTGATTCTTGTGGTTCATTGTTGGAAAATATTCTTTCGTTATGCGTTTTATTGGCGAATTTCAAGCTAAATAACCATACACCAAAACAATTCCGTGAAGTAATATTTCACTCATGAAAATTCACGGTCACACGAATTAACTTCATTTAGCTTCTTCCTGAAACAGTCCAACTTTCGGATACAACACGAGAACATCTGGAAGATATTGTTTATAAACTTATTCTTCATGAATTTCATGAGAATAGATATGAACACAGTTTTCATATTTTTCAAAAATCAATCGTAAGAAAATTTGCTTCTTGTTCGAAAATGAATCTTCAGCAATGCATCTTTTAGCAATGGATTGAAACACCCAAACATTATTCGCCAGTGTTCAAACACAGTGAAGAAATAAAAGAATATCTAAAGGAAAATAGTGCAGAACTATTTGAACTTCTACAAGGAAAAACGGTTCGCAAAATGAAAGAAATTTTTCTTGAAACAAAATCTGATTTTTCTTTTACAGATTCAATCATTACCAGATGAAAAACTACGATTAGCATTTCAGCAAGTGATTGTGCTAAGTTTTTACGATTTATTCGTTGATTTCAATCGTGCTAAACAATATCTCGACGTATGCTAAGTTTTATACACAAGCGAACCGTATGTTTTCGATAAATATCTTTTAGGATCTAGTGACGTGTGTGAAAAATGCACATACCCAATTGGTATCGAAAAAGAAAGTCAAGGGTAAATACTTTCGACAAGTCTGAAATAGAATTGTTGAGTTTTCCATTTCGTAGAACAATCAACATGGATTGAGGTCTTGATTGATATTCTTCTTTCGATGTACACAAAGAAACAACATGATATTCGAGCGATTGTTAAGAAGATTTACCATCAAATAGTACCATACATGAATGAAAATGCTTTGAAATTGATGTTACAAGTGAGAATAGTTTTGTAAATGAATGCTGAATTTGAATGAAATGTGTATTTTAGACTATTTCCATGGAAAACGAAAGTGATGACGAAGGCGAAAGTGGCGAGGGTGAAGAAAATGAAGACGAAGACGAAGATGAAGATGAACAGGAAGAAAGTAGTGATGAGGAATCTGATGAAGAATTAATGGAAAATGGCGATGCTAATGAAGAACTTCGACAAGCAGTTGAAAAGGCATTGGGTGATGCAGCTGTAAAAGAAGATCAAGTAAAAAAAAAGAGAAGTCGGTCAAAACAAGATAAATTTGTTTTGTTTTACTTAGGAAGATGATGTTGATATGGATGACGAAGCAATGCTTCGCTTAGACCCATTAATTGCTGAAGCATTTCGATCGCAAATGAAAAAATCATCGAATTTGAAAGTCATCAATGAGAAACTTCACCATCAATTTCGTGTTCTTGATTTAATTGAATCAGTGATAAAAAAAGATGATCGAATGCGATTTGTTCTTGTAAGTTCATAAACTTTCTGGACACAATTGCAAAATCATGTGATCATTCTATCTGTTTAGATTAGCATTCGTCCTTTGATTGAAACATTAACAAGTTTACCAAATAATACCGCTTATAAGACAATGATTGAACGCTTAGATTCGATTTTACGGCAATTGTCAAATCGAAAGGTATGAATATTTCAATAAGATCGTTCTCAAATGAATAAGGATCCATTTTCAATCTTCAGCTCGGACATACAGATATGCCAACGACTGATGAATGTCTAGAACTATTTCGGTATTTAACGTCACTGGCTGGTATGTGATATTTTTCAAGTAAATCATTTGTTGAAGTTTTTTCTTCAATAGGAACTCGAACAAAATTAACCACGGATACGTTATCAAAAGTATCGATGTTTGTTGTAAGTTGAAAATTTCAAACAATGATTCGATCTGCGAGATTTTCATAGATAAAACTATGCTTGCACGTTGGTAAACAAGAAGATCGATTGCCGGGCGTCGAAGAAACGATTCTGACAATGTACGAAGGCGGATTTCTTCGTTTTCTCCAGCCCAAACCGTATGTGATTTTGAGTTGTGATAGAATTCTCCAAGTTCATGTCCTTCTTTCTTGTAGACCAAAGGATAAATCTGAGAAAAAGAAGAAGCAGAAGAAAAAAGATGACGACAATGAAGACGAAGAATTGACTCCTCATCAATCAGTTGTTCATCCAAGTATTATTAAAGAATTTCTTCTACGTTTTCCCGAATATGGTGGTCGTCTAATGGTATCGATGGTTCGAACAACACTAAAGGAAAACATCAATTGGAAAAAACGAGTGAGTCTACTTTTTCAGTCAATGTGTTCAGTACTATCTATCTTTAAGAATATCGTCTGCGGCACATTGAATAACTTCTTCAATAGAAAACAAGTACGAGAAAATTTTACTTTTGTTCATTGCAGATTTTATGTATTCCTTTCTAGTTGGATCATGTCGATGAGAACTTATTGAAATCAACCATAGATCTTCTTGTTATGGTAAAAGTTCGATACCTCTTTCTTGATATTGACAAACTTCTTCATCTTTGATAGTCCTGTAATGATAGCAAATCATCAAAAATGGAATCTATGCATGTAATCACTACCTTGACACAAAAACTAGTATTGATTCGAGTAAAGATTTGATTAGTTCGGTTGATGTTTATAGGAATTCGATTAAAATTGTTTAGAATCCAACTTTAACGGAAAAACAAGCATCAACTTTGCTTGCTGCTCTTTCCACAGCGATCAAAAGCAAACCAATCAATAGTGATAAACAACGTAAACAACTTCTCAATCTTCTACAATCGTTTAAGAAAAGGTTTTCCTCCTCGATTTACAACTGATTTTTCATTCTGCACGGTTCTCTTTAGATTTTCGTTGACCATTGACGAAGAAATAATGAATATGTTAACAACGAAGCGTAAATCTTCGTCAGCAGCAACAACAACAACCAATACAGCAAAGAAATTGAAAACAGAAGAATCAAGTGTCTCCAATGGAGATGTAAATCAATCAGTTGTCGATTGCCGACAAATGCCATTCAAAGGCATTAATGTTTAAGCATAAAATTTGTTTTTGTTTGTTGTTACTCCAAGAAAAAAAAAGAAAATTCTAATGAAATAAACCATTTGGAGATTTGTTTTGATTGTAGATATAACAGCATTCATGGCTAGTAATCGTCAGAGCACAGCAACGACTGTGCAAATTGCATTTGATTCCGATCCTGAACCGCATCATTGTGGTTACTGTAACACCAATGGAAGTTGTACAGCAGGTTTGTATAATCTTAGCACAATTACCCTACGTAAGGTTCGTTCATCAAATTGTGGATATTGTCAGAAAGAAGGCGGAAAAATTTCGTTTGGTAAAAAAGATTCGTGCGAGCAGAGAAAAGCTGAAATTTGCTTTTTCGTTCTGTTTCAGGCATCGTCGCCTCGACCATGCTCGTCGATGATTATCAAATTCTGATGGATCGTGGTTGGCGAAAGTAAATTCCTATCCACAGTTAAAATCGAATGATTTGCTTTGCTACTTAGATGTGGAACATATTATTATAAAGCATTGATGAAGACAACGTGTTGTCCACTTTATACGATTCGGTAAGATTGACAATCGGTGGAATATTTTTTTGAGATAACACATTACATATTGAAGATGCGATGTGAATAATTTTCAAATATCACGTTCTCAACGACGAGTGGTGCAAACAATGAATCACTTTATCAATGAAAATATCAAACCCAGTGATCAAACTCGAACAACAACAATTACAGATTCTTCGTTTGGACAATCCGCTCCGAAAAAGCAGAATGACGTTCAATCGAAATTGTCACTTAATGATTGGATCAACAAACAATCCAACACGAATGCTGTACAATTAATTCGACATGTATTAACAAATGATACACGTATAAAGAGTTGATTTCATTCATCCAGAAATAATGTCTCTGTTTATATTCATTTTCAAGCTCCATCTGATGAATTTCTAAAATGTTTGCGATCACGACAAAAACGTTGGTACAAAAAATTACTCAAACTTAAAAGTCAAAACAAACTTTCTTCAGAGACTGGTTCGCACAGATCCCCTTTACATGTCACACTCTTGTTTTCTTCGTAGATATCCGTGCGCTAGTCAAACGATTTGATCGCATGGATAACCATTCGCCCCAGATATTAGAAGAGATATTACAGTTCAACGAAAAGTCTGTGAATAAATTAGAAGTTCGTTTAGTTCGCTCGTATCCTCCATCGGAAGAATTTACTCGAACATTAACTGAATCTCATTCAGTTTATCAACGCTATCAAATGGCGATCCATGGCGACGCGAGCTCTGCGTGTTCGTTCTCACAATTCAAACGTTTCCTCAGCGAATCATCTTTAAAAAAAGATTGTCCTCGAATTCCTTCGTCGAAAGTTCCATCATGCGGCTATGGATCCTTTCATATGTTGTATTATTTGAACGGAAAAATAATTGCTTGCAATGTTTTGGACATTCTTCCCGGTGGTATTTCATCAGTTTATTTCTACTATGATCCTGATTTGGGCTTTTTGAAATTGGGAGTCTATTCAGCATTAAAGTAGACTTTCATAATGAGACAAAGTTTTTTTTTCAATATTCAAAGTTGTTTTCTAGAGAGATTGAATTAACGAGACGGTTGGCTCGAGAAGTACCAGAAATTAAAGATTATTATCTTGGATACTATGTTCACACATGCGTCAAAATGCGATACAAAGTAATTATCGGAATACATCCTATAGACAGCTGACTATGTTCACCGTTTTAGTCATAAGTTTTATTCTATGATGTTAATAGAATTGTAGAGAATATTGTGCTCAAGAAAAACTTTCATAATTCTATTGTTACAGGGTCAATACAAACCATCGTATCTTCTGTGCCCTGAGACGTATACTTGGCATCGAATTGAGAAATGCGTACCATTGTTAAATGCTAATAAATATGCGCGATTCGAATCGGATGCAGAAAAAGGTTTGTTGGACATGTGTCATGTGAGGTTGTTGATAGATTTTGATTATTTTCAGTAGATGAAGATGAAGAAAACAGTATTGAGCATCTAAAACTACGTGTTGATGGCCGGATTATCACACCATTAGAACTACAACAATGGAATGAAGAGTACTTTTTTTACATTCTAGATCGATTCACAATGTTGGCAAAATTTGTCGGCAAGACTTGTGCTAATCGTCTAGTGATTGACTTGAATTAAATAAAGAACAGTCATTTCTTTTTTATTCTTTCACCGCATTTTAAATCGTGATAATGAAATAATTCTTGATTTCAGACCAGCCGTCTCCAATGGAGGGCTCAGCGTTACTTCTAATGAAACAGTTGCGAGAGTTTAATCGACACCCTGTCGAAGGTATTAGCGCAGGACTAATTGACGAATCTAATCCGTATGCTTGGAACGTTATTCTCGTTGGACCTACGGATACTTTATATGAGGGTAAATTCAGTCCAGAGTACCAGATCTCTCTTCATATTATATTTAGGAGGGTTTTTCAAAGCGCGGCTAGATTTTCCAAAAGAATATCCCATAAAGCCACCAAAGATGGTAAGATTCGATATTTTTGCCATATGTCCGACAACAGTTCTTGCTTTCACAGAAATTCGTATCGGAAATTTGGCATCCGAATATCGAAAAGAACGGCGATGTGTGCATATCAATAGTAAGTCTGCACACGTTTTCCGAACATCTCGAGATCTTCCTCTGAATAGCTTCACGAACCTGGAGTAGATCAATTTGGTTATGAACGAGCATCAGAACGTTGGTCGCCAGTGCAATCAGTTGGTAAATAAGCGTTATTTTTCGGTTAGTCTTTCTATTATTTGACATTTTCGTTCGTTCTGTTTAGAAACTATACTTCTCTCAGTCCTTTCGATGTTAAGTGATCCCAATTGTGATTCAGCAGCGAACATCGATGCATCAATAATGTGGCGAGATGACCGAGCAGCATTTAAGAAAAAAATCCGCGAATGTGTACGGAAAACTCTGGAAGATATATGAACTTCTACTTTTTCTCTTCGAAAACTCCCTCTACACTTTTATGCTATTTTCATTCTTTATTTTGCTTATATTCGTTATTTAACTAACGTTTATCATTTGTACAAAACTCTATATATTTACATATATACAATCTCTTTGTATACGTTCGTCTGCATCTTGTCACTTGATGGAATTTTAGATGATGAAAATCTAAAAAGAACGCTGCTAATATATCTGAATCATCTTTGACATTCAATCGAGCGCAGCATGTCGAGTTATTTCTTTCAACGTATTAAAAATGTGGCAACATCTGCAAATAGTAATACCATGGTACCTCGATATATGCAGCAAAGAGAAACCACAAATGGTGAAACAACGAAAAAGCCCGAAGTAGTCCTAGAATTAAGTGACGATGAGCTATTAACTAGTGTATTAAAATTTGAACAAACACCAGAATTTAAACAAATAGTCAAAGTCGAAGAACAAGCAAAGAAAACGGAAGGTAATCATTGATCGATTTCATTCTCTCTTATAATCATATGACCGTATATTTATCTTCTGTCAGAACCTAAAAATAACGCTTCTAATATACATCCATTTTTTAAACGACAAAATTCTTCTACGAGCAGAAGCGTATCACCACCCAGACCAATACACAGTAAACTCAATGCTTCTCATTGTCTAAACTAAACATGATTTACACTCTGACATATGTAGATGCAGCAAGTAGTACTGCGTTTCTTCAGTCAACCAAACGACCAAAATCAGAAATTCCAACTTCTTTACCTCCTTCCAAGAAACGTCCAATTAGCAATAGTGATGAGGAAGATATCGTTGCATTAGATGCTCCAACGTCCTCATCCTCATCGACACCATTGATTGTACGACCACCGGTGAAGAAATTACCAAATAGTAAACCTGATTTTCAGACATTTGCTCCCAAAAATGGTACACGGAAGATCTCATTGACAATAATCATTTCATTTCATATCCCACTTTCAATTAGAATCAGTCAGCGACAGAACTAAAGCAGTTTTGAGAACTTTCCGCGCTCGTCGAGAACGTGGGGAAAATGTGGCGTTGACACAAATAGTTGCCTCAGAACAATTGAGATTACGTGAACAATTAATGCGTAAACCAAAGCCACCATCAACGTCAGTCGTTGAAAAACGTAAGAGAACAAAGAATTCGATTTCATAAAAGCAATCGATTATCCTATTCCAGCAAAAAAGCCCGATGTTCCAGTGAAACGAAAAGCGAATGAACTTGATTCGTCTGCATCAAAAAAAGTTCGCACAACTGAAAAGGTCTGTTTGAATAATCTTATTTCTTCTCTTTTCCAACAACTCAACTTCTTCTAGGCACCAAAAAACGCTTTCGAAAAGCTCATGCAAGAAATGACTGATACAATGACACGTGTAACGTTAACTAATACAACAACAACAAATACCACGACTATAAGTCCATCATCGTCATCATCACATCCATTAGTCGATCTAACCGTTGTAAAATCTTCTTCATCATCGATATCCAGTACTGTTCCACTTCAATCAACAACCAACAAAGAGAAAAGGTCAAAACCAAGAAAAATACACAACTATGATGATTATCTCATCTATATTCTCAAATGGCCAGTTTCGTTGATTGATGAAATAGGTTTGAATGCATTTTATTCAACACTAGAAAAAACTAGTCGATGGTTGTACTCGTAGAAATCGAATCGAATATTCTGTACAAAGATTTTCTTGGTGAAAATGCCTATCCAATTCCAGTATTAGAACTGTATTCTTCTTTCGACGAATACGAAGAAATAACGATGCCTTGGCTGTTCGAAGAAACATTCGAAGAAGTTAATAGAAAATCCATTTTTACCATCCATCTAAGTTTCTATAAGATTTTTCTCGCAATAGATCAAACGTAGTGTAAAACTAAATGATCATAAATTAGTTGGCATAGAATATGATGCAGTGCTTGCTCAAGTACGTCTATTTAACTCAGGCTTATATGAGCTAAAAGCACAGATATTACAAAAACGAAATCCCACCATACCCAATCAACGTCGAGAAATGTTTTCTGAAGATGACTTAGTTGTGATTACTATATTGAATCAACCTGTGAAGAAACTCTTCGGCCTAATACGAAGTGGTGAACGGATTATTGATAAAGCACGTTTACATAAAACGTATCGTAAGTTACGGTTCTTCTTCAGAATTGATCTGATTACAGCGATAAATCTTGGATTTCAGATGAGCATCCTGATGTAAAGATCAAACCACCTGTATGGTTCTGTTATGAATACTACATTCGAATCTTTGGTCATGGATTTAAAATTCCTGATGGATCCCAAATAAAGATAAAAGTAACAGAAACATCATGTTAAACTTTGCAAGACACTTAAACATATCTCGATTTAGGCAATTACATCATTGACAGCAACATTACGCCGTTTCAAAGCATTAGCATCGATGCGTACATGCCCTTTATTCGAACATCTATTGAGTCCGTCATTGACAGATGAGGTTTTTCAGATAACAAACACTCAACATAAACTCATGGAGCAAAAACACCTTCAAGTAAGGAAAGAACGAGAGATAAAGACGGGTCTTTGAACGTTTCGTTTCAGGCATACAATGAATCTCAACGGAATGTTATCTCAGAAGCTGTTTCAATGATGCAAGATACAAAAGATGATAATCAAGCAAAGATTTATATGTGTCAAGGACCACCGGGTACTGGTAAATCCCAAACGATAACGGGTATTGTTCGTGCTCTTCTTCAGGTAAACTAGAATAAACACCATTCGAATTCACGTTGAACCTATTCAATTATCTTCAGCCGATGTTGGCTTCATCGCCAACAAATGAACAATCATCACCAGCATTGTCATCTGGTGGATCACGGAAGAAAATGAAAATTTTAATATGTTGTCCTTCGAATGGCGGTTGCAATGAAATTGTTCGTCGCTTGATCGATGTTTTTACACAGAAGGCAACGAATGAGACAGCTTCGAAACGTAAATTTCTTGGCATCTGATTACTCAATTGAAACAATACTTTCTTTTCAGTACCGTTCAAATTAATTCGATGTGCACGTGGCGGTGCTATTAGTCAAGATATCGAAAATGTTTCACTTGATACACTTGCACAAAAGCGCCTGGAAGAGGAACTAAACGCCGGTGGTGAGAATGAAGCTATTGGACGAAATTTAGCAAATAAAGAAAAGCAAAAGAAACAACTGGAACAACGAATTGAAGCAGAAAAAAAGAGGCAAACTTCAACTGCAAATAATCAGGCTTCAGAAGAGGTTTGTCTAATGCATATCTCATAAAAGAACATATGTTTCACGTCACATTTATTCAGTTGAAAGATTTAGAATTAAATCTCAAAGAAATCAAAGCAAGTATCCTTAAACTACAACAAACATGTCGAAAAGTTAGTAGCTCTTCTTGGAAAATTCGAATCATAAATTCTCTTCTATTGTAGACAATGCCAGAAGCAGCACGGCGGCAACGTGAACGTGAAATCAAAATTGAACTTTTACAAGATTCGGATATGTAAGTTCGACTTGGTCGATCTTCATTACATTGGATCAAGACATTTAGTTGTGTTTCAACTCTGAATTACGTTGGTAATTCGATCTTCGATTCATTTTCGTCATTGAATATCGATCAATCATCAATTAAACTCGATAAAACGAAAAAAGTACATCCGTCAACGACATCATCATCATCATCATCGATCGTATCGACGCTATTCAATTGTTTAATTATTGATGAAGCGGGACAATGTATTGAAATCGATAACTACATTCCACTTCGACTTGGAATGAATCGAATTATACTTGTTGGCGATCCTGAACAACTGTAAAGTTCGATTTGAATTTCGATGTAAATTATTTCTTCAATATTCTCTAGTCCAGCGACAGTCCTTTCACGACGAGCACTTGAAGCTGGTTTAAACCAATCGTTATTCGAACGTCTCTATAAATTATTTAAATATGACGTAAACAATCCCATTCGAATGCTTAATATTGTAAGTTGGATGTATCTGAATGCAAATAACATGTTCATTATCGTTTTAGCAATACCGAATGCATGATGAAATATGTAAATTTCCATCGATGCATATTTATCGATCGAAATTGAAAACAGATAAAACCATCAACCAAAAACGGTTCGATATTCCTATGTTCGCATACATTCTTTCTCATTTCTCGATTCATTCTATTAGAAAAAAGTTTCTGTTGAAACCGTACATGATACTGGATGTTGTCAATAGTCAAGAACAATTAGATCCGATTACTCAATCGTATGGCAATCCACATGAAGCAGAAACTGTTGTTTGTCTCGTGGAGTTTATCAATAGTCGAGCCAAAGTACCATTCAATCGTATGTAAAAAAAAACTGCTTCTCAAGAAATGCTTATCGTTTACTTACCGTGCTTAGAAATTGGTATCATCACTCCGTACAACTACCAAGTGAAGTTGATTCAACAAAAACTTACCCAACACAATCTGCATCAACATAAAATCGAGATTGGGACAGGTAGAATTCTGGGAGAGTGATCATCAATGGTGGTATTGTTTGTTTCAGTTGATGCATTTCAAGGCCGACAGAAGGATGTCATACTTCTGTCATGTGTTCGAGCAACACAAACTACAGATTCTTCGACAACTACAACTGGAATTGGTTTTGTCGCTAATCGACAACGATTGAATGTTTCATTAACTCGAGCAAAATATGCAATGTATATCTTAGGTCACATGACTTCACTAAATGTAAGGATTTTCACCTTTAAACTCATCACAACATTTGCTATTTCTTCGCTTTGGATAGATCAATGAGGATTGGCAAAAACTCATTACAAACGCCGTTGAACGAAAAGTTATCCTTGAACTAACATCAGCAAATCAATTTGATGGTCTAATCAAACGGCAACAAGAAGGACAAACACGTCCGATGGAAACGGTTTAACACCGAAGGTCTTTTCCTAGTGATATTGATTTTCTTTTCCCAATTCTTGTATAGTTTTCTTGTTTCATATCTCCTTTCACTTCTTCTCTTCACTCAGTTATTTATTTCATGAATTGTTATTCGTATTTTTCACTTGTGGGTGTGTCTATTCTGGTGATATTCTGAAGATATATCTTAATTTACATTACTTTTGTTAAAAATTTCAATAAAGTGAAGACATTTCGAAGATAAAATATCTTACATTGGGATACTGAATGAGTTGCGTTCTTCTGTTTGTAGATGTCTACTCTTCGTTTTATGCTGCCATTGCGTCGTACATTATTAGCAGCTCGATATTGCCAAACATCTCTATCGTCCTCATTGCGAGTGTCAAAACAATGTGTGCCATCGTTCGATTTCTACTTACGTAATTTGATAGGAGCACAACAGAAAAATTTCTTTTCGTCATCAGCAATTGTGCATACTCAGCATCGAAATAGAGGTCATTCAAACGTTACTGGAGTCGTCGAGGAAGAAGATGACGAGGAAGAGGATGATGACGAGGATGAAGATCAAGTAAGACAAAGTTTTTGGTTGTTTATATTCTTCAGTTCTAATATATTTTATCAATAGATTGAATTTTCTTTTAGAACGACCAGGATAAAATAAAACAAGCAATCCAGCAGCATAATCTACCAAAAGGTCTACTAAAATTTTCGAATCATAAATAGGTTTGATGAAAATGAAGATTTATCTGATTGTAGGATATCGAATCATTATTCGACATATTGCTTCACTTCGTCTTGACCTCATCTGTTCAGCGGGTACTGGTATCGGGCGAAGGTAAATTACAGAATAGCGACTAGTCAGTTCGTTTATGCATTGCTCTTTGTGTGATTAGTGCGATTGAAGATGAGTTCTATGGTTCGAAATTACGAGTGAATGGCGAAAAGTCAACTAAAAAAGCACAACAAGTATGACACGAACAGTTATTCTGTATTGGTTAACATGTGACGTTTTATCGATATGTATTTTTAGGTGAAAGAAGGCGATGTGATCGATCTAGTCGTATCACGAACCGATGGTGCTAAATATAATTCTAAACGCATAGTTGTATACAAAGTATTTGCTGAAAAGTCATTGAAAAACAAAATAAAAGTGTGTTTAATCGCTTGGCGAAATGGCATCGAAGTTGATGGCTCGCAATGGAGTTAACAAATCTTTTCTTTTTGTATGGTTTATCGGTTTTGTTTCTGATAGTAAAATATTATTAGCGAAATTAAAACAATCTACGAGATTTCATTTGTTTGATTACATTATCTGGATATATGTTTACATGTAAATTTAAACAGGATATCGATTGAAATTACTGAGACATTTGAGAACTTCCAGGCCTCGAATAAAATCATCCAACGGAGCATCTAGAATCTCGATTTCGTAAAATAGTCAAATCAATAGAGCACTCACTGCAATATTCAACAAGACCATGACAGGTTTGGATTCTCACACGGTCATCTCTCGAGTCTTCTTTTTCAACACTTTCACATTCGCATTCACGACTATCTTCTTCCTCGGATGTACTTTCGTCGTCGTCGTCATCATCGTCATCACTTGAATCACTTTCAGCGGCGATTTCGTCGTGTCGATAGGTTAAGTCAGGTAATTTCGACGATGGTGTATAAGGAAACGATAGGGACAAACCAGGATATTGAGATCGTAAAATTTCCAGGCAATGGTATTGCATCTGTTTCAAACACAATTCTAAATCGCCGTGTACATACTGCTGATTCTCTCGAGCAACAATTAGATTTTGACTATATTCATAGAGTTGCTTTAGTTTCATTTGATGATATTCAGAGTAAGTAGGCATGGTACTGGGATATTGTTGTTGCTGGTTGGAAGTTGACGTCGAAGGAGACGGTGACGACAAAGGATCGTTGAAGGTGAAGATATTTGCAGAAGCTGGCGAAGAAGAGAACGAAGGCGAATTGATTGCTGGTGTTATGTTCACGTTGGGTGATGCTTTTCGGGCTGCACTAATTTGTTTTAATTCATTTCGTATTTGTTCACATTTTGATAAGCATTCATCGCAAAGATGAAAGATCAAATCTGTTTGTTTGTCGTAGTCTTTAATCAGTCGGGACTTCGCTGCTTGTTTCAACGTTAGGTTTTTATTGCTTGACAAACGAAGCGCCTCATCAGCTACATAGTCAAGAGAGGCACGTGGGTCATCCAGTAGATTGTGTGTTTGATGTGTAACGAAATAATTTCGACAAGTTGAACATAGTGGTAATCGGTCATAATATCGTGAAATGAAGAAGACAAGATCATAATCGATGTTGGAATACTTTTGCCAACGTTGGTTTGCTTGCGAGATCTTTTCATCAATCTTTCGCTTTTTCTCTTCAGAACGTTTTGCACGTTTTTCTTCACGACGTTGACGAACGGATTCTTCACTGCCTATATCGAAAATATAACTAATCTAGTACACATAATATAACACTGTGGGCACCTTTATGCACAACAAAATGTCGACTTCCGTCTTTATTTAGATGATCGTGAATTTTAAGTCGCCAGGTTTTATCGGCCGTTTTATCTTGTGGAATGCTAGTACTACTAATAGAGGGAGATATATCAATAGTAGAATCGTATTTGCTTGAATTAGTATTATATGGTGAAATGTGGAATGAGGATAGAAATGTTGATTTGGGTTGATGCATATGCTCAAGTATGGAATCACTGTTATGTTTGCGAATACACGTGGATAAATATCGAGCATTATCATTTCTGCGATAATAATCAGATAATGATGATGCATCGATGTTTTTAAATTTAGTAGTTATGCATCGTTGACTGTTGTAGTCAATATTAATCAAACTTGAAGATCGTTTAGCAGGAGTTATTGTTGATCCATGGTGATCAGATGAAGTTCTAGTGCAATTTTGAGATTGATTGAGCGCGGATGTACATACTATGCTGTGAAGATGATTATTCGACCTTGGCAATCGTCTTCGACAATGAATTCTTCTTAACATAGATAGTTTCAAAGGTGGTGAGAACATGTGATAGAGAAATGGTGATGGTTGATGTTTATCATCGAAATTTGTCAAAATGACTTGGGGTGTTGCAGTTGCTTGTTCTTTCGTTCGATTGTGTGCTGATTTCGAGAAACATAACAAGAGTCTCATTAACCATGAATGACACATTATATAAGTGATGTGATACTCATCGATAGGCAACAGGAATATGAGAAACAAATTGGCGACAGCCATGAATCATTATTTAACTAGATCGATTGGCAATGAAATATTGAGAAAATTCATTTGGATATACCGATGAAAGAATTGTTGTTTCGTTCGGCATGAGATACTTCATTGAACGAGTTAACAAAGAGAACATAGAAAAAAATGCGCCTAAATAATAGTCACCACGCAAACTAAGTGAAAAATGTCATTTTATTAGAAAAAGAAACGGATTATTAATAATATTAAGATGAGGTAGACGAAAAACTTCTTAAACGTTTAGTTATAGAATACGACTGCAATCGATAAGTTTATTTACGACTGTAATCTTCATCGGGTGCACAAATACTATATACTGGTGTGAATGCAGTACCAGAGAGAACGAAACAAAGATTAGCTTTCGTGGGATCTTGGATTTGGAAATCACCGAATAAGCTCATTGAACCAACAACATGAAAACGTATACGCACGAACGTGATAACATCCGATTGACTCTTTTGCAGATTGAATACTTTATTTGTTCCATCGAAAAACGATTCAGTCTCGAATTCATCTTGTATTTCATTTCGGAGAAAATTAATTTTTACCGTTACAAAATAGAAACCGCGATGAATGACAGTTATATTCAGAAGTGGTACACCATTACCTATAACAAACAGATAGAGTCAGTTGTTTTTATTTATCAAAACAAAAGATTTTCGCCAGTAATTCTTTGTGAGACTATACCTGAAGTGCTCAAATAGCGTTTGGCGTCGAATGAGGATTCTATAAGAATGAAAATAAGATTGATAATATATTTAGAACGACAGATTCTGATTACCAGCTTGGAGATGTCCTCGACGTAGTTCGGCTACCTCATCACTTCTGTCGAAATCAGCAAAACTTCGTTGTGAATCTCAAAAATGAAAAATAAACTAGAGCATGACGATAACCGCTGGTTTTTCAGTATATACCTCGGCGAGAACTAGCACCAATACATAATATTAGTCCAAATAAGAGTAGACACCCATATAGTTTCATAGTTTTACCTCTCCGTTGATCACGTAAGCTGTGTTATTTGGACAAAATTTTCGACACGATGATAAAGTACAGGAAAACAACGAACGAAAAACTAAGAAAAAGTAACGACGATTTCGTTGAATATTTACACTCGAATGATTCTCGCCTACATTTCAAACGTGGTCGGTAGAAACAGCCAATAAAAACGCATATTGAATACTTTTACATAAGTCAAATCGTAGTGTACACCTGTATGTATGATTGTTCACTTGTGCACATTTCTGTGTTGATGTACATAAAGTTATGCCGACATGCGTCAGATTTAAACATTTTATTTGTTGATGCATCAATAAGATGAACAGAGAAGGAGAGTTTTATTATTAATTCACAGAATTTTGAGAGTTATCTGTTTTTTTTCTGGAACTAATGAAAAATGATTAAAAAAGAAACGTGTAAAAAGTGTTGATGGACTTTACTCCCACTATCAAACAGATTTTGTTTTGAATACAAGATGTGGGTGTATGTGGATATATCTCGAACTGATGTGATTCATATAGTCGTTTATCATGTAACTAGGTAAGCAGCACTTGATGACGTTATCGAAAGTGCTTTTATCAACATTCTGAAACGTCAGAAGTGAAGGAGAGAGAAAACAAGAGAGAAATAATAAATATATTATTGTTGCTGAGTTGACAAATAGAGATAACAGTGAAAGTTTTATCTATATTAATAAAAACGAGAAACCATTTTTCTACAACCAACTTGTTTTATTGAAGCATCTTTGTTTTTCTTTTCGAACAAAATGTTTTCAAATTTCCCTGGAAGCATGAGCTTTGGATTAGTAAATACATTCTTGTGTCATTCTATAAATTTCACCTTCATATTTCTAGCCAGTTCCATACACTACTCAAATATCACCTTCACTTTCCAATGGTACACAAATTCACATTAGTGGCACACCTACTGGCAGCAGGTCTGATTGATAAGAATAAAGTCAATCGATTATTTTCCTTTCCATTGTCATGTTATTTAGATTTGAAGTTAATTTAAAGAATTATCAAGATGATATTGTTTTGCATGTCAATCCTCGCTTTGATGCCAATACACTTGTTATTAACAGTGGTACGAACAATATATCATTGACTACTCTTCGTATGAATATGTTTTCTTTAATTATTTAGCTCAACGAGGATCATGGGGACAAGAAGAACGTCAACCATTAACAATGTATCGTGGTACACGATTTACAATGGTTATCTTAGCAACAGATCGTAGTTTCAAAGTAAGTGATGAATTAGATTAACTTTGGCTTTGAACTGAATTTGGACTCTTTGAAAATGAATAGATTGCTATAAACAATAGTCATGTTTGTGAATTTTATCAACGTGCACCAATGCACTTGGCTCAACAAGTTGAAGTCAAAGGCGAACTTACTTTGGAATCTGTACAAGTCTATTCAGGATCAGGCTCCATGGGCTTTCCTGGTGCTATGGGCGGTATGGGCTTCTGTCCACCACCACCATCGTTCGGTGGAGATATGGGCTTTTGTCCACCTCCTCCAACTTCCCAGCCTGCATTTGGTGGAGACTTCGGTCCTGGTTTCGGATTTCCGTCGGCTCCTCCGTTTTCAGTGTGTAACTTCATTGATCCTTTTTAAAAAATCTTCATTATTCTAATTTATTGTAGGGCGGTAGTGGTGGTGTACCACCAATACAATCATGTCGCATTGTTACTGGTTCTCGTATTTTTGTCCGTGGTTTCATCCCACCAGGTGCAAATCGCTTTGAATTGAATCTTCTACAAGGTTACAATGATGGTGACGATATTGCTTTTCATTTTAATCCTCGTTTTGATTCGCGCACCATTGTCAAAAATCATCGACGAAATGGCCAATGGGGTTCTGAAGAAAACCAACCATTCCCACCTTATATGCCTCTGATGCCAGGCTCACAGATCGACTTGCAAATTTCATGTCAACCAGATAGATATACAGTAAACAGTTCATAATATTAACAACAAAATATGATCATATCTTCGATTCTAGATATTGATGAATGGTCAACTCATTGCTGAATACTATCATAAAATTACACCTGGAAGCGTAAGTATTCTTCGTCATCTTTATTGAGTTAAAAACGCTCTTCATTTAAGGTTATGGCACTTCAATACAAAGGCGATATTGTAATACAAAGTATTGGACAAATGTGAAGAATTTCAAAAAGTCTTTCAAACTACATTGGCTAAAATTAGCTTTATAACTCGTTTTTTTCATAGTTAAATACTTTATTTTAATCTAATTTCACGTTACCGTTATCATAATTTATCGTACAATATATTAAAAATAAAACTATAAATCGTTTGAAAATCTTCTAGGATGAAGATCAAAATATTAACGCTACTGCTTACCCGATCATGAATGATAAAGATTAAAATAATACAGTAAGACACGACTAAACTGAGGATTAGTAACATTGTTCTTTACAAAACTAATCGTCATTTAAAAATGAGTTTTTATACGAATAAATTAATGAGCATGATATACAGAAACAATATGAATTAGATGAGAAACAACATTCTATTTATAGAAATAATGCATTAATCAAAATTTCTATTGAATTTTTCTTGCTGTTTCATGTGTTTTACCAAAATCAAATTTTCTTCATTTCGATCATGAATCACACTTATCAATTGTAAAAATTCTTTTCCGAAAAACGTTGAAGTTATACAATGTGCATAGAAATTTATCTGAAAACAATATGATATTAATCCACATCGTACACGTATTAATAAAAAACGAAACTTATAGCACAGTTGAAAGTTTGTGTCCAGTTTAATATTGTCATTATGGTTAGAAGCTTTGGCATATCCGATAGATCACGAATTGTATAAGATAAAATGATGTGTTTAATAATCAATGGGAATGTTGTCAGAAGAAAAATACGGATACTTGATGAAATTAGTCAAATCATTTGATTATAAATACGTCTATCGCATTCAGTCGCCTTGAACAGGTTGTGAGCGATGAAAAATTGCCCACTTTTGTACACGAATTTGAATAAACATATCAATTATCATTATAAACATCAACAGAACCGGCCTAAAAGAAATTGTAATTATCTGCAACAATATAAACAAGTTATATAGAACTAAAACGGAATCTATTCATATAAAAATATTTATACTCATTGGAATGATTGTCCATTGATAAAAATAGAAGTTTGTATTGACATCATTAGCTGCACATGTTAAAATTGGTATTCCGGTCAGCATCATACCGAAATATGATAACAACTTGTGTGAATTAAGATTAGTAGCAAGAGGAAATCAAGTATCTGCTAGGAATTAGAGCATTCTTTGATGTACATGGTGTGTTTGATTTAAATTAAACGGAAATTTCGTGCGAATCCATCGATCCACTGTTATTATGATGAGCAACCATGCTGAATATAATTCTACTACACAAATTGTAAATACATGAAAACGACATGATTCATTGTAGGCAACATAATGATAGAGTCGGATCTAAAGAGAAAACTGTGGAATATTTAGTGTAGCGTTTTACGTGAAGACCAAATTTCACAAAATCTACCACCGTTATGGATAAATAGAATGTGCCAGGAATAGATTGTTTAATAAATAAACATGCCGTTGACATATTTCTTAGTTTTAGTCTGTGAAAAGTTAACAAACTAAGAGTATTTTCAGTGAAATCTAGTAGATGTGTAATCAAATAACTCCATAAAAAGAATTATGCAGTGACCGATGGAATTTAAACAAAAGATAAATATAAATTGAGTGGAAAAATTAAGGTAGAAGTTCCACTTATTAGCGATGCTGTCGTATTGCTCATCGCTGATCAAAAACGAAAGAATTATACTGAAAAATTGTGTGCAACAATGAAGTTTCTAATTACATCCTACAGTTTACGCGTTATATTTTAATCTATGAGTTTATTTAAAAAGGATTTACTATTAGAATAGTCTTTCCCAATTTTCTGGCGAGTACAATTGATCTTTGTAAGATTGTCTTGATTTCATCTTGTAAATTATCTCTCATTGTCTTACATAATCACACGATCGTTGACAAACTAAGTCTAATGTAAAAGTAACCTCTTGGAAATAGTATAAGAAAAAGAAATTCGAGCGCTGCATTGCATTTTTTGTTTGTTTTAGACTAAAGTTTATCTTTATCTATTAGTAGTATTTCAACTCTACGAATATTATAGTAATCTGTTTCGATATACTATTTGATCTTCCGAATAGCTATAGAAAAAAAAATAAAACGCTGACGGTCAGAACGTGAATCTTATCGAATAACCTGTCCACGCTCTCAAGATAGTTGCGATTATTGACAAATATTGAAGGCATTGTTTTGAGAACGTAGGCAGCCTAGCACTTATATGTACTAAAAGCAATTTCAATAGTTCCGTTAATTTCGTTGTGAATTATCGCTGTTGAAATCGCCTACACCAAAAAACTTGAGATGGATAACGTTGCTAGATTTTGTTAACAAAAAATGTCTTCAGTTCAAAATATCCATTGCCATCACCAAGCAATACAGCTATCCCACTTACCACATCGTTATATCCAATAATATCGTTATTACCATCTTGATTAAAATCAGTTGCGTGAAGATATCTTAATAGATAAGTACGATATAAATGGTATATTCCATTACTAAGTCTAGTCTCTCGTAGTCGACATTTTTTACTACGGTAATAAAATCGCCGAGCGTATAGAAAATGACAAAATCCTGCTGCCTATCATTGGTAAAATCGTTCACAACGAGATTTGAAGTAGAAGTAATAACTTAACTTTCGATTAACAAGCAATATTTATCCTGTATTTGGTATTCATGGTATCGACACATGAACGGAACCGTTACACTATTTCGAGTTTAGAGGACAGTTTTCTATATAAAATGATGGCGTTGACTGGTGTGTTCGTGAGAGTATAGGTAAAGTAGTTCATTAATTTTAATTTTATTAATGAGTATTGAAATGTTCGTTACAAACATAAATAAGAATTAAAAATTAATCATAACTGGCATTTCATCTTTGAAATCTCTGTCTCGTATGGATTTTTGCCTAATTAGTTTTCAAATGAAAGCTTCTAAGTACTTACAGAAATCAAGTCCATAGTATAGTGAACTTTCTAAATAGATTTGAAACAGCATGACGTTCTTTGATAAAGTCGTTTGCCTTAAAAAGCGACTGGGGTTTATGTCACGTAGAAAACTGATATACCATTGCGCTAATCGCCTCCTTGATATATCCCTTTTCTATGGATGGGCAGAATCGACCCTTGAGCGTTACGTTTACCATCGTCTGAGTTAAGTTGCAAGCACAAAAGTACATAGGTCCTCATAATGTTCTTCTGAGGTAAAAAGTGTATCGGAGAAGCCCATGCTGATCAACTGATACATATACTATAAGCTCCTTTCATGTGCAGTTTTAATATTGTCAAGTTGTCTGAAAATGGCGTTCTCTACATCATCTGGACCATAATAATCGAACTTGGATATATTGGGATTAATACTTTTAACAATATACATCACCCGTTCGAACTAAGCACGATCTTGCCTTAGACCAAGACCCACCATCCACCAATCCCAGTTTCGCGAGCGAACACTATGAACAACTTCAGCATCGTAGGACTACAGCCAAAACTGAGCAGACTCAAAAGAGTATAATTAACTTGTACAGCCATGTTTCACTAGTTATGAGAAGCAAAGTATAATGAATTGCAATGATGAAGTACTTTTCTCTGTTCTCCGGTATGCACTATGTCACCATCATGAAAAACATTTTGAATAGAAACTGTTTTGTTTACATTGGTTACACAATAAAGTACGTCACGTTCAGTGCACTGTTTGAATACGTGAAGCACATCATACTCTTAGTCAATGACTGAATGAAAGCATGGACACTTCACAACAAGAATGTAATCTACTGCCATACATATTCTTAAAAGAAATATTAATGTTTATTCGCAGGAATTTCTATCAAAAAGAAACTTTTTGACTGAACCACTTCCTCTATCTGTGACATAGAGATTCCAGTCCGAATCGAAAGTAAAAGACACAGGATGTTCCGTCCATTCGTCAAAAAAGTGTGGGCATTCCCATTCCAGAACAACTTGCACACGTTTTTGTATTGGTGACCATCTGAATAATCCTCTTGCATGGGATACGTAAACAATACCATGGAAATCAACAAATATGTTGTGTGGATTGAATGAATCATCAAATATCGATTGAACACCTTTTCCAATAATCGATATTCCTTCCCGTTGAATTCGATGATTATTTGTGTCACAAACATAGAGTGTTCTTTCGTTCTGATTTTCATCCATGAATATTCCCAACGGATTGTTAAGTTGGTCATCAGCAGCAATCGTACCGGTTATCGCATTGAGTGGATATTTCACTATTCTATTATTACCTTTATCAGAAATATAGACTGTTCCTTGCTTGTCGACATAAATACCGCTCACATCGGACAATTGATCGAGATCAGATCCAGGTGATAAACCAGCCACTATAGATGTTTCTCCATTTTTATCTAATTTATAAAGAATATACTCAAAATTGTAGTAGATATTATCAAAACGATCAATAAACATTGAATCAGCAACAACACCGGAAGCTAGTGTTTCGATAGTACCATTGAGAAAATATTTTCGTATGGTAAAATCTGATGCAACTATCAGGTTATCTTGGGTGTCCATGGCAATAACCAGACGATGCATTTCATGCATTCCGTCATCGAGAATGCCTAAATTGTCTACAATAGTCATTCCGTTTGTATTCCATCTAGCATTGTGACACGGGGCATCCAATGACAAAGAACTGTTAATCTCGATGCATAAGAATACAATGAGACAAATGACTGTTCTCAGAGGTAGCATTGTATACGAAGAAGATTCTTTTCAATCGTGAAATGAAATAAAACGAAGTAGAATGTATTATTTTTTATAAAGATGACTTGCCTTAGAGTCTTAACTATCTGTGAAAGCTAGTCTCGTCTGCAAAGATGCGTTTTGTTTTTCAATTAAAACGAATAGTCTGTGATTAATAATTTCCAAGGGATTATAAATTCAATAGTTTGACAAAGAAATCGCTATATATAATCATTGTGTAGTTTAAGATTAGGTAAATGAAGAAATTTGAGTAAGTATTGTTTTCTTTTCAGTACAGATATGTAGCAGAAACTACATACGTTTCCAAATTTGGATCACAGATGTATCGTAAATGTCTTTGTAAATATTGGAATAATCGCAGAATATTCTTACGGTAACTATAGTTGGACTTTTAATGGGAGTGGTTGAAATGTTTTGCTCGAAAACAGACACGATAATTATTCATTGTACGTGCATTATATACATATGATCACCGAAAACGGCCGGACATTTTCACGCTCTGGTTTATTTATTCTTTTTTATCTCACAACAAAAGCATTACTTGCATGAGAATCTTCGTGAATCATTTCTATTTTCCAGCAGTTTGTCATATTTATTTTTATCGATAACGATGCCTAGTCATTTATTGCATTTTACTTCAAATAACCTCACAATTTACATATACCTCAAACACTCATCGTTATCGACTATGTATATTTGCACAACAAGATTTTCCTTTTCATCTACTTAACAGAATGAATAACGACTCTCTCTCTCTCTCTTTCTCGGCTTATCGTTTTATCTCATTCTCTGTATTTACCTCTCGACTAATCAGCAAGTGTATAAATGTGGCTCTTTTTCAGATATAATCTCAAAAACAACAACACAGTACTCTTTTACCGCTCCTTCTGTCCAGCTTACAGTCTAACATGGGTCAGGTACGTAGACCAAATATTCTATGTTCCGCTCATCAATCATGACTACCTTCTTTGTTTTTCCACAGCATTCAAGCAGCCAACGTTATGTAAGTTATCTCGACTTTCTCATCACCATTTATTTGTCAACAAAATAGCACATAACGCATCATATTATTCTTCTAGACTCTTCCTTACCAAACACACATTTCACCATCAATCACCTATGGCACTCAAGTCCATGTCTATGGCACTTCCACTGGTGATCGGTATGCACTAATCGATCGCATATTCAAATCTCATACAGATTTACAATAGATTCGAAGTGAACTTAACCAACGCCAGAGGCGATATTGTGTTGCACATCAATCCTCGTGTCAGTGATCGACAACTTGTACTCAATGCTGCACCTGGTGGTGGTTGGGGAAATGAAGAACGAAAATCGTTGAATATCTCATCTGGTCAATCGTTCAACATCATCATCATGGTCACAGAACAAGCTTTCAAAGTAAGTCATGTCTCCTACGTATTTCCGCTGATCTGACATTATGTTGATTGTAAAGATTGCAGTGAACAATCAACATGTTGCTGATTTCAATCATCGTATGCCATTCACTGCAGCTGACACTGTCTCCATCAAAGGTGATCTCAACTTAGCAGATGTGCAAATCTATCCAGGCTTTAGTCAACAAGGTCAACCATGGCGATTTTCGATGGTAAGAACAGTCATCATTCTCATCTTTGTATCAGTTTTCTCGTTGTAGGATACTCCGGTTCCCATCAACATGTTTCCTGGTAAGTTCGCTATGTCAGCGTTGAATTGCTAACCAATAGTGTAGGTCGTGTGTTGTACATCAATGGCCGATCAAATAACAATGCATCACGGTTCGAGTTCAATTTATTGACAAGTGCACATCAAGGTGGTGATGTTGCCTTTCATTTCAATCCTCGCTTTGATCAACGTGAAGCTGTTCGCAACTCATGTCAAGGTGGTGGTTGGGGTGCTGAAGAAAAACAAGGAGGATTTCCATTGCAGGCAGGTCAAGAGTTTGAGATTCAAATTATTTGCTTTCCTGAGCATTACCAGGTAGATGACTGACGATATTGATAGTATTCGTAGTTGTAGTGGTGTTTTATGTATTGATAGGTGAACTGTAATGGTCAACCATGGTTTACTTATCGTCATCGTGTACCTTATCAAGCAGTACAAGCATTGCAAGTGAAGGGTGATGTCACAGTTTCAAATGTTCGTGCACTGTAGAAGAACATTTTGAATAGATAGGAATAAATGAATTTATCAAATAAATAAATAAAGAATTTGCAGACAATTTTAAAATATTTTAGTAAACGTGAGTATGGCACTAAAAATAGAAAATATCAATATGCAAATAATTTGAGATAGTACTTTTGTTGCGTGATGATATTGTGTTTGCGTAACTATTATTTGATTCTGATTACATACAATTGTGTGGCTCAACGGTATGTTTTCTTCGTTTGATACATTTAACAACCAGTATACTGGCAAATCCAATAGTGAAAACATTGATGCTACACATGAGACAGAAGAACGGCCCAGTACCAATTACACTCTCAAGAGGAATCGCACCTGTCAGAATGACACCGGCGGCACAAAAGTTGGCAAAGGTATTGACAGCACATATTGCTGCTGCTTCTTCCGGTTTCTTAATTGTTAAATAAGACGACACAGCGGGTTCGAGAATGGCTTGACCAAAGCTGAGCAAAATTTGACCAATAAGTGGTCCACTTAGATGAGTCTTGTAGTGGAATGTCCATCCATAAATCATTAGTCCTATAGGAGTACATGTAGATAAAATGAGACCCGGCACAAGACGTCCTTCAGGGCATTTTTCGCGTCCAAAGTAGTTGCTTGCTTTATCTGATATCCATCCACCGAGAAGACTTGCTGTGAACATGGCGACTCCACATGGTACGAACAGAACACCTATAATTGTTTCTGAATAATTATATGGATTCTGATGAAGATAAGTCGATGACAGACTAAGACTAGTATATAAAGTGGCAAAAGTTGATGCTGATACGGCAATATAAGGAATTATTGTTAAATCATTCAAATACGTCAGCGACTTCCATGGCTTTTCAAACCGAGGTTTCTTGTTGTATATAGCATCAATTATACGTTTACTGGGATTGTCCTTATGGAAACGCTCTTGAACAAAGTGCTGATGGGTTTCCGGTACAAAAATAAGCATCGCTACTAGAACGACAAATGAACATATCACCAAGAAAACGAACGTACTGCGCCAACCGAATGTATCTGATAACGGACCACCAATTAAAGGACCTATCACTGGTCCAATATTGAAAGGCAGAAAGAAGAATCCTGTTATTGATCCACGTTTCTCTTCAGGATAGATATCAGTCATTAAAGCTTGACCAATGACTAATGTTGATGACACAGCACCACCTTCGATGGCACGAGATACAATAAAAACCATAATATTTGGAGCAAATATGCACACGATAGATGCTAGAACGAAGATAGTGAGTGCCACAATCATTGTATACTTGCGACCGAATCGATCCGATATTGATCCCCAGATAAGGCTGAATAAACCACTCATAAATAGGTATATGGATATACTAATAACTACGAACGTATCGGATGTCTTTAAACTATCAGTGATAGCGTTCAGCGCAGGCAAGTATACGGTATCACAGAATGGAAGCAGAAAAGCGATCATTGAAAGAGTCCCAAGTATAATGTTTCGCTCTCGATTCGTCCGTATATGATAAATTGATACTTCTTTAATTTCGATAGACATTGATGCTTTAAAAGCTTCTGCTGTTATCGTAGAACCATTTTCAAAGGACAGTGATGATGGATAAATAGCAAATATATGCGTATTACCCTGTTCCTTGGAGCCATCGTTGTCATCTACATCGTGTGAGCGAACCGTGATCTTCGGCATAGATTCATGATTAATAACTTGTTTGTTGTTTGAATTCATCTTCAATAAGAAAAATGTTTTCAAAAATATTTCGTATACCTGTTCAAAGTTCTAGTTCCTCAACCAAGAATTGTGTCGATGCTTGGATTATTACATGGTGGATAGGTCAGCATGCTGGACTAGATATTCGACTCACAGTCGATATAAGCTGCTTATATAACAAAAATAGGCACTTGTACATATGAAGAAAACATATACATAGCACTAGATGTCATGGTGCGAGGAGCGAAATATATCATAACACACTTTCCAAAAAAAGTGTTTATTTGTAAAATACTTTCCATTGAAAACCGTTAAGATATAGTGAGATTATTCATATCGTCTAACAGCGTGTCATAGTATCCTCCTTTACTAAATCTTTCTTTACTCTTGAACACAGATGCATATTTCCATAGAAGTTCGTATGTTATCGAGCGGCAAGACACGATAAGACTGACTGAAATATACCAACATTGGCTGAACTAGACATAATGCAGAACTATGAATGGTAACGTAATAGAAAGTAAAAGCATGAGAAATATTCAATATATACTAATCGATTGGCTCGCGGTGTTTTGTCATGCGAAAAATAAGAGCAACGTTCTTCAAATATCAAATATGACAAAAAGTGAAGGCATCATGACCCAAGGCATCGCAGCTGTTTCGACGGAAATATAATTGTTGGATTGATATTAATAATTAAAACTACCTGATCATGCTTTGCCGTTCAAAAAGAGAAAGGAAAGACTTCAGACGGAAAGAACTGTAAAATATTTTAATGTATGTCAAAATACCGGAAAGTGGCCTCAAATAATACATCGGGTTAGACAAAATACCAGAACTTGCTTTATTCAATGTTAGAAGAAATAGTTGTCTAATTCGATTTCCAACATAAATCGAGATTTTGGAAATAAATCCTGGTACAAAATTCATACTGGAGTCAGACGTGGTTTTAGTCATCAATATCTATAGTTCCTACTGAAATATAGATATACATATTGATGTGAGTTACAGCTAAGTAGTACCAATATTAAATCAATTTCTGAAAACTCTAAGTTACACAGGAGAGCGTATAGATGAGCTGTACACGAATCAAATTATAACTAGATTTAGTTTCCATTGTCTTTGTTCATTTTCGGAGATATGACAAGTAAATGAATGTTCATCCATATTCGAATTCGAACCAGACATCTCACGTGCTTTCAAGATGAAGAAAGTCAACACTTAGTTTAATTAAATAAACGTACAGACTATAACAACATCATATTTTTACAGTTTAATAGTTTTAAGGCAGAAAAAAAGATTGAAAGCTTTGTTTCTCCGCACAACTGAGCACTGTATTAATTGATTTATAATGAACCTTTTGTTAAACATACACATGTGCTCTTTTGCACCTGCAAAGCGATAAAACTTTCACAAGGATCTACGCTGGGATCGAAGGCGGATTTGGCGCGATTCGATGCTGGCGCCATTGTTTGGTAAATATTTGACAGATCACGTAAATGCATTGTCGACGGAAGCGCTCAGAAAAAAGCATGTAAATATAGAATGGTGACTAAAAATAAACGAGTTAGAAGAAGTGGAAATAGTAAAGAAGGATGGCTTACAGCAAAATATGAATAGTAGAGACAAACAGTGATCGTGTAAGCCAGATCAATCTCTGACCGAAGAGTAACATCTTGAATATTTCCATAAATGATAATGAAGTAAATGACTAAGCTTGCTGGGACGGTTAGAAAAATATACGAGATTTGAACGAGAACTATTGTACTCAGTTGTTTGTCAAGTTCGCGTCGAACTAATGGAACAGTTCGATAGCCTAATTGTCGAATATTTCGATAGGCAAGAATGCCAGCAGTGAAAGTAATTGTATAAGGAATTACATTTCCAAGAAGAAGATAGTTTCCGTATAAATTATAATGGTAAAACGTGTTACTTGTAATTGTACAAGTTGTTTTATTGGATAATGTTGACATTACTTCACCATAGTAAATTAAAGTAGGAATCTGTGCAATGATAGCTATAATGATGGTACTCAGGACAAGACACCGTGCTAATCGAAGATTTCTCCATCGTTGCCAAGGAATAAATGTACATGTTGCAAAATATTGGTCGATTGCTGCCAAACAAATACATCCAAACGAACTGAACGTTGTTACTTGTAGAAAGAATGTTCGACATTTACAATAGATCAATGACGTGCGTGTGAAATCAATACTAAAACCACTGATGAAAATGCGTGTTAATAATCCTGTGAGTAGTTGACCAATATTTAAAATCGACATGATGGTCAGATAAAATGCACACGAATTTTCACGAAATGTGCGAAGACTTAAAAAGACACTTGTGTTCAAAACACCGCCAATAACACCGAGTGTTAAGATAGGAATACCCATATAGATAAATACCTGCTGATTAGCAATAAGCAAAGACGAAACCGTTATTACTGACATAACTGAGATGTATGTGTACTTTCTCGGTTGTTCTCAAAGAAAGAATATGTTGCTCTATCAGAAAAATTATTTCTAAGTTATGGTTTTACGGTCTTTGCATGTAGCTTTTGCTAGAATTGAATAGTTCCATTGTTCCAAAAGGCCTTCCTTTTATTACTGTTTCCGTCTAAAATAGATAAATAATACGACAGATGGATTCACTTTCTCATAAGTAATTAATGATAGTACATGTATATTATTAATAGACAAATGGATTCTATGAATGTATAATGTTTCTAAGAACATTTCAGAGAAATGCATGAATACCAGGTCTATAATGACTTCGGCTGAAGTTAGAAACCATATGTGAATACGAGATATCGAATTTCTATGAAAACTACGTTTTATCTCGCAAAAGATAGTCGGTGAGAATCGAATTAAAGTACATCGTCGAAAACTTCAAACTAAACTACATAAAAGAAATAAAATCAAATGATTGAATTGAGTCGTGTTTGTTCATACGGTGCCCAAGCATCTCTTCAAAAGCAGATCTTATTTTACACTCAATGTAAGATCGAATTGAGTTTTGACACAGAATACCTTAAACTAAAATTTTAGCTTTTCCCGCGAATATTTATCATTTTACAACTTCGACCTATAGATCTCATCCCGTTAAGTGATACAAATTGCAGAAATATAAATAATCATTTCTAAAAAGATTTGCCAGGGATGGGGATCGAACCCATGCTCACTATTGTGAATTGGATCTTAAGTCCAACGCCTTAACCACTCGGCCACCCTGGCGCAAGCTAAAATCGCCTTCAATAATCTTTCAAATCACAGATGGAGAACCCATCTAGAATAGCGTATTCATTAGAATATTCTTTCCTTTTTATACATCATACATTTTTAAACACGGTCAAAAGTCACGCCACACTCTTTTGCAAACTAAAGATGTGTAATCAAGCGTTAATCCGAAAAATTGAATAAAAATCTGTTAAAAAGTAGTAGCGGTAAAATCAAGGTTTTTTTCATCGCCATTCTTGAAATGATTTGCAGCTTTTAAGTCGCCGTTCATTGGTACTTGGTACGGCAATTCTCTTTCAGTTTTATGATGATATTTTCGCATAATTGCTTGGTATATCGGTTTGAGGAGCAGTTTATATAATAAAAATACCAAACGAAAGATTTCCAAACAAACGATGGTGAACAATAAATTACGAAAGATAATTTCGGATTTACGAGCAATAGGTTGTTGAATATTCTTGACATAATAAGGCGTTTCGCTCACAGCTATACTCAATGTTGTTATTATCGATGATGACAGAACGTATTGTTTCGTTGTGGCAAATAAACTATTCGTGTCAACAGTAAACGTTGGAATATAAATACCACTATAATCAGATTCTTCTCCTTCCATTGGTCGGGTTTCATTGATAATCTTAGTGATTGCCAGAGCTACCGGTATATTACGTGATAACATATAGCCACTTTTGTAGAAAGGTTGATAAAATTGTAGTTGTCTTAATTCGTATTTTTCTTTCTTAACTCCATCACTAGACATACCAATACGTAATGCTCCGATCGTTTTTGTGTCTTCCAGAAAGACTTTAACAGCAATCTGTTGAGAGGACAATGGAATAGATAATGTCAGCACAGAATCTGTATTGTTACAACTTGACCATCGAATCGTTGACCATGTCAATCCAACTTGTGCTTGAATTGATGCTGAATCACAGTTCACCAACGTGTTGACGAAATCAATATTCAAAGTGAATATTTGCTCATTGAGTAAATCAAACATTTCTTGTTCAGCATGAGCGAGCGGAATAGCTAATGATTGTACATTTGTATCAAATTTGGCGTTTCTCATTGATTCATCACATGTAAAATAGGAATCGCCTGATTGTTCGATTGGATACTGTTTTAAATAACCGTTGCTGAATGCATATGCAAAGCAAACTAAAACAAGGATGGAGAACGATACTAATCCGCCCACCCAAGATTTGCCATCACCAATTAAGTCTGTATGTTTGAATGCGTATGTCACAACATGTTGAACGTTTTTACTACGACGAGTTTTCACACAGAGTTTTAAGATTTCCATGATAATGATAATAACAATTACGACACACGCGACTACGAGTGCCCAAAACAAGGGTGACACGAGTAGACAATGACCAGAACCGATGCTAAATATACTGTGAATGATAATCTCGTCAAATATCGTACTTTCGGGTGATTGTGGATAAGGAACAACTTGATATACGGTTGATAATACTGATTTTGGTACATCAGCGACGGATCCGAGTGGACAGAAAGAATTAGCCGAACACGGCAAGCATTCGTTGCTGGCATTGCCAGGATTCTTCGTGCCCGTTGCACAAAGAACACAATCAAATACGCCACTCTTGTTTTTAAATGTACCAGCCATGCACGGTTTGGGAGTCGTGATGAATGGTGATAAACCGGTACGTACTACAGATGGATAGTATTGTGCTTGTGTAGGAGAAAAGATTATAACTTTGCCTTCGTCATTAAGTAATGCTAATGAAGATGGCGATGAAACAACATTCAAGAAAACAGAACTAAAACTAGATGGTAATAACTGATGGCTATTTGGAAAAACAGATAATGGAACACTCTCAGAATTATATCCATTTGCATAAATATCAAATAGAAATATCTGAGATGTTGACCATACATAATCAAGACTATATACGTTTATCAGGACAGCAGCAATTCCATCCTTCATCCATGCAATACTTTTACCATTTCCGATTGAACGACCATTGGTGTACCGACTGATAAAAGTTAACTGAATTGCATTCGTAAGATTTACAGCAAAATAAAATACACGATTGATAAACTGCATTCCAACTAAGACTTTTCCGTCCTCGTTAATACTTACGCTCATGTCATATTTAGCCGAGTAAACATCGGCATCATCATAAGTTAACAAGTCTTGCCATGTTCCAATGCTTGCAACTGGCTTATACGAATCAACAGTATACGGATGATAGTATGCACCGGATGAATTGAATCGAAGAAGATATATCATTGGACTATATTTTGCTGTGGAATTTCCACGATTGAGAATAAATCCAGCGACAACACCGAAACTATCACTGAGGTCTACAGCATGAGGAATGAATGTACTATCTGGCCATGTTAAGTTTCCATCCCATATGTTTGTATTAATCGATGAAGATGCATTCGCTGTATCAAAGACAGCAACGTATTTGTTCGAGAATGCGAAAGCACGCGTACCTTGTGGATGAACACCGAGTGTCAAGTATTCCTGATGGTCGTGATTATTCAGATAGTAAAGTGAATAGGTAAAACTTGTATCACATATGGACGAAGTAAGATTTGATCTTTGTTGCAAGTTATTAAACGTTGCCATGCCGATAAACAGTCCGCTTTCATTTTTGATATGTTCACCGATGAAAAAGAAATGAAGTTGAGATTCATTTTGTTTTTTACCGATAGCAGCGGTATAAATGAAAGTATCTGTCGAGTTTGGATACTGCAGAGTGCATTGCGAAGAAGTCAGAGTATGATTGTAGGGCGCAAATTGTATTGCAAATCGTGGTGGTTGATTGTTGTTTTGTGCAACGACAAGAAGATAATCATTCATCGCAATCTTTGATCCATATGCATCGTAATCCGCTGTGTTTGGTGTGAAGAAAGACTGAAGAGATTTTATATGTACGAGAAGAATTGTAAGAAGAAAGTAACACGAAGGAAATATCATGTCTCAAGTCGACTGATGCGAATAATGGTGTTTGTGAAGAATAACAAAACGCTGAAGTTGTTTACTGAGAAAGATTTTTTGGAATATCTAAAATAATAGCGAAAAAATTGAAAGAGCAACGTGAAGTGTGTGTTGTTTTATCCCAAACTATCGTTGTCGTTATTTTCATAACGTTTTGATGTTTTTTTTATTACTTGGTGCAAATTTCAATTCAAAGATTAATCGTAGAAGTAACGATCTATTTTAGTTGAAAGATTGTGTAAGATTCGATTCCACTCCAAAAATGGAGCAGTAGGCGTCAATGTGCGTGTTACAAAATTATACTGGTGTTTTCCACTCTTTTGTGTGCAAATATTTGACTATAATAGAGTATTATTCCACCTGGAAAACTCGAGTGGAGACATAAATCATTATTCTTAAATTTGGAAACCTAAAATAAAACCCCAATCCTATCAATTAAAGTATAATATGTGGCAAGTTAATGTAATCCCATATATTAACTTGTCTGCAAGCAGAAACAGAACATTTTTATATACTTTAGTGATTCGATAAGAGACAATAACCTGTATTGAAAGTATTCCAATCTATGAAAGTGACGTAAATCTACCTTCACTTTTCGTGTTTACTTACCACAATCAGAATCTGATGTCAGAGTGCTTGCAATTTAACCTGAGCTCTACAACATTGAGAAACCCATGGTATCGTGTACTGTTTGACCAAATTATAAATCACAAATACTTGAAATAAATGTGTCTTTACCAACCTACATAAATACTTTATAAAACAAACATGAATCAGTCGATGTCTCTATGTATACAAAGCACACCTCAACAAAAAATTCAAAAGCAAACTATTAACCGAAAAAACAACAGTGTGCGTCACACTGTTCTTGTTCACAAAAAAGAAATTTTAATGCGCTATGATGTGCGCAGTTATGTGGGAAAATAACCATCTTTTCTTTCAAAGCCCTTTATGCACATTTAATTTCTAGCTTTAGACGTTCAGATTACATACATGTTAGTCGCATTCCATATCGAAGGTTTCTCTGTTAATATACAGTGTAGAATTCAAAAACTTAGCACATAACTACTGTAATACTTCTATGGAAGAAGGGCCAGAATTATCATTCTAAAAAATCAAGTAAGATGAATAATACCTTCGAATTTGGTCAAAATTTGTTCGATTTTCTTTCGTTGAAATTTCATCCCTTCAAAACTAGATCGAATGATCTGATTCAACAAAAGCCGAATATTTATACAAACGCAAAAGAAAACATCCAATGTCAGAGCTACAGAAGCATTTTAAATAACCATATATAATAAAGAATCTCTAAGAATATATTTTTCTTTTGAAGAAATCGGTACATAACCTTGTTGTTTCGGACGTAAAAAGCACTTTCGATTGTCATTGATCAAACAAAATTACTCATCTACTATCGAGTTGCTCATTATTCGATACTTAACGATCATGTTTTTCAAAAATCATGACGCACTTTGTTTGCATTTTTTGTTTCATTTCGTATCGATCTCGAGCACGAGCAGACCATACGATATTTTTCGACATATGTGCCTTAATCGTATTGACTATGCTGTTACATTTCAATTTCCTGATGGAAACGATTGAACAAAGTCAATCATTCGAGAAGACTGGAGTACGAACATATGTGACGAGAGAAAATCATTAACAAAATGTTCTCAGCAATGCTTTTCTATTCCATCTACAGATTTGATATCATATGTAAAACAATGATGCCCAAATGGGAATACGGAAATATTTTTCTTTCGTATCATTCGTATGGACAAACATTCTTGTCCTTTTCTTCTCAATGACGAAAAGCTTCATAATAAAGAAATGAAAGGTGTGTGATTCAATTAGAAATCGATTAACAGTATGTCTTATGTACACATCGAACTATAACGGCGGGAAAAATCAACAAGCACATGTACGTCAAATATAGACATTTGCTGTTTGTTTGACAACTGTTCGTTTTTTTCCTCCTTTGCATTCTTAATATCATCATCATCGCAGTGTGAATCCTCCGTATGGTGCTATCTTTCTGTCATTTCAAATGCATGTTCATATACGTATTCATTTCTTCTTCGTTTCTTATCTGTTTCACATGGATGTTGATTTGTTCTCGAGAGTTGAATGCAGGTGCACGACGCCATAGGCTATTTCTATGTTCAATATTCTTATATAAACAAAGAGAGAAACTGGCAACACCTGATGAGAGAATACATGAGAATTCGTCTTCAGTGGAACATCAGATATCTGCGTCCGTCTTTTTCTTTCAGCAAGAGAGAAAAAAAACGAGAAATGTTCACAGCATTCCAATCAAAAATCAACCATTGGAGAAGTGGCAAAAGAGGAAAGAATAGAGAGAAAGAGAGAAAGAAAAAGAAGACAACAACAGACATAGAAGCTCTATGTTTACATATCTCTATTGCTTTCAGTACATAATATATCACTATCAAGCAACAATACCAACAACGTAGTTCACTTGCAACATTTTCTAAACAATTAAGTAAGTACAGTCGCGTTTCCGTTTCTCGTGTCGAATTATTTACGTAATCTTGCTTGATAATTAAAAACGAAAGGCATGACGTGTCCAATTTTAATATTCCAGCTGTCGGATTCGCTCCAGACTGTAAAGCTGATCATCTTACATCTTTTCACGCGGTAGATGCCGATAGACAAACATGTCATGCATACGTTAAAGCGTTTACAATTCTCATGTTCGCTTCTTTTTTTGCGTCAACAGCTGCCAGTAGAAAATAACATCAATTTGATTTGATCATCGATCAACTTTTTTTCATTCACTCGTTTGCTTTCTTCTCTGTCTTCGTCAAAGTGGGAATACACGCACTCGTGCAACTTCTGTTCTAATTCTCCAAAGAGAACCAAATGGTCCCTTCGTAAAAATAAAAAACATATGTTCGATATTCTCTTCCCTCTCTATTTGCCGCTTTCACTAGGCTAATTTTTAACTTATGATTTGCCTTCTTTCTTTTCCCCCTGAAGTTCATCGGTAAACCAGATGTCTTTTTTTTTTGCTAAAACAAAATAATGAAGATTTTTTCGATGGCTAGTTTCTTCTTCGCCACACAAGTGAAGATATGATTGATGGAGTTGTCGATTTTGACCATTACAAAGCTGGCATCTCTAACCTTTTCTATCTATCCATTGTATGTATGAATGTATGTATGCGGAGCAATCGTTGGTAGTAAAGTAAAGCAAATCGTTTTGTTTGATTGATACGTGTTAACCTTTTGTGCAGCTGCTACTATGCATATGGATGCACGCGTAAGATAGACAACAGACCAGATACCTGTCCATTTTCCTTCTCTTTTTTTTTTCTTCTTTTCTTTTTCTTGTAACATCTGCATTAATCGCATGTTTATTCATTAAGGATTTTGCAGCTGCATAGAAACAGATGACGCTGCGAAGAAGAGACGTCGACGAGGATGATGATGATGTTCAAAGAGACAGAGGCAGAGAGACGAAAGAGAGAGATGAAAATTGCATTTTGTCACATGGCGCGACTAATCCTTAAGCAAATACATGTGTATGTGAGTTGTCGTCGTCGCGTCAGAGAATTGAAATTGTATTGTTTGATGTGAAATGAATGAACATCGAGCGATTCGGCGCCGGTTGGATTACTTGAAAGAAAGATGATCTCTATCATATCCGACATTCTCACTGTTGCTTTTTTTGTCTATTAAGTATTTGACGTAAGACAAACGCAAACGTACATTAGAAATGGGTGTGGAAAGAGAGAGAGAAGGCAAGATAGATACTGAGAAAAAGAAATAATAATGACAGATTAGATAGGGTAGTGTATATGTTTCTTCTCGTCTTTCTTCTTCGTCTTCATCAATACATGCATATGTAGACAGATAAATAGATAGACAGACAGACGTACGAGCTCTATTGAATGTTGTTGTAAGTTGAGTAGGATAGAAATTGATTGATAGTCATTAACTTCTTTTTCGATCTTGTAGTCTTGATTTCTATTGCTTAATTGTTGATTTTCTTTATTGTAGATTATTGGATCATGACATCGACTAATGCTGAAGATAATTGTTATGAATTAGGACAAGAGTTTCAAAAACTTGCGCGACTTGTTCCAACAATTCCGAAAGATGAATGTTTATCCGAACTTGAATTTCTCGAATTTGTCATTGCTTACATTCGACAATTGCAACAACTTCTTTCACACGATCAATGGAGCGAATGTTTGAATAAATTAGCGTCATCCATGAAAACATCCTTACTATCAACAACAACAACATCATCATCATCACATACAACAAATCTTCTCAGTCAGTTCATACTTGATTCACCACGAACACAAACAAATGAGAATTCATCGACGATTCGTCGAAGTCCATTGGCAACAATTAATCTAGACAATACTCGATTATCTTGAGCAGTATATATATATACATATATCTCTACTAATATAAATACGTGTGCGTGTATCTGTCTGTCTATTTTGTTGTTCATCCATTCTTCTTATTCATCAGTTTGTCAACCTATCCTGTCTTAATTTCAACTAAAAAAAACAACAACAAAATGCTTTTTTTTATTTATACTGATTAATTGATTATATTTGATCGCATCTTTTATGCAGAAAACTTTCGAATGGTAACGGTCTAGAAAAGATAGACGACACGTGTTGTACACAACACAAACAAACGACATTTTTATGAAATTTCAGCGATTTTGTTGCTTTGTGCACAAACTACAACTAAACGAAGAAAAGAGAAAGTTACTTTTTAAGATTTCTACTGTTTTGTGTAAAGAGTGAGTAAAACAATATTTTATTATGGAAGAAAAGAAGCATTTTACGTGTAATGTTGGTATTCTCCAACTTCAGCGTTGTCAATTCTGAGAAGTTATTTTTGAGTTTTAAGGTGAAGAAATGGCTACTACAGCAATAGAAATGACAGTTCCCTGTGAATATTGTGACTCTCAGATTAGCCTTGATAATTATATTGCACACACAGTAAGTCGGTCTTATCGAATTCACGTTTATCACGATTTGTATTCAATTGATTATAGAAAAAATGCTCGAGCAATGTAAAGAGTCATGATAGAAACACTCCAAAGTAATGCATCGATTGATAGAAACATATCGTTTAATTTCTCATGGTCGTTTAAGGCGTGCTGCCAATGAGAAGCCTGACACTAACGAAAGTTCATGCGGGTATTGTGACGCACACGTCGATGCTCGATATTTCGAAGAGCATACCGTATGTGTTTAGAGTGTATTGATTGCAAGGATGAGATTTTTCTTATGTTGCAGGAACAATGTGCTCTTCGTTATAAACAAGAAAGAGATGAAGTACAAAACTATGAAAGGTAATTAGAAATGAGTGAATTATATTTCATGATTTTGCGATTTAGTGAAGAATCTATTATTATCCCTTGTGAATACTGTGAGGCTCCAGTTAAAGCGGAGAACTGGGAGTGGCATGTGGTAAGACAGTTTGATTTTATCAAATTCTCTTCCAGTTTTCTTCTTTATAGGAAAAATGTGCGGAAGCCGAGAAAAGGCGGTTGGAAAAGATGTCTGAGTAAATTTTTGTCATAGCTTTTATTTATCTATTCACGATGTATATACAATAGGAAACTATCCTTGAAAGTGTCCAATGAACGTATTTCATGTAAATATTGTGGTCATCATTATCGAGCGCAAATCTTCGAAGAACATCAGGTTTGATTCCATAGTAGGTAAAGTCGAGTTTTACAACTATTTTTGATTGTTTTTCAAAGAAAAAATGTCGACGCGAGAAACTAGAAGCAGCGATTCTGAAGGTAAATCAGATTTTTTAAGTATTCAGTTGGTATTTGCGTTCGCCTTCTTCACAGAGACATGCAGAAGTTCAAATTATGGAAAATCTAGTCACTATACCAGAGCACTGGGATGAATCTTCAACACAAAACCTCACTCGATATGTATTAGATCCTGTGTCTGATGAGTATCAAGCTATAGCAACGAACTTTCACAAAACATTGCCGACGAGCAAAATCAATCAAATCGAACGTATCCAAAATCGACGTAAGTGTTTCTCTCTCACGCTTACCAAAAGAAAATCTATTCTTTTCTAATAGGTTGGTTTCGTCAATACGAAGCTCATAAGGATCATTTTATTGAACGTTATGGTAAAAGTACGGAACAATGGCTATTTCACGGTAAGAGACATTACTCTTCGATATTCGCATAGTTTTTATACGTATCCTGATAGGATGCCGTCGATCGGAAGCTGCTGACGCTATTATCAAAGATTGCTTTAATCGTAGTCATGCTGTAAACTGTGGTATGTTTGTTCATTTATTTTGATAACTGAGAAAAAGAAAACAATCCTCGTATCTATTCAATCATAAAATATAGCTGCCGGTCAAGGCATTTATTTTGCTGTACAATCCTACACTAGTCATCGTTACACATCACCGGATGCAAATGGATTGAGATATATGTTTATGGGTGAGAATTTCGAGATAGGGCAGCTTTTTATAATTGGTTACTTCTTTTTAGCTCGCGTTCTAGTTGGCAAAACAACAGCCGGCAATCCTTCTACTCGAGTTTGTCCTCCAGGTTTCGATACAACAGGTGCACGTGGTGTATATGTAACATATCATGACGCTCAAGCATATGGACAATATTTGATAACTTATACATAATCTGCGCGAATTGATCAATCGTCAGATTTCATTATGATCGGTGCTATTGACAAAAACGAGTTAATAAAATATAAGTGTTCCATCTAAATGCAATATTTCATAATAGAAAAAAAACTAAAACACGACATCGACACGTCTATTTAGTTGAGTATGCTTTTGGCTATTCGATTATTTATATGCTAATATAATATAATTCCTTTCCTTCCGGTTACGGGCGCATATGTTCGTTCGCACGTGCACTCTTTGGTTTTTCTAACACAATGCATTTGTTCTTCTTGTCGGTAGATGTCAGTAAGAGTCAACTGATAAAATCGACGTTCCATAAAAATAACATTCGAAAATGATTTTTGAACGTCGAAAAAAGTATTTTAATTAAGTTTTTCATTAAATAAACTTCGAAATAAAAAATAAATAGAATATAATGCAATGACTTTCGTTGTAAACAATAAACAATAGCTGAACATTAGTCAATGTATTCTTTCCTATAGTAAAGGGAACATTTTCTAATTCTTTTCTTTTCTTTTTTTTCTTTTCTTCGGTTAACTGTCAAGATCGACAGTTAGTCCTTTGGGAAGATGATGACCTTGTAATATTTCTTCTCTAGATCACAATCTTTCTACAATATGGTTGCTGCATATGGACAACGGCAACGAGTACGAAATTTGTTTATTTACTCGAACAAACAAGTTGTCAAATTGTTCTTGTTGTTTTTTTTTTACTAGCGTCAACTTCGTTTCCTCGTGGGTATCAATGGTTTTTTATTAGCATTAGCTATCTTTATTATTATATCGATGTCGATCTATTGGGGTTTTTTCGAAGAATGGACTGTTTGGACAGATTATACAATGGCTTGGGTACGTATGAGTAGAAGATATGCTAAAATACAGTCAAGTAATCGTTTTTGTCTAGGTTGAATTCAATTTTTTTATTTATTATTGGGATCGATTAACAATCACTCGTACTTATCTTGCATTTATTTACATTTACGGCTTTGTTCTGCTGACAAGTAAGAAATTTCGTAAGAAAAAAGAAATCATTCGCAATGAATGTTGTTTTTCTCAAGTTATTGGACTACAAATCCATGCGTTTCGCCGTCGGAATGCATTTTTAATGGAATACGTTCCATATTCAATGTTTGGTTTGGCTTTAATAACTATCATTGGTGGTTTATGTTGGTTTGCTGTAACAATGATAAACATGAATGCCGGATTTCTGACAAAGGAAACATTTCTTTTGGAAAGACTTCGTTTTAAAGGCAATGCATTTAAAGAATTGAAATATCGAGAAGAATCTTTCCGCTTGGTTACGTCGGGTCTTGTACCACCACGTGTTTTTATTTTAACAGCTTTCGTTAACCAGTAAGACTAAGTATTACAATGAAATCATATTTTATTTCGAAATTTTTTTAGACGTCAACGAGATTTTCACTGTTGTGGTTGGAATTCATATTTAGATTATGCAGCTTCAAGAGCAACTGATTTGCCTGATACGTGTTGTCATAAGGTAACGGTTTATAGTCATAAAATGTCTTTAAAGACGTTGACTCTTTGCAGTACAAAATTGGTTTCGGTTGTGGAAAAAACATGTTAATCAATCCTAATCCAGATATCGTTAACACACGTGGCTGCGGTCCATTAATGATCTATTGGTACCGGCGAGGATTTTGGGAGAATATTTTCATGGGTTTATTTGGTATATTTATCGGTGTGTATATATTATATGTATTTCAACAAAATCGCAACGAATTCATCAATTTACGTGACGAATGTGACGATCGGAAACGCATTTTGTATTCTCATTCCATGGCTTCACTTCGTTCAATGAATAGTAATCCAATAAAGCAACAATTGAAATCAAGTTTACCACGTTATCCATACAATGGTATGCGTGGTTCACCTTCGTATGGTGCCTCAACTGGCTACGATTCAGATAACAATAGCACAAGTGTTCTTTATCAACCACGTGCTGGATATAATCCAAAAATTTAAAAGCATACAATTTGTTTTGTTTTCATGCATCTGTAGATACATTTTACTGTAGTCAATTCCATGTTTACTGTCAGATATTTACCTCATAATAATCAACATTCCATTTATTCGTATTGAATTTCTTTGTTTTGGTTTTTGATTTGTAGATGAAATGTTAACTCAACATGAATATGATAATGTATCATCTCAAAAAAGTTGTTACAGTAGCGACACAAATGCAACCGTGTCTGTTGTACAAAGATATTTAACGACGACAACAACAACAACAAATGTCATTCCATCGACACCAGCACGTCCACCGAATATCAAAGTTCAACAATGTACCAAAGAATTTCTCGGGAAACATTTTCAAGATGTGAGACGAATCTTTGTTGTTCATTTCTTCATACTTTTTTCTCGTCCAAAATAGGCATACCCTATGTTTAAAAATCCTCGTGGCCAATGTTTAATTATCAATGTATATAATATTAGTGGAGCTGTACGTCGTTGGTCGGATTTAGATGTGAAACTATTGAGTGATCTTTTTCGTCAGTTGTATTTCAATGTTATTGTCTATTCGGATTTTAATGGAGATGATCTAGGCGCGGAGGTAATGTAGATAAAAATTGCATTGAAGTTGATGACTGGTTCTTGGCGAATTGTAGAATTTCATGCGAATTCTCAAACAATTTTCTCAATCAAAAGAACATGCCAATGCTCAATGTTGTGTTATTTGTTTGATGAGTCACGGGGAAGAAGGTTCATTAAGTGTACAAGATGGGAAAAAGGTTAGTATTTTGTGCTTTGTTTTTTATACGGATGATCTCCCAAAGGCAATGCATTACTTTTTTTCTTGTAGATCTATCATGATCATGTTTTTGATCTATTCAGTAATGTTAATTGTCCTCATTTAGCTGGCAAACCCAAACTTTTCTTTATTCAATGTTGTCGAGACGGTAACTTAATCGCTTTCTTACTAACTTGAATAATTTGATTATCTTGTGTAGATCCCGGGGTTGGTCCAGTTGATGATGTTGGTTGTCATGTTCAAGTACCACCCAACACATCATTTGATGATTTAGTCTTCGATGACGATGACGAATGTGATAGTATGCAACGACATCATTTACCGACAATGACTGATATGCTCATCGCATTTCCTTCTCAAAAAGGTAGTTCACACATTTCGTTCGAATGAAAACATTCATTGGAAAGTTCTCATAGGCTTTACGGCGTTTCGTAAGCCACATGTTGGAAGTTGGTATATGAATGCCCTTGTCGACGTCTTGGCACGACATGCGAAAGATACAGATCTATGTGCTATGTTAAATATGGTCAATGGTTGTGTATCACGTGAAGTGACGAACAAAGGAAAGAAGCAAACAGCTGAATATAAATCATCGTTTACAAAGAAAGCTTTCTACTTTTTTCCGGGTAAGTTTATCAATGTTCAACAGGATTTGTTTGAGAATATCTTTTGTTTCAGGTTTAATTGGAAATCCAATCGCACCTATTGATTATTGTAAGTGTAATCCAAGTTAAGAGAGCGATTATGTTGACCTAAGTTTGTTGTTTGTAGCAATTCATAGTCGAAATGATGTGAAACGAAATGAAAATGCAATGAATCAACTTGATCATCAACGTGATAGTTCATCGTTTAATTATGAAATTATTAAAAGGTTTTTTATTGAAAATCTTCTTGATAAATGGAAGATTCTTGCACGAGAATTAGATGTAAATGAAAATGACATTGATTCGATTTCACGTGAAAATATTTCGCCGAAAGAAAAATTTTCACACGTAAGTTTGAATCTCCGATTGTATTAATCTCGTTCAATCTTTACCTATTCGATAGATTTTGGATATTATTGCAAATAATCGTGAGAATAACTTCAGTCAAATACTCTCTGATATGTTTAAAAGTCTCAAACAATGTCGACGAATGTCCCATTATTGTAAATTCTTCCGTTCGCTTCGTGTTTTATCATGATTGAACTTTGTTGTTTTATTCCTTTCAGATCAACTTCGAGAAATACTCGCACCATTTTATCCTGATTTACAATAAGTGTATTCATCCGTCCATAATGCGTGTTTTCTTTCTTGTTTTAGTATTTTATTGTTCATTTGTACATGAATGTGAATGTATATGTGTGTTTTTCTAAATCATTTCTTTTCTTCTTCTCTTTCTATTGTCGTCTAATTATATAACTTTTGTGTGCTCGAGATAGTTCATAAAACACGGAAGGAAAGAAAAAGAGAGAGAGAACAAAAAAACTGACGCGTTCAATAAATCATATTTCCTCGCGCTCGCTCATCGCCGAATGGAATGAGAAGGCTTGTATACACAATAGATCGACTCTTCTTTTGTCATTATAGATTCATTCCTTCTTTTTTCAAATTCGGAAAAAAACAAGAAATCATGGAAGACGAACGGCCGGCAAAAGGACCGAAAATTGTACAGGTATGGAATACGACTTGTCGTTTAACTGAGCATTATGTTCAATGTTTGTTTAGGTCAAAAACAAAATGCCTGCACCGTGAGTTAAAGAAGACTTTAGCTTAGTTATGATCGTTGATTTTGCGTTTTTTCGACCGTAGAATTCAAATAACAGCTGAACAATTGCTACGTGAAGCCAAAGAAAAACAATTGGAATATGTTGCTCCACCACCGATACAAAAGATCAGCGATCCAGAAGAATTAGCAGAGTATCGAATGAAAAAACGCAAAGAATTCGAAGATGCCATACGAAAAAATCGACAGAAAATGGTCAACTGGGTTAAATATGCTCACTGGGAAGAATCGCAACAAGAACTTCAACGTAAGATTCATGCTTTTTACACCAACTATCGATTGCATCTTTATTTTTCCAGGTGCACGCAGTATTTGGGAACGTGCGTTGGATGTCGATTACCGTAACATCGCTCTTTGGCTCAAATATGCTGAAATGGAAATGCGTAAGTATCGATCACAAATTTCCTCACTTTTCGAACTCGCGCAAATCTGTTCAGGTTATAAACAAATCAATCATGCTCGAAATATTTGGGATCGTGCCATTGCAATCTTGCCACGAGCCAATCAACTATGGTACAAATATGCTTACATGGAAGAAATGCTTTCGAACATCGCCGGTTGTCGACAAATTTTCGAACGATGGATGGAATGGCAACCGGATGAACAAGCATGGAATACGTATATCAAATTCGAATTACGATACAATGAATTAGAACGTGCGCGAATGATCTATGAACGTTTTGTCGTCACGCATCCGGAACCGAAAAACTGGATACGGTATGCGAAATTCGAAGAACAGAATAGCTATATCAAATCAGCTCGACGTATTTACGAGCGTGCTATTGAGTTTTTTGGTGAAGAACATTTAAACGAACGATTGCTGTTAGATTTCGCTAAATTCGAAGAACATCAAAAAGAACATGAACGTTGTCGGATGATATACAAATATGCTTTGGAACATTTGCCTAAAAGTTCATGTGAAGACATTTTTAAAGCATATACAATTCATGAGAAGAAATATGGCGATCGAACGGGCATCGAAGATGTTATTACAAGCAAGAGAAAATTTCGATATGAAGAGGTAAAAACGCGAAATTTCTCTGTATGAGTTTCATAACTGTTTGTTCCAGGAATTGAAAGAAAATCCACTGGATTACGATACGTGGTTTGATTATCTACGTCTGTTGGAAACTGAAGGAGACTTTCCAGTCATTCGAGAAGCATACGAAAAAGCAATTGCCCAAATACCGCCCATTCAAGTATGTCATGAAAATCAGTAAATAGAAATGTACACTTTTGTTTGATTCATTAGGAAAAACGTTATTGGCGTCGTTACGTTTATTTATGGATTAATTATGCACTGTTCGAAGAACTCGAAGCTGAAGATGCGGAACGCACACGCGAAGTTTATAAAGCCTGTTTAAATTTGATTCCACACAAGAAATTCACATTTGGTAAAATTTGGTTGTACTATGCTCAATTTGAAGTTCGTCAGAAAGAATTAGCATCTGTTCGAAAGATTCTTGTAAGTAGTTTTGCAAGCTATTCTTTTATGTGTCAATATATTCTTTCGATAGGGTACTGCTATTGGCATGTGTCCGAAAGATAAACTGTTCCGTGGTTATATCGATTTGGAAATTCAATTGAGAGAGTTCGACAATTGCCGAAGATTGTATGAGAAATTTCTCGAATTTGGCCCGGATAATTGTACAACATGGATAAAGGTAAAGCACGGAGCTTCTTTTGTGAAATATGTAAATATCGTTGGATTTTTTGTTTGTCAATAGTTCGCTGAGTTAGAAAGTATTCTCGGTGATATTGATCGTGCACGTTCGATTTATGAACTTGCTATCGAACAACCAAGACTTGACATGCCAGAATTATTATGGAAGGCATTCATTGATTTCGAAATTGAGCAACAAGAATATGATCGAGCAAGACGATTGTACAGTAAATTGTTGAAGAAGACTCAACATGTTAAAGTAAGATAGACCGTGAATTTTCATTTGGATTTTATTTTGAATGAATAAAAAAGGTTTGGCTGAGTATGACACAGTTCGAAGCGTCAATTGACGAATCCGATTCAATCGATCGCGCACGTGATGTTTTCGAACAAGCGTACAAAACTCTTCGAACAGCCAGTGATAAAGAAGAACGTCTGATGCTCGTGGAACAATGGCTTAATTTTGAGGTGAAAAATAGTAATCTATTGAGAATGAAATTTCATTTGTATTCTTTACAGAGAGAAAAGGGTACCAAGGAAAGTGCTGCTCGTGTCGAGAAATTGTTTCCAACTCGCCGAAAACAACGACGAAAGATTCTCAGCGAAGATGGAGTAAGTCTGCTCAATATTGTCAGGTACAGATGTCTCACGCAGTATTCTAATTTAGATTCCTACAGATCAATGGGAAGAATTTACACAATTGGTCTTTCCTGACGATGAAGCTGTTCAACCTCATAAGAAATTGTTGGACATGGCTAAACGATGGAAAAAAGGACACGATGATACTACCACAACAACAGAAGCGTCGGCATCAGCACCAGAGCCAGCAACTGAGAAAGAAGATAGTATTCCATTACCAGAAGCACATGTTGATGATGAAGAGATGAATGATGAATCTTAAATTGTTTTCTTTTGTCTTCTTGTGATTGTCATTGAAAGATTTTCACTCTATTTTTCTTTATCATTGTGGATGAAAGAAGCCCTGTGACAACAAACAAATTTCTTACTCTGTTGTAGATTTATTTTCTTGATAAACAACAATGCCGAAACAACGTACACAGACGACAACATTAAATTCATCCACCGTTAATCCAACAGGTCGTCATCGTGATACATTATCGAAAGCAAATGCAGCAGCCGAGAATGAAGACGTCATTCCCATTCCGATACAGATTTTTCTGTGGCGGCAGAGCAAGTTCGTAGATAACGAATAAAAGACGTTCTTTCTCTACTGTTCACTTTTAGTCCATTCATTAAACAAAAATTCGGGAATCTCACGGATGCTTCGGCCATTGTAAGTTTCTTAGCCAGATTAGTTCTTGTTGAATGTAAATCATTTGGATTATCCTTTCTAGAGTTTTGATCGTGTTCTCGTTCAAAACATTCTACATGGTCTATCACCTAGTCTCAGTGATGCCATTGCCAGTATTCCACGATGGTTGCTAATCAAAGTGGTTAGTTGATTTTGCTTTCGATTACAAAAATGACAATCAAACAAACAAAATACATATTTCTTTTCTTTTCTTAGGCATTTCCGCATGTCATGCACGCATGTTCGGCAGCTATCGAACATAATCTCCATTCGATTCAACAGCAACCACCAGTCTCTGGTACTCATCCATCCTTATTAGTGTCATCATCTTTATCTCTTTCGCCTTCGGCCTCGTCCCAACTTCAAGTTCCTGCTAGTCATCAATTACCTGCAAGTACTCCTACTTTACCTATACCTCCTGGTACGGCACCATCAGCCGGTCTTGCTGGTGAACAACATCCAGGAGTTGTTCGTCTCTCATCAGCAACACATAGCATGGGCAGCTATTCGTCGTTAGCAAACAAATTAACTGCATCGGAAATTCGCCTTTTCCATACATTGCATTATTTGATATTAGATGCATCTAGTCAAAATACGAATACATCTAATCCGAATGATCAATTGTTACCATTGAATACAATACAATTATTCATATATTTGTTTATTCCATATATTCACACGTATTTACAGAGTAATGAAAAAGAATTCCTGAATAATCCGGATCTTAGCCAGGGCATGCGACATATTTGGCAACCTTTGCTTGAATATCGTCAACCGCATATTCGCATGTTTAATGCATTTGTAAAACCAATTATTCCAGCATATGCATCGCCCAATGAAAATGGTGATTATCTTTCGACGGTACACGATCTTCAACAGCAACAACAGCAACAGCAACAGCAATTACCACATCAACAACAGCAAACATTCTACATTAATAATAATAAACGCAATCGATTATCAGTATTGGTGGAATCACCAACGCCGGTTCCAACAACAACACGTGCAATTCTCGAAGAAGTTGAAGAAGATCAACAATCGCAAGGCTCACCACAACCACCGGCAATCGCCCACTCACTCAGTCAACATGATTATCCAGCACAGTTACCAAGATCAGTTTCCGAAAAACAACCACTATCTGACCTAACAAATCAACCCTCAATAATGGCACCGATTGTTAGTAGCGAAGGAAGTAGTACCAGTTTGTTTCAGCCAACAACAGTAAAAAGAGAACATAAATCCACTTCGTCCGTTCTGGCCGATTCCGATACAACAACAAATAATTCAATGACCGATCTCAGTGCATACGGAACATCAAGTGCAGCAAAGCCACGGGCACCACTAGTGCATATGAGTTCAATCTGCTCAATTTCGGATTCAAGTCGTTTGACAACGTCACCACAAAGTCCAGGTAAAATTTCAAACGTTATGATTGTTCTACTACATGGCTCTTTTCCCTAATTTCTAGTCGATAAATTCAATGCACTACCCGGTGCTCCCGGTTCGTCGTCATCTTCGGCATCGACTCCATCTGTTCTTCTACCATTACATTGTTCACAATGTCAACAGCCAGTCTTCGCTCCTCACCATCCACCTGGTATTCCATATATTTGCTCAAGTTGTACAGCTATGAAGACAGGATCTATATCAAAAACATCTCTTCCAGCATCTGATCTTCCATTGATTTCGTTAAGATCGCCTCTAACGCAAAGAGAATCGATACCTACATCACGACGTCATAGTTCCATCATGGGCAAAGTTCGTACAACACAACGGTCATCAGAATTGCTTCTACTTGCTACGTACTTCGATATTGGAATCTTACGAACACTATTTAGTCCATCGTGGTTAACAGATGGATATCTATGGTGTTTAGAATATCTACATAAACGTATCATTGATATATCTGATGAAATACTCTCCGATGCTTTAATGAATGGAACATTACCAATCAATATTCTTCGATTTAAAAGTCTTTCTATTCCTCAATTAAATCTCGGTACCGAACAAGACTATCAAGAATATCTAAAAAATATTTATTTTAACGAACAAGTCACCAACGATATTATTGAACAACAGTGTATGATGGCTGGCACAGGCGACATGTCGGCAACGACGTCCGTTCGACAACCAGCAAATTTATTAAATGTACCATTTAAATATTTTGCTGGTAAAAGTCCATACACAGGAAAACATAGTCAAAAATATGATAATTTTTACAAGAAAATCAGGTAAGATGACGATGAACTTTGATTATTTATTTCTCTAAATTCACATTTTTATTCAATTATAACCTGTAAAGAGAAAAGCAATTGTTGGCTAAAGGGTAATTTTGATATTTGAATAGAACACACGCACACAAAGTGATTCTCATTGTTTTGCAAGAACGTTACTAAAGGATTGCAAATCTATGAGAAAAACCGTATAACCCTTTTTTTTCGTTTTGACACGTTCTGAGCACCCGAGTTGATCTCTGTTTTTCTCAAATGTTCTTTTTCATTTAGTAAAATCCGTTATATCGATGAAGAGGGTATCGAACATCTGGATTTGGCTACCAGTGATCGTCGTGATCACCCGATAACATCATCAAAAAGTAGTCGACTTCTTCTTGCCGATCCAGCATTATTACTACTTAAAACTACAACAATCGCTGCATCGGACCGGTCTCAAGTCGCTTCGGCAGCGAACACCGCAGCCGCCGTTGCTGCCGGTGGAACAACTGCGCGACAATCTGTCGATAGTATTTTAAATGCCGCCAATGTTACTACACCTAAAGTGACAACAACAACCCCAGTAACTAATTTGAATACGATGAAAACATACAGTGTGAGCGACTCGGAAATTAATTACAAGTTCCTTGAAGAAATCGAAGAAGCACAAGGTTCAAGTGCGTACATTAACCGAAGTGGTACTATTAATTTCGGTGTCGTTCTTGCTGGTATTCATGCGGTTATATGCAAAGAACATCATTTGAAAGTTTGTGAATTAGTTATGAATATTCTCGATGTTTTATTGGGTTTGGCCGTTATATCATCATCAGAAGATGATGCTCATAAAAAACAATTATTAACTGTTGGAAATAGTGGAACTAGTACAGGCGATGAACAAGTTGAAGAGTGGCTGAAACAAATCGATGCGAAAGAAGAAGAAAAATTTCAACTAGCTGTTGACATTACACTGAGGTATGAAAAAAGATAGAGAGAGAGAAACGCAGATAACCATATTGTTTTGTTATTCTATAGAATCATCAAGCGACTGGGATGTCCGAATTGTCAACCACGTGGTCGCAGTTTTACTGCTGATCAATTACGTGGTAAAGTTCGATTATCATTGAACAAACTTCGTTTACTGAATCAACAACGATTCGAAAAGTATATAAAGACAAAGCAGTTCGATTGAGCAAAACTGATTTTCTGTTTTCAATAGATATTTTCTTAATCTGACGCTAAATGGCGATCTCGTTCACATTCTTGACATATTTCATGCATTGTGTGGTTACTGTTCCGAATCAAGTATTGGTCTCGCTCATTATTCGCCTTATAGTAAAAAGAGATTCTTTGAAGATGATATTTCGAAGAATTTATTCTTGATTCTTTAGTTCCAACAAAATCTGATGGCAATTCCCGACAAACTTATTCGAATAATTTCGGAAACACACATTTGGGTGTTGGACCGAAAGGAATCGATGGATTTATTCTAAATATTATATTCAAACCATTCGTTACACGTCTGATTATGATGAAAGAATATCTGATGAGTTCAGAAAACGTGGCTCTATATGGCGAATGTCGAGCATTTCTCACATGCATCAAAGAAAATCACGGTGGAATATTTCGTTTGGTTGTTTTTTCATCATTGCTTGATCCTGAGAAGAAACTGAAAACATTACAGCAGCAGCAACAAGAAGGAATGGCCAAAGTAAAAAGCAAAGGACCGCACACTTTTACACGTCAAGATGCCACACACAGTAGTGGAAAAGGAGTAATTTGATTTGAACAGGATTATTCGACGTTGTTTTCTCGTTGATTCTATTAGGCTTCTCTAAAGCGTGATCTTTCTGACGATACTGATTTTGAACGACAAGGTAGTACTGGACAACAATTGCAAACAATCGGAATAGAAGAAACATCTATACCAAATATTGCATCATCATCATTTAGTATTAAATTAAAAAGTAACGTCGAAAATAATCATTGAAAAATGTTATACTTATTTCTTTGTTTGTAAAGGCGCTCGTGCACGAGCTGGATCAATACTGGGTGGTGGTGATGATCATAGTCTGTACACACATCAAGAAGAAAGTTTATATGTCGATTTAACACTTGTTCGTTTGGGTCTATTGCGATTGAATTTCATGATGGAATCGTGTCCACCTGGCTCATTACCTGATCCACAATTTTTAAACAGCATTTTGCTTCTTGTTCGTATCCACTTACTTTCTTTTTCCATTATAAAAAATCAAATCCTTCTCTATAGGATTCGCCTGTTATATCGAAAGCTGCATATCTTGTTGAATGTGCACATTTCGTTCGTCGATGCTCCCTAGGACAATGGCCTGAATGGATGCGTATCAATATGACAACATTTCGCCCACATGAATCATACGCTGCTCGAGCAACAGGAAATATGAATGCACGATTAACCAAACTATATCAAGCTGCGGCCGCACGAATGTTCTATATTTGGGGTGAAGTAAGTGATTGCGAATATTCTTTTAGAACTAAATTTCATAAATAACACGTTAATTCTAATAAAAGGCTCTTTCATCACAACTTGAAAATATATTAGACAATGAACAACAACAAATAGCAGCAGATAATGCGAACGAAACAGGAGGAGGAACAGGAGGAGCTACCTTTTGGAATAGTGATGAATCATACGAAGATTATTATAACGAAGGTAGACACGCATGAGATTCACTGTTGTATGTCGTCAGCTTTATGTCTCTATACATATGTATATGTGTGTGTATGTGTGCAACTATACATTCTATATATTCATGTTTGAATACAACTTCTTGGTAAAATGCAAAGGAATTCATTATGATTTGTTTAATTTTAGCGATTGTTAATCGTTCAGGTCATGATTGCCCATATTCATTACGTGTTATTGCTTGTTTACTCCTCTATGAAATTACTTCATTTCTACGTGAAACATATGAAACCTTGCCAAAGCTTTCGTCGATGCCGTCTGGAAGCGGAAATCATCGTCAACAACAGCAACAACAGCGTACTAATAATCAACAACCGACTAGTGCCCCACCGACACTTGTAGAAACTTCGTCAACGTTGACGGATAAACGATCAAGTGATCGAATACGCATGGGAAGTGTTGTCTCTCAAACTTCGAATCGAAGTTCTGCATCGATCTCGAGTGATCATCCTGGACGTAAGAATATCTTTTCCTCTACTAGCAAGTTCTTTTATTTATCATTGTCGATTAGTGTCACCACAAGCTTCATCAGCGACGATTCCACCTGTTATGAGTACAATTCCAGCCACAGTCATTAATATGAATCCAACGCTCACAAATGAACGACATATTAGTTTTGCTGTAAATAAAGAGAATGATTCGAATGAAAGTAATCATACAGCAATACTCATGACTGATGAGGATGGCGTCGTCGTTGTTGATGGAAATTCCTCATCGGGAAATGCGGAGCGAAGAAGTAAGATATCTCACAATGCAAGATTAGTTGTTAATTGTTTGTATTTTAGCGTCTGTTGCTACACACAAACCAGGAAGTGTCAGTGGTAGTAGTGGAAAATCTAAACTTATTCGACGAAGTAGTGTCAAATTAAGAAAACCATCTTTACGAATGAAAGAGTCAGGAAAACGTAAGTACACATTTCAGTTACTTTTATAAAGCTAATCTTTTTCCTCTCTCAGATACTCGTCGTTCATCCTATCGAACGCGTCGTCGTAGTCATGCATCGAATATTTCATCAGAAACCGATGGTCATCAGAGCAATATTGGTAGTTCCGCCATGGAACCACCTGACGAATACACCAATAGTAATGACGAAGATTTCGATCAGGGAAATTTTGATGATAATATGAATACTCGGCCATTTCCATGGACGAAAGTTGTCATACGTATATTGAATAATGTTAATTTAACATGCGATCATCAAATCAAATGTCTATCGAATTGTTACGATAAACAAACAACGAGTTGTAAAAATCTAATCCAAGCATTACTGAATATGTATCGTTTATCATCATCGAATTTAACAAATGTTGGCTCGTCATTTTCACGTTCTTCGTCATCAACGCATCGCTCAACATCACATTTAAAACGTAATGATACAACATCGAGTAAAACTGCACATGATCTGAAAAAACGTCGGGTAAATTAACTAAGAAATTCTTTCGTATACAACCAAATATGGAAATGAAATTTTCTTCGTAGCTTTCAACCTGCTTGTTCAGTGATGGTACTGGTCAAAATGTCGACAATGTTGCTAAAACCACTAATACAACGAAACCACCTGATGTACCAGCATATGGAATGGTTTTTGAGACAGCTGATCCGCATCTCGACAAACAAATAAATACACATTTTACTACAGTAGCTACCTACCTTGAAAAACAAGTTCGATTAACATTTAGAAGTCCAAATCATGAAATCGATGGAATATGTTTCTTTAGGTTGGAACGTTAACACAAGTGCCACTGATGATTCTTTGCAAATCATCTGTTTTATTAGACGATGAACATTATTCACAGATACTTAATCTATCCTGGGAGCTTCTACTAGATCGAAATGAAGAATTAGCTGCTTGTGCAGGTATAAGATTAAATAGAGAAGTTTGATTTCGATCAAAAACCGGTTTCTTTCTAATTTTTAGCAACAATTGTTATTTTAACGGCTGCTCGAGCAGGCCAATTAGTCGACGCATTATTTCACAGTGAAATGGAAAATTCATCAGCATTAATACGTTATAATGCAATTCTGAAATTTCAAACACTATGGCGATTTCGTTATCAATTCTGGATACGATTAGAAGAAGGCGCACATTCAATGATGAAAGTAAAGCATCACTGAGTCAAACGAATTTCTAAAGAAATTTATCGCTATACTTCAGATTCTTCCACCAAGCATTGAATTTGTTCTACCATCACCTGCCCTCGGTGTTGCAAACCTTCAAACGGTTGATCCACCATGGATGCCGCACGCTAAAACACTCGTTCAACAAGTCGCTCTAAATCAAGAAGAAGTGGTATGTATTCTATGAGCGAAAACTGCTTTTGTACACAACAACTATGTTTGACATTATAGCGAGCGGTAGTAACAGCAAGTAAAACACGTAAGAAGCATCAACAAGAATTAATTCATTCAGCATTGATGGCCGAAGAAACAAGTAAACGAGTGGCAAGAGAAAATTTTGCGATGGCTACCGTACCAATGTTACAATCGGCATCGTTTGAACCGCTGTTACATCAAACAAGAGAGGAAGAAGAAGAAGGTGAAAGAAACATAGATGTTGTGTTTGATGTTCATAAAAGAGATTTGTTTTGTAGGACATACAGATGATGATCGATTTGTGGAAACTAGCGTACAAATACGACAAGCACAAGGAACGTTTCCTTCGGCATTTGGCGCAGCTGTTTATTTACTTGTGGAAATGTTAGAGGATGAGGAAACGTTGGATAACGGTGCAACAGGTTTGTCTTTCTTAATCGAAACGTTTATAATCGACTTGTAATTTGTTTTCTAGTGGCTGAATCAGCTCGCAAAGCCTTATGGACATGCTTAGTCGACGAACCCACCTTATTAATCCGTTTCTTTTTCGAAAAACTTTCCAATAAAGAACGTCGAGTATGTCTTTCCTCGTCTTTCATAGCGAATCTCCAGTCTAATTTCTTGTTCAGATCAAATCTTTTCAAAGTCTTCGCCGTCTTATGATTTGTCTAACCGATATTCCACCTCAATTTGCTCATGCTGTATTCAATTACGTTCTCGGTTTACTCATGAGCATGGTGCGATCACCATTGGATGGCTCTCAAGATCTGATTATTGCTGGTCTGACATTATTATGGCAAATCATTCCGTATTTACACGGTCTAGTCTTAAAAGATTTGAAACAAATTCTACGTAAAGAACAAGCAGAAATGATGATACTAATCACGGGTAGTATTCCTTCGACGAAAAAAGTGATTATCCATGGACCTGATCTCTCGCAAATTCCAACACAAGCAATTATTCAAGAAGATACACAATTTAGTAATGTTCTCCAAGAGGCCTTAGATTTTTTTGGTATACCTGAACAAAAACGTGATCGGTACTATTTAATTGATGTGAAAACTCAACAAATTCATATACCAGACACTTACGTACGTGATTTCTATTTCTTCCGTCGAAACATTTATCCCCAACTATCATTAATACATATGGATGCTAAACAATCTCAGCGACAATTAGAACATATGTCAATCTATTTGAAAACAACTGAACTATCTAAAGTATTATTCGCTCGTTATTTATTAGAGAATACTCCTTATAATCAAATACATAATTGTGTTACATTTTTCCATGATGAATTAATCAAAAGTCCATCATTTCCTCGAAAACCTTTGGAATCGGATTACAATCTCTATACGAGAATATCAGACAAAGAACTATTCAATTTAGATATGTTACATAAATACAATTGGTGAGTGAGAATTCGAAAACGACCAATTTAAATTACATTTGTCTTTTAGGATAAAATTAATTTCATGTTTGTTTTTCAACATGGATGGTAAAACAACGACCACGTGGGACATCACTCTGTTTCTGAATGTGATTAATGGTGCATTTATTCTACATTGTGAAGACTTTGCCATGTTACGTTTTTGTTTGGCAATTTACATTAGTACAGCTAAACATTTTCGACATATCTTTGCTACGAACGGGTAAATCGAAAAGTTCTCGTTCCGTTCATCATCTCTTTTCCTTTGTTTCTTTAGTTATCTATTGATAATGCCAACATTTCTTCGCGTTTATTCAAATATTCAATCGAATCCGATGTTGAAAAAGGCTATCGAATACTGTTGTCGACAGTTCTTTATCTTACATCGCATTCCATTTATCTTACAAATGTTGGGTAGTATTTCACAATTATTAGATTTCGATGAACAAGCTGATGTGACTGATACTAACAAAATCCAACCAGTCAGTTTGTTTCGATTATTGGTTGCTTTGGAGCAAACAAGTGTAGATGCCATGAGAGATGACTATTCAATCTTAGAGTTAGTTAAAGATGATCCAATATCAAGTAAAACATCGGCGACAGCGACAGCAACGACGCCATCGTCAAATATGACGGTAGTGGCTGCACTTGGCCAAGGAAGTATGATCGCGCCAGCTACAATTAAAACATTAGACTTTTGTTATGCTGACGATGATACTGTTTTCACAGTTTTGAATTGTATCGATGTCTGTATTACTGTTGGTAAGTTGAAAAGATGTCAAATGTATTTTTCTCAGCGATTATTTGTAGTTGCTTATGCGCCGGATTCGATTCGTTCGTTACAAATGCTGGGAATCATCGATTTACTCTTACCAAAATATTTAGAATACTTGAAAGATCGTACAAATAAAAACGACATGCAAAAACAAGGCCGAGAAGAAATGAAAACCATTGAAAAGTTATCCATTGCAATCAAAACAATGATTGGAGCATCAGAATCTTTAACACGAACATTTGTTGGGCCCAAACTCGAGACATTAACTGGAGCAAGTTACAAGCATTCACGTGGTTCAAACCGTTCACCATCCATTGTTCCCGACGAGGATTCCATGAGGTAATTAATGTTCACATCAGTATTAATCATCGAATCTGTTTTCTCCTAGTCGTTTTATTGATGATCGAACTAAAACCAAAGTTCAAGACGGCGACGAACACAAACAAGCGTCGGAATTTCGTTGGCCACGCGATACACTTCTTTCTGTTATATCAACTTTTGTTCATTTTTCTACTCAACGCTTGAAAGAATTAATCAAATCAATTAATGATCCAACATTACGTTTACCTGAACTACTTGACGCGAAATCTCACACACGTCTTGCTGATATCGCGCACGCTCTATTGAAATTAGGTGGTTATGATCCTATAACAATGTCGTGTCGTGGCATTCAAAATTACTTTCAAAAATTATTACCCTGCACAAATTGGTCGCACGAACAATTACGACCAGCATTGAATCTTTTGTTGAGAAGAATTGATCGAATGTTTTCAAAAATATGTAAAAAACCATCGACAAAAGTAAACGAGCTGCTAACTCATATCATGTTATGCTCTTTAACCATGAAATTCATTTTAGCGTTGTTTTGATTGGGAAGCAACTGCAGGAATTTTGAATGGAATTTATTTGACGATTGATCGTCATCCATACATTGCTTATTTTCCGAATCTTAAAGTAAAGCTGAGCTGAGTTACTGTTGATGAATACCTTTCTCTCCAATTTTAGGCTCTAGTGTCAGGATGTATTGCGCTCGTATTGAACGAAAATGTTTCTGAATCAAGTCATAGCGTACCACGTCTAGATACACCAGCTTTTCCAAAGGAATTCTCTCGAGCTGTTATTAAACTTGTCGGAAGATATCTATTAGCTATTCGGGTAAGACAAAGATGATCACAAGTTACGAGTCAATTTTACTTTTTCTTTGTATAGAATCAACCGAATCTCGAGGCACTGACAGGAAATAGTTGGTCATTTCCAAATATGCCTTCGGCAATCAATCACCTTCTGCATTTTCTATTACCACTAATGTTCTGGGCCGGCAGTGGACGAAAAGATGCACCGAAAATTCATTCGATTGATATTTCATATATCATAACAATACTTATCAATTCTTTGAAACCACCATCAAAACTTGCAGCTGCGATGGGCGCGCCCGGTGGTCCCGGAAGCGGTGCACCAGGACAGATTAGTGGTGGACCTGGAGCTGGCGGTGGCAAACAACACTTGACAATTGGTGAAGCCATTCTACAAAACAGCAGTTTTACACATAAATCTATGAGACAACTAAAAGATCTTTTACAAACAGCATCTTTATTAGGTAAACTTTTCATCTCGAAAAATTGAGTTATTTACCAGAAAAGAAAAACTAATTGATATCCATTCATGTTTATAGGCTTGAAAGTTTTAATCATTGGATTCAGTAAACAGCTGAAACGCGAATGGCAACGCATTGCTCAGTCGATTAAACTGATGTGCAACAAACAGTCGAACGTTTCACCCATACTTCTCTCATTTATTGACTTTATCATCACATATAAAACTCCAATATTTGTCATTCTTCGACCATTTCTTTCTCATTATGTAAGACGACCAGACAATGTTCCTTTCTTTTTCTCAACTTACTCTTTTTACCTTCAGATGCATTCAGTTACATCCGACAACGAACGCGATTATGAAATGATAACGAATATTCAACAAAAACTGATTTTCGATAAGATTCCTTTGTCAAAGTCAACAGGTGAAATTCTCCATAGTTTAATGCAAGAATTAAATCAATTAAAAGCAGAATTAACCGGTAAGATTTCATTTCGATTCGAAAAGCAAACGAACAAACAAACAACGTATCAATCATATAAACACATACTGTATACTATTCTCTAGCTACAACCATGTCGTTTGCACGAGAAATGAGTCGTCCATGTTCAGGAGCTGGGAAAAAGAGAATACTTTTATCGAGAACACATCGACGAAAAAAGCGTGATGATATGCCTCTCGTTCGTCTATCATCATTCGGTTTGTTTCTTCTTTGCACGGAGTTTCGATTTGAATACTACTGAGCATGCTTAGAACTTCTTCGCATGATACATCCTCGTTCGAAACCAATTCTCACTATTTTCACGTATTTAGACGAATCGAAAGCATTATTTCCGTATGAAACACGTGCGCCTGGTACTGAAAAAGTTCGATTCGATACAGAAGCGCTCGAACAAATGAAGGATCGAGATGGTACCACGGGAGTTTCTGGTGCGACGAGTGACGGACGATCAGCCGGTAGTCGAACAACAAACGCATACCGTGTGCGACGACAACAATCAAGTGACAGTAGTTTAAATACATCACCACGCAAGAAAACAGAAAAAATTCGCGTTAAAGAAGCATTGGATATTCTTGACACGTATCGTGCTCGGTATCGAATTCGTTCAGGAGGTAAAGAATAGAAACTTTACTCGATTTGTTTTAATTATTCATCATCTATCATAATTATTAGCTGAAATATCCGATATTCCAATTAAATGGACGAGAGATTTAACATTACAACGGCCCTCAACAATAGATGACTTGGCAACTCCTACTTTAACAGGTAAATCTAATCTTATTTCTTCTCGATACTTGTTTACCGACTCTTTCTATTAGATGCACCACGTAGCCAACTGTCTGGCGCTCTACCTCGTTCGATTACTAGCATTGGTGATCGAACAGCTCAACATTACAATTCCCCAGGCGATCCAGATGACGATGATGATGATGATCAATCAACAACAAACAGAGATTCAGGATCGAAATTGCGTACATTCAGCGGCTGGAAACGAGGTGCAACACATTTAGATAAATCTCGATTAACCAAGGGTTTGATGCGAGCATCTGTAAGCTATTCTTCTCTCTCTTACAATGATTATTATTATTTTTCTCAACTAGGCACAGAACGAATCAGCAATGACATATGACGCAACCAAAGAGATGAATGACATATTTCGATCAAACAGGTAAACTCACTTCCCCAGATTTTGTTCTATAAAACTTATTTATTTTAAACATATCGCTTTGATTAATTTGTCTTTCTTTTTTCTTTACAATTCCAGTTGAATAAGACAGAGAGATCGAGAGTAGGTCGATCTTATGCATTTTATTTTGGTTTTTGTCTCCTATTTTATTCAATTTTTTTTCTCATGATACTCAGCATCTTCTTTCTTTGCCATTCTTCCCTAATCGCATGGAGAATGAACTATTTCCATATACCCGCTTTGCATGAACAATCTAGAGCATCTTTTTTTTATACAAGGGAATGAACTAGTGATTTGATTCAGTCTGTTCTTTTGTCTTTGGTTCGCGAAAAACTAATCTTTGTTTTGCTATATTTAGTTCACGCGATGAACAAGCATCAGATTTTTTTGATATACGTTCTTCCAATGATCAAACTGTACTTGCTTCCTTTTTAAACCCATCAACAACAACAACACTTCAACAAGTCCCTGCAACTTCCTCGGCTATTCCTATGACAACAATTCTTCCAACAAAAGCAGAGCCACGTACAGATATCTGGATATCACGTTCACCTAATACGCCACCTGTAACTGAAGCCGACTATGAATCTCAAGTTTGAGCTTGTTCTCAGGTCATCTCTCTCTCTCTCTTTCTCTTTCTTCTCAACATTGAAAACAAACATACAGTGTATTCTCTTACATAGATTGCTTTCTTTTTCTTTCCTTGTGGCTTTTCAATCTTCAAGTTCGAAAATTTCACTTATTACAAAATATTTTCCTCTCGCTTTTATTTCTCGATGTGTTTCTTTTCTTTTTCTATAATAAATAATCACTATATACATGTACAGGGTTCGAAAGAATATTATACAAGGGAGATGCGAGACAATCTCGAACAGAGGGTACAATGAATTTTATACCAAATGAAAGCTCACCAGAAATGGTATTTGATAGTGTCTTTTCTTATGGGAAAACTTAGACATTAAAATTTTAATCAACTTGAAACGAACAAAGCGGTTTTATGTTTTTGCTCCTAAAATACAGTTTTACAGTACTTGATTGATGCGTTTTGTGACATACGGCTAATTTTGCTGCAATAATTTTTAGCAGATGTAATAGTTGACACTCTCAGTGCAATAATCATTGTTTGATTTACAGTAGAATCGAACTTAAAAATCGAATTCAACCATGCGACTCTTGTAGGTATGCGTATTTCGGAATAAAATATGTTCATTGATCCGCTTTGAAAAGTGCATATCAGTATAGTACGATGGCTCTCAATCGCAAAACTTGTCGAAATTAAATAGAACGCCATGGAATTCAACATTAAAAGGTAATATAATGTGCCACCTACATAGCAACTGCGATCATTAATTTCTATTGATGAAATCTTCTTTATGGCAAAACGAGTTATATTGTTCAAGAGTAGAAGCATGCATAAGAATCCGTAGTAGTGAACGATTTGCTTGCAAGGAAACGGCATAGCAATTTACGGACGATATTTTGCATTCTCTTTCTTGTAGCTTTTCATTTTCGAAATTCAAACATTCGCTGTTTGACTTTCTCATTTCGCTAGACGATCAAATAACAATACTTTCCTCCAGCTCTATCTCAGTATGTTTCTTTTCCTTTTCTCTAATCAACGATCACTCTCTCTATATGTATATGATGATTAATGTTGATCAATTGAACTTTTGTACAATATAAATAGATCTCATTACTCTTCTTTGAAGCGAAGAAAACCTTATTCACAAGAGAATAATGTCAAAGAAAGGTTATATGATTTCATTTTCATGCTAACAACAAATGAATGAACTTCATTGCATTCCTCCGATCTCGTAACATATAGTTTCATGATGTAATCATAACAAAGCGGGAGAAATCTAAAGTATCGACGAGGAGAAATTCTTTGAACTATGTATACTTTGAGATTATTCTATTTCCGCTTCTTTTTTGACTATTAATACTATCTTTCATATAATTTTCCCGAATTTGCATGGAATGTTATTCGAAGCTAATGAGAATTTCTCGAAGATGAAAACTTATTAGAAACATATGAGAGCGAAAGTTGCGGCAGTTATACTGTTACCATCCAATATTGATTTCATGTGATGGTGTTATCTAACTGATTGATAGATGAAGAGCTAGGATAAGTATCAACATACAGATTAGCGATGGATGTTTTTCATGCATCGATTCAAAGGTATACAAGAATGATATCATCAAGATTTGAGTTGTGAGTTTAGATTTAAAGACATCAATCTTTCAGATTAATTAAGGAATTGAGCTGAACGAAAATGACTGAAACTTTTCAATCAAAACATGATGATTGTACTTGATGGTATTTTTCAATAATCAACAACACGTGCGCAAACATTGCTTGACATCGTTAATAATTCTTTCTGCATTTGATCTTCGCAAAGTATTCAATAGTGATCTTAAGATCAAAAGTAAACTAACAAAATTACGATGAAATAGTTAAGTTTAGAACAACACAACTAATCACATGTGCTCACAAAGTTCAGCTGAGATAATTTATGGATGAATACTTAATGCATTAGTCTGATTAATGGTGTGCACAATTCAACATAAGAAACAGCTCCAACCGTGGATAGCCATCTGTTAATGCCACCGTGTGAGAATGACGGTATATATATATACCGTATTTACTAACCACTCTCATTTCCGGTGCGTCCTTCTTTTGTCCGTTTGACCTCTTGAAAGCAAGAACGACATACAAAGACACACATCAGAAAAGAGAAAAAAGACACGTCGCCAGAGAGAGAATATTTGCTAAGCTTTTTTTGTATCGATCATTTGCTGCTGCTTCTCTTCTTCTTCTTTTTCTCATATATTATTTGTCCTTTTCTATTTGTCTAACATTATCAGAGAAGTAGAGTAAACGAATGAATTCGTCGTCATACGATCCTCATACACCACCGGATATCACACACATGTCTGAAACCATATTAGATAGTGCTTCAAATCAAGCATTAGTCACAACAAACGATATTGATATACTCAATGATGTTTCGAATTTCTCTTCAGGTAAGGTTTTATTCAGAGTTAGTTTTCCTGAATATTAATATAATTGTAGAGCCAAATGAGAATATTCCATTTGAATCGTCTCCAACGGTTTCATCCAAAAAGCAGAAGTCATTACTTTCTGTTTATGATAATTCGAATGACGGTGAACAGCACAAGCAACAGCAACAGCAATTCACTGGTAATTTATTGCCAGTTGTTGGAATTCTTGGTCGTAATCATCGTTCTCAAGCATTTACTCGACGTCTTTTGCTCTCTGGTTTCCCTAAACCAGTTCTTTGTGATACTAATTCCAATACTAATGATTCAAATTACGTTTCATATCAAACATTCTATGAGCGATGTCCAACGGTAGTCTTAATTACAGATAATCTACCGACTAATTTCGATTATATATTCAATCCAACAAAACCTCAATTGATTGTTGATACACGGGAAGTGATTTCCAATTATCGGCCTCATCAACCATCACAATATCTTATGCCTATTCCCGATGCTTATCGAGCATTTGGAAATATCTCGAACTGGGAAATTGAATATGGTACCGAGCGTCTTCCTGTTGCAATCGAACAGTCATCACCGATCGAATTAGTACAATTTATATTGAAATTGAATTGTTTTTCTCGTGGAATATCTTTTATCGATCCGTTTTCTTACAATAACATACAAAGAAAATCATTTCGAAATTGTTTATTTCCATTAGTTACAACGATCATCATTTTCACATTAAGTTTTCTTTTCGCCATGATCGAATACAATCATCAAAGGAATTACTACCGAGAACAGTTTATCTATCGTTATGCAAGTTCAATAACAGCAACAACAAGTATAACATTACTTTCAGTTCTATTTCTACTAAGTCCGATAGTCGAATCAATCAACTTGATCAATTCATTGATCTTGAAAAAACGTAAGATGACCTTGAAATTTGATTGATATTCGAATTTGTTTATGTAGAAGATATTTTACCATCACGTTGGATGTTTCTTCATCGGTGGAACCAGTCCAAACGATATTTAGCCTGGTATTCCCTGGGATTTGGCATTTTACACCTAATATTTCTATTTATCGCAAAGAATGATTTCAATCGCAAGATTTTCTTTTTCTTCCCTGTAATTTTCGGTCTATTTGCTCTCATAGTTCTATGTATTTTATCATTTGTTTATTTTCCATGGATAAGTGAACGACTACAATGGCGTGAATATTACATTTTAACATCACATTTCGGTCCATTCTGTCTTGTAATTGCTTTTATACATGTTTACATCCAATGGAAATACGGATATGAATATTTACATCAACAAGACTTCTTCCGTTTGAGATTTATTTCAATGATTTTACCTTTTTTCGTGTTGACACTACGATTTACTCTACATGGCATTATTCATCCTCTACTCAAATGGTTTCACAGTCGAGAAAGAAGGAACAAAGCAACCGCGACAGATACCTCGTTTTCACCATAAGCTATATTTTGTGTCTCTTTCTTAGTTTACATTTGTCTTTGTTTGTGTGTACGTGTGATATGTTGTAGAAATAATTACTTAAAAGAAAATAGAAGAAGAACAAAAGATAATAGTTTCGGATGTATAATAGAACTTATCGACAGATGGCTAATCATCTATGGTAAGAGACAGATGTTAGGTGTCAAGAAATGAAAGACAACATTCTCAATGACAAGACAAACTTATTGACGAGATGATGTCCTTAACGTCAAGAGACGATTATGATTTCTGTTTTATGCTGATTAGCAGAAATCAAACTCGATGTGGTTCTGTAGGATTTTGAACGAGCAACAAAGATTTTCATCAAACAATTGAAATACATCTTTTGAATTCTGATGACGAGTACAATGATATGATCATTATGAAGATAAGATTGGTCAAGAGGAAAAAGAAGCCACATAATAACAAAGAAAACAAAGATTCGATTTATTTAGCTGCAGCATAAACAAAAGACTTTCTGTATATTCATTTACTCAATTGACTAAATAAACAAATCGTGTCATTGAATCCTCGAAATCATTTGCAAAACACTCGATCAAAATCAACCTTCAACCGTCAGAAGACAACTACAAATACAATGATATGTTTTCTCAAAGCGATTGATACTCAGAGTAGATTACAATAAGTGCAAAATGTTTGTCTGAAACTTGCTGACAGATATTTTTATATTGTAGATTATCACGTTAATATTAAGAAAAAACCATAACGTATGCCATTCGGATACTTAATTTTGAGATTATGTTGATTGCTATATGTCAGTTGCGGACAGACTTCTTTTTTATCATATTCTTGTCTAAGGAAATATGAAGATCTTATTAATACACAGTTTTTGTCAGTTTCCAGATATTCATTGACAAATTATCTGTTAATAATTTGATCGACAGAATGATGGAAAATCGAATTTTCTTTTCTGTATACAATGAAAAAACGAAGAATAGCTATTGGTTATGATTTCGACAGTTCCTATAGCGACTCTTTAATGTAAACGAATGACAAAATGCATAAGTGTGCTAGATTCACTTGATTGCCAACATTGTATTTCTTTGTCGTTTTGTAAACGAGGAAAAAAAACGTCTCTAAGAATTTATTTTCTTAGATTTATTGAAGAAAATCTTGTTGGGACGTTTTACTTCTCGACGCGAAGATTTATTCATATTTCTAAGAATAGGATCGATATAAAGAAGAAAAAAGAAAATCGAGGGATAAGAGGATTCGTCGTTTGTTCGTTCATCATCCATCTATCTTACCCTTTCTCCTTCTCATCGCATTCAACCAGTCATCTTTTATTCTTTTTGCTTTCGTTCGTAAACAGTTGACAAATAAAATTACACTAAAAGACTAATAGCGTGCATACACATATAGGATATATCTTTATGTATATATATATGTATACATATCGATGTATTTACCTCGTCGGACTAGAATAGTCGATTTCGAGTGTTCGTCCGTTATGATTTCTTTGTTATTTTCGACGCGTAGATATATTCACCACATACGAAACGATATTTACCATTGTCATCTCGATTTGCGTTTACACTTTCGATTTTATCTGTAAACTTCTTTTTAGAACGACTATACGAAATCAACAGTTGATCATGACCAACAGTGACGAAATTACTGTAACAACAAAATCAACAGCAATTATCAATACTAGTGCTGGATCAGCTCTTTCAAATACAAAGGCACTCCTCGATGATCCAAATTGGAAAGAAAAATTGAAATTACCACCCAAAGATAGCCGACCAAAAACATCCGATGTTACCAACACCAAGGGACACAGTTTCGAAGATTATTGTCTTAAACGAGAATTGCTTATGGGTAAGCAAATGACCAACGATCTGCTCTACAATTAATGCATATGCTTTGTTTTTGTCTAGGTATCTATGAAAAGGGCTGGGAAAAACCATCACCAGTTCAAGAACAATCGATTCCAATTGCTTTGACCGGCCGCGATGTTCTCGCTCGAGCAAAAAATGGTACAGGTAAAACAGGCGCCTACACTATCCCAATTATTGAACGAATCGATCCAACTAAAAATGTCATTCAAGCAATTATCCTGGTTCCAACTCGAGAACTAGCCTTACAAACCAGTGCCATCTGCATGGAATTGTCTAAACACATTCAATTACGTGTGATGGTCACCACAGGTGGTACATCATTACGTGAAGATATTACACGTTTACAAGAAGTTGTGCACATCATGATTGCCACACCTGGTCGCTTGTTAGATTTGGTGAACAAAAACTTAGCTAAAATCGATGCTTGCCGTGTGATTGTTTTGGATGAAGCTGATAAATTACTCTCACAAGATTACAATCATCTTTTGGATGAATTATTGTATGCTATGCCAAACGATCGACAAGTCATGCTTTTCTCAGCGACATTCCCATTGACAGTCGATGATTTCATCAAGAAACATATGAAACAAGCCTATGAAATTAACTTAATGGACGAATTAACGCTCAAAGGTATTACACAATACTATGCTTTCGTTCAAGAACGTCAAAAGATCCATTGTCTAAATACACTCTTTTCCAAAGTAACCTACTCGACGAAAAAAAACCGATCATTGATTGAACCCATTTTGTCTTCTGTTTAGTTACAAATTAACCAATCAATTATTTTCTGTAATTCAACACAACGTGTTGAACTTTTAGCCAAAAAAATAACTGAATTAGGTTACAATTGTTATTATATTCATTCAAAGATGCGACAAGAACATCGCAATCGTGTCTTTCACGATTTCCGTACTGGTCTTTGTCGTAATCTTGTTTGTTCAGATTTGTTTACCCGTGGTATTGACATTCAAGCTGTAAATGTTGTGATTAACTTCGATTTTCCTCGTTTCAGTGAAACATATCTGTAAGACATGACGAATGTTTCGCTTTCATTTCAACACTCTATCATTTTAGTCATCGTATTGGTCGCTCGGGCCGTTTCGGTCACTTAGGTCTTGCCATCAGTTTAATTACACACGAAGATCGATTTGCTGTACACAAAATCGAACAAGAATTAGGTACAGAAATTCAACCAATTCCTCGTCACATCGAAGAGGATTTGTATGTGGCTAAGACACCAGCTCTCGAACATACAATGGACGATCAACATCTTTCAGATAAATGAACAGTCAGATATTTTTCTCTTCTCTGTGTGTGTGTATGTTTTACTAGTCAAACAAAAGCAAACCCATCAGATATGATTTCGACATAATTTTATCCTTCGTTTCTTTTTTTCCTCTTGCATATCATTGTGATTACAAACGTTTTTATTTTATTGTATTGTTCGATGATGGATTATAAAGAAAATAACAACAACGCTAAGACAAACCGTTTAGATTCTCTAAATGTTTTTCTTCTTCTTCTTTCTTCTCTTTTTCTAAAAACACACTCAACAACATCGAATTATTTTATTCTTTAGATTGTTAAGAATACAAAAGAAATTCGAAATTTTTTTCTTCGATTGACATTCGATATTTATCTATCTATTTCAAACTTATCGCATTTGTTTTTCATTGGCTATATTGAGAAAATCATATTCGTTTGGAATTGTACATATATTCCGTTTTTTGAATTCTTCTCCATTCTCCTTCACTTCAACGATGCTTGGTGTCCCATCCGGAGGCAAAGCCTCATCTACTCTGCCATTCTCTGCCAGCAATTTCCCCGGCAATCCATCAACGATGACCGATGGCAATGACAACAATAAAATGAATAATGGAAACGCATCAGCAATCAACAAAGATGATCCCGATTGGAAGTCAAAATTGAACCTTCCAGAAGTAGATCGGCGAGCAAGAACATCCGATGTTACAAATACAAGTGGCCATGACTTTGAAGATTATTGTCTTAAACGAGAATTACTTATGGGTAAAACACATCGACACACAAATATCTTTAACTTTCTTTTCCTTGTAGGTATCTATGAGAAGGGCTGGGAAAAGCCCTCACCTATTCAAGAGCATTCAATTCCGATTGCTCTAACTGGTCGTGATGTTCTCGCTCGAGCAAAAAACGGTACAGGTAAAACAGGCGCCTACACTATCCCAATTATTGAACGAATCGATCCAACTAAAAATGCCATTCAAGCAATTATCCTGGTTCCCACTCGAGAACTAGCCTTACAAACCAGTGCCATCTGCATGGAATTGTCTAAACATATTCATCTTCGTGTGATGGTCACCACAGGTGGTACATCATTACGTGAAGATATTACACGTTTACAAGAAGTTGTGCACATCATGATTGCCACACCTGGTCGTTTATTAGATTTAGTTAAAAAAAACTTAGCAAAACTTGATTCATGTCGTGTGATTGTTTTGGACGAGGCTGATAAATTACTCTCACAAGATTTTAATCATTTATTAGATGACGTTATTTTTTATTTACCTCAAGATCGGCAAATCATGTTATATTCTGCAACATTTCCATTGACAGTCGATGATTTCATTAAGAAACACATGAGAAATCCGTATGAAATCAATTTAATGGAAGAACTCACACTGAAAGGTATTACCCAATACTATGCATTTGTGCAAGAGCGTCAAAAGGTCCACTGTTTAAATACATTGTTTTCTAAAGTAACAAAGAGACTTTTACTTTGTGATATTTCGATAAGGTTCATCTTGAATTTAGTTACAAATCAATCAATCAATTATTTTCTGTAATTCAACACAACGTGTTGAGCTTTTAGCAAAGAAAATCACTGATCTTGGGTATTCATGCTACTATATTCATTCGAAAATGCGTCAAGATCATCGCAATCGTGTCTTTCATGATTTCCGTACTGGTCTCTGTCGTAATCTTGTTTGTTCCGACTTATTCACCCGTGGCATTGATATTCAAGCTGTAAATGTTGTGATTAATTTTGATTTTCCAAAATTAAGCGAAACCTATTTGTAAGTCTCGATGAATGGAAGTTCTTCTTAAAAACATCTCTGCTCATCTTTTTCTCCAATAGACATCGCATTGGTCGCTCAGGTCGCTTTGGTCATTATGGTATTGCAATAAGTCTTATAACTTATGAGGATCGCTTTTCATTACATAAAATCGAACAAGAACTGGGTACTGAAATTCAGCCGATTCCGAAACAAATTGATCCATCACTTTATGTTGCTGAATATCAAATGGGTGGAGACAATCCTGGTGATAAACAACAAGAGGGCCAAGCGAGTGCTTCTGCTCAGAAAAACTCATAAATTATCAAAAAACAAAAAAAGACAAATAGAAATCACAACAAAGAACATAGTCGATGTTGTACAGTTTTTTTCTCTTCTAAATTTGTTTTGTTTTTCTTCTTTTCTTCTTCTTCTTCTTCTTCCGGTTCATAAATTGCATCTGCCATTACCAGCAAAATAAAACTCTCCTCTTTTTTCCTTCGCCCATTCAGTCTTCTTCTGATTTTTCCTCAACTTCAAATCTTTTATTTCGTCGTTCTGATTTTTTTTTCTTCGTCTCTTCTCCGTTGTCTTGTTACTTGTTCTATCTGAACGTTGTTCTTTTTCGTACCAACTCATCTCACAGCTGTAATTCGACACTGGCGTAGATTTGTGAGATTATCACTGGTTCAAAACAATACTACTGTAATTGTTCTCTTTCATTTTCTTTTGTTCTCCTTTTCTCTTTTCCTTCATTTTCATTATCAGCAGTACTTGTCATTGCGATCTCATTTCTCTTGCCGAACCCAAAACCACTTCTTCTTCTGTGTTCTAGTCGAACACATTCGGCAATTGTTTACTTTCTTTCGTGTTTTGTATTGTCCGCTCATGTAGTCTCTATTCGTATGTGTCAAGTCTTGTCTAGTTTCTTGTCTCATGTATGTTTTCTTCTCTGCACGCAAGTGAATATAAATATATATGTATGTGTGTGTGAGTGTGTGTGTGTAAATCTATCGGATGAGAGAAAAAACTCGGTTTTTTTGAATTCCCGTTGTTTCCGATGAAACTGAAAAAAGAATTTGCTTTTTTTCGTCACTGCGTGCATATGTGTTTTAAAATTTGATTCCTTCTCAGACACGCACACATAGATATGTATCAGATGTATTCTCTCTCTCTCTTTCTCTCGCTGTTTTTGATATTCGAATATGAATGTTTGTGAATCTTGTTTGGCTTTTTGATGTGCAAGTTGAGAGAAGAGTGTTTTACAGCCAAGTGAGAAAATGTGTTTTTTTTTTAAAACTTTGTATCAACACCATCAACAAAAAAAGCAAATTGAAACAAAACAAAATGAAACATCAATAAAAATATATGAACATCTACACTAAAAGATGATAACACCATGAATTTCTAGTCTTCCTTCATTTGATGATCGTTTATTCTTTACCTTTTAGAACATGACGGCCAAACCATTGTTTACTATTAGTATGTTATTCAATAAGGAAAACGATTTCTATCGAAGATTCTTTTAGACGAACCGGTCTTTGCCTTGCACCAAGGAAAAACATACAAGGCAAAAGTTAGTATGAATAAGAAAGTTAATCAAAGAATTTCCATTCATTTCCTTACAGATCCTCGAGTCTAAACTCGACGAAGAAATAAACGAATGGCAATACTACATTCATTATGACGGTTGGAACAAAAAGTATCTACTTTTCTTCTAAATGTTCGTTTGAGAAATGCAAATTTATTGTTGACTAGATGGGACACCTGGGCGCAAGCAGATGTGTTGCAAAAACGAACGGAGAAGACTGAAGAATTGTTCAATAAAATGAACGTGGCAACGTAAGATAATGTTCAAGCGATTTCTAATGTTTTTCTTTTGTAAATTTATTCAGGAAGAAAAGTGATTCACGTAAATCTAGTGGAAGTAAATCAAACAATAAGCGTTCGACGATCACTCAAAGTGATATCGCATCTCAAATGCAATTGAGCGCAGCTGATGACAGTCATGATTCGAATTCAACAAGTACAACATCAAGTAACTGCAATTGATATTTGAATATGATCGACGAGAATCTTTCGTTCGTTGTATAGAAGAAAATAATAAACGAGCAAGAAAACGACAACGTACCGATTCAATTGAAAAATTGAAAACCTTTGAAAATAAAGTTGTGATTGAAATTAAACTACCCGATGAAATTAAAAATTATCTTTCACATGATTGGAATTTGATCAATAATGAACATAAAGTAAAAAGAAGGACGACACTTTCATCAGTTCAACATGATATATTCTTTCGATATTCTAGCTTTTGACAATTCCTTGTCAACCATCAGTCGAAGAGATTACAAATCTCTATCGACAATCAAAAGCAAACAAACAAAAAGCAGCTGAAGCGTACGAGATCTTCTCGACAAATGAAAACAACCAACGAATGACTTCATTTTTTCATTTCAGTGAACATACAATCCATTTCTCTGAAAGTATTATCACTTACTTTGATACAGCATTATCAACAATGTTATTATATGCAGTCGAGAGGCCTCAATACAAACAAGTAAACGATATCTATGCTTAATCACTGAATCTAAACCGAGTTCTTCATTTTTAGTTACAAGAAAGTCATGGAATTGGTGACAAAGCACAACCATCGACAATATATGGCATCATTCATCTTTTGCGTTTGATGAGTATGTGAATAAACTTGCAGTTGAGAATCGAAGAGAGATGAAAACTTTCCTGTAGGTCAATTAGGATCGATCTTAGCATATTCGCCACTTGAACAAACCGAAGTCGATTTCTTACTTGGTCATATTGATGATTTTAATCGGTAAGATCTTTTTCAGAATGAATTTCTAAAACGAAGATGTATTTGTAGGTTTCTGGAGAAAAACATTAAGAGTTGGACCAATGATGATGACTATCAAAGCAATTCAGTTAGTCAAACTGAATAAAATAAATGACGTTAATGACTTGTAATCCGTTTTCTATTCGTTAACATTTGTGTCTCGTTTGTCTGCATATCGTGTACAGTTTTGTTGCTCCGATAAATCGGAAGAAGAAAAAGATTAGAGATGTATTTGGAGTGTGTATTTGTGAATGTGTCTATATCAATGTATGTGTGTGTATATGTACAAAAAAAAAAAGATTTGATTTGTGTAATAGAACACAATATATCGCGTAGAAAATGCTGATTTTTATCTTGATTCAAAATAATTGACTATGAAACTATGTGGTCGATCACTTTGTTGCAGTATAATCAAAGAGAAACAGAGCTTAGCGAAGTTTCAATCGAATGTTGGTTTACTAGAGAAGACTTTCGATCAACAAACATGTGACTAAGATTGTATGATTTGCGGAATGCCATTTTAATCGGAAAATTATAATGGCGAAAATCATTTCGTAAACATCAATTGTTCGTTGTAATAGTTGTTGACATTAGCGTGGATTTATAGCTATGATAATTATGATCGTCGACGCCGAGTAAATATTCTGTATAGTAAGAATGGTCTTATAATCGTTTAACATCATGTCCTACACATATATGTCGCTCAGAGTGACATTCATATCGAGTTATAGTTGTAGTATAATTTGCATCGTATGGCGCCTATTCAAGTTTGATAGAGAATTAGTAAACAATAGATGGTAGAATTTCGAAGACGAGCTGTCGGCTTTTATCATACGTGAACGCTACTCATCGATGTTATAAGCATTGACAAAATCGGTTTATCAGTCTTCAGCTATGGACAATCTACGCAACAGCTACAACGTCAGAATCAGTGCTGGTAATACAATCATTTTAATTGACTAACCAGAATGGAATATGTCAAAGGACCCATCTCGTCAATTTACTTTCCATTCGAGCATATCGCAGCTTCGGACTCGAGACGAAACGATAGCCAATTGAATTCTCTTATTAGCACATCCTTTTCCGTATATGAAACATTGGCAAATATCAGCTAGAATAAATAACAATGAAAATCTTCTTTGATTCGTACTTTACTTTATCATCCAACAAACATTCAACAGAGAGAGAATTCCGACGATTGCTGCGTCCATTCTTGAACTTATTAATAATACTATTGTCTATTGTTCGTAACGATGTGATGAAAAGCATGCATATAGATATTGCAGTCGTTTATTCATAAACTATGATAATTGCTGACAAAAACAGTCTATTGCTCTATCATTCAGCAAAAAACACTAATGAAGCGTTCACAAAAGAAATGAGTCCTCTCATTACGACATTTCATTGCATCTTAGTAGGAAAACGTCTTTTCGTAGAGAAATATTTGTTTATTTTCTTAGCGCATCTGCATGTCAGGCATATCAATGTTTTATTGATCCGACAAATCACAATGAATATGTAGTTGGGTACACAGCTTAAATCTGTATCACTAAATGTAAATGTACGTGCGTGTATGTGTGCACAAAAGATTTAAGTTGTATAATGAAACACAGTACATGACATAGGAATTGTTTTCTTCTCTGTTTCTGTTTCGTTCTTCTTCTTTTACTTGAACCAAGTTCAAATTGAGGTCATCAATGTAGTATACATGGAACTTTCCCTGTTCCTTTTTTTTCTCTCGTTTTTTTTTTCTCCTTCGTTCGTTACGTTCATATTTCTATAATGGATGAACGAACAAAAAGAAAGAGGAAAAAAGGCGAGAAAGAGAAGAGACCTATGTAGACGCATTATTACTATTACTTTCGAGAAGAAAAATAGCTAAGTCTAATCGCTAGATAAAGTCTTGCTAGACTTATGCTCTATTTCTTCTGCTTCCTTCTTAGTTGTCAACAAGTCAGTTTCTTTTTTTCATTTTCTCGCGTACAAATCAATAGCGTCGACGAAGAAATCGATGTAGCCAGAAGTGACATTATTCTCTCCTGTGCAAATATTGACTGACGTAAGTTTTGTCTGTTTACTGAACAATACAATAACAAGTCAGATGCATAGACCAAAATATCCAGCAGACTTGCTGCCTAAAGTGATCTATTATCTGATGATTGCTTGATTTGTTATTGCACTGACAATATATGCTCTGACTGACATGCACATTTACTATTTAATTCCCTATGGTAATAAAACAGCAGAGACCTACTCTTTGTTTTGTTTTCTTAATCCTCTGCAATTGATATTATTCTTGTCAGTGAAGACATGCTTTCGTTATTTATCGAACCGAGCACAAACATTTGTTTTTGCTCGAATTGAAAAAAAAAAGACTCGGTAGTAAAATAGGTAAGACAATCGATAGACGAGCACGTTATATAATGCAACTATTTTATTTCTGTTTTGCCATTTGTCGTTTTATATTGCTAGAAGTTAGAATTGAATGTCATTTGCATTTATCTTATAACTTTCTCGATACATCTATTCATATATAAACTTATCGAAAATAGCTATTCAGTCGGTCGTCTTAATGTGATATATATAAGATGATTGTAGTCGTCGATTCTATCACCTCGTCGTCTATAACTATTTAAATTCTTTCTTCTTTTTGTTTTGCGTTCTTTTCTCGCTTCATTTCTTGCCTGCCCTACTCTCAAAGAAAAATTTAAAAGTCACCCATTTTCACTCTTTATGATACTTTAGACGTTTGAATTTGCTTAAAACAGAAGAAAGAATGAATCATTGTGTTCGATTATTATTATTATTCACTCCATCGTTAGCTGCTCTCGGCTTACTTGGAATAGCATTCGCTACCAACTGGTGGACTATTGCATTAGAAAAAGTAAGCAATTCGCTTAGCTCACGATTGACTTCTGCATGGTAAACATGTCTTCATCTTTCAGAATATTCCCAAAGATAGTTCGTTTAATTCTCCAAGTGACGACCGCACTCAATCGATCTTAATTCGTGTACCCGTCTCACGTGGCCTATTTTCGGAGTGCAGTGCATATCGTAATGTCAAAGTGCTCGTTTCGGATACGTTTGACTTTCGTCCAAACTTCACTCTGATCGAAATTGACAAATTAGAACAAGAAAACTGCACAACTGAACAATTTCAATGTGTAACAGGCGTGGCTATCGCCCGTCCAGTAACACGCTGTATCGATAATCAACGTCGATGTAATCGTATCGTTGATTGCGAAGATAAAAGTGATGAAACCAATTGTTCTGGTACGAATGCTGTGCATGATCACGAATTCTTTCAATGTCCAACGGGTTATATGAAATGTCAAGATAAGAAATCGTGCTATCGACCTAATGAACAAACATGTGGTACGAGACATAATTGAATCAGAAGAATATTGAATGATTTCTATGCACGAGTTTGCTTTTTCTAGATGGCGTTTCGAATTGTATTGATGATTCAGATGAAATGAATTGTAATGCAGAGAAATGTCAACAAAACAAACATGTCTTCTGTCCTCGAGATGGTAAATGTGCCCGACGAGATAATTCGAAACGGTATAATTCAATAAGAATTCATTATTAATATTCAAATGTTTCCTATTTTCAAAGATGTGATGGTATTGTCGATTGTGCCGATCATTCAGACGAAGACAACTGTCAACGCTGTAATGGAGATCTATCGATTATTTCATGTGATTCAAAATGTAAATTATACACCGCAAAATAGAATTTCCAGCTGATATGTTCTTTTTTGCAGGTTTTCGCAGTGACTATCGATGTGACGATATAGTTCATTGTTCAAATTTTCAGGACGAACTTGGTTGTGATGATTATACAACAAGCACATCAGCACGACATAAGAAATTTTTGCACAGTGATCTATCGTGTATGGAACAACGTTTTAACCCATTTCGTATACATCCACCAACTATTTCGAACGCATCATTAAAATCCTATTCGGAACCACAGCAACGCGTCGAATATTTAAATACAGTTTTCTATCTCCAATTAGTCGTTTTCTATGGTATCGTTGGCGGGTTGATCTTTCTTTTATTGGCAGTCGTATCATTATTCTTCTTTGGTTGTTGCCGCCGACATTGTATTGGTGTGCCGTTCTTCTTCTATGGCTTATGGATGTTTTTAGCATGGGTGTTGATCATGATTGGGTTGGGCACGTTTGCCGCCATGTGGTTTTGGCAAAAGCAAACTGTTTTAGATGCAGGAAAGAGTTTACCAAGCGAAATCATGATCCATGAAAGAAATCCGACCTTACGACATATCGAATTCTTCGGTTTAAGCTTTTGGTTAGCATGCGGCGCGGCACTGTCAACATTTATTGGATTGCTATTGTCATGTTGTGTTTGTTGTACACTTGGTTCATCACGTGCCGACGATAAAGAATATGAAATCATGCATATGCATGCGTACTAAGTAGACACAAATGAAATCTAGTTATTGATGTTGTTCTTTTATTTGTTATGTAGAATTTGTCATTGTCTATCGAAGCTCAATCTCACCGCGTTTCTCTTCTCTACTTCTTTTTTTTAAATTTCTAGTCAAATATGTTTGTGTATTGCTCTTTTATCCATTTAAAATCATTGTATTCTATGTATAGGTATATTATTCCAACTTTATTAATGATTAGTGATCAGAAAAACAAAAGAATTTTTACTGTCTTATAACAAAGAAAAATATATAGATAATAAAATTTGCTTCTTTAAAATAGAAAGAAAAACAAGTCTCCGTCTTTGAGCCCATGGGTAGATTCACCGAAAGTCAATGTCACCTCGTGCATTCTACGAGCATAAATTACTCATTTTTTTCTCAAAGATAAAAAAGAAATCTTCCAAATGACTATTTCGGAATCTTTTATGCGATGAAATTTAACTACGTAAATCGCAGTCTATGGTTAGCAACGAAACGAATGACAATGAACGATCTAATTACTGTTTATGTTAATACATCTTTTTTTCCTTCGACTAATAAATATGAACAGAAGAATGTATGAATGAATGTGTCTTTTTTTATTCTTCTTGCATTTTAATATTTATGACGAAATTTAAAGTAACGACGTAGAAACGAAGGGACGCTTGAGATAAGTGCAAGTAAAATATTCATCAAACAAAATGTTACCTAGAAATTAATTAAGGTAATAAGATGAGATTATTTTTAACCTGCCCATACGCTCTGTCACTTGATCAAAACCAGAATCGTGGCTCAGCCACATTCAAAACTGGAGTAGAAGAACATTGAAAGAAAAGAATTTGATTTCATCGAAGTTTTGATGAAAAATAAATAAATGTATTATAAGATAAATATATTCCGGATAGTTCATGTAAATTGTTTCTCTCGGAAACAGAAAACAAATCACAAAAATAAGAAAGTTTATACAAGAGAATTTCTTGTGCGATTCAATTTCAATGAAAGACACAAATGCCTGCATGAGAAGAATATTTCGTCTGTGCTGTATAAAGTTCGGTTTGTTTCATAGAATAGTACAGACTTTGGTCGACTGTTGTTGAGCATTGTTATTTGTTGGTCGATGTTGTTGTTGTTGTTGTGCTCGGTTTAGATTTCGTTTGGTTTTGGTTGTTGTTCCTCCATAGGAAACACTGATTGGTTTACCAAATGAGCTTCTTCGTCCGCCACCGGGTTCTGCACTGACCGACATAGAACGACCCCATGATGCTGATAGATCTTCGTTGACTGTTTTATCATAGAAATCATCACGTTCGATTGGATTTGATTGTTTTTGCAAACGGTGGAGAATAATTCGATATGTGCCGTTAATACTATCACGGTTGGAAAGAAATTTATTATTGGAATTCTTAGTCGTTTTTTGTAACAGTTCGCTTGTTATACCTAAATCTTCTAATTTCGAATGAGCTTCATATTCAAATGAGGATGTTTTAGGTAAATTATTCGTAGTACCGTTGGTAGTTTCAGTGTTAGTCAAATCTTTATTTACAGATGTCCAGTAGTTCGTTAGGTTCAATGGTAATGGTTCGAGTTCGTTCGGAAAATTTTGATTTGTAAGCCATGCACATGAGCGAATCTGTTCGATCGACCAGCGTTGAACAGCTTCAGGATGAAGAAGGCCGCCTACATAGAACAAATCAAGAGAACATGTCAAATATGCACAGATGTTTTTCATGTTAGTCTAATTCTTTGTTGATTAAAAGTTTTTCTAGGCAACAATAAAAGAATCGAGGTTAGATCTTTTCCTATCTTGGTTAATTATTTTTAGTAACAATTACAGAATCAGTCTCATTCGTTATGACAAGACTATGGTTAGAATGTCATATCTATGTTTTATATACCTGTTTAAGAGCATTCTTTTAACTATAATATGAACACAAGCTAACATTTCGATGAAATCCATCTCAGACAGGAAAAGCTTTCTTTTATGTGAATTTAATACTTCTCGAGACTATTCTCATTATAAGTAGGACTTGTTTTTTTCCTGATATACTTACGAATTAGTTGTTGACATTCATTTGACACATGTGCTGGAATGGAATAATGTCCATCAATAATCGATTTCTTCAATTTTCCCACATTTTCAGCTCGGAAAGGCATTAAACCGGTCACCATAAAATACAAGAGAATACCCATAGCCCAAAAATCAACATAAATTCCAATATAATTCTCGTCACGGAATAACTCCGGTGCAGCGTAAGGTGGACTACCACAAAATGTAGTCAATGTCTGATTCTTTTCCGAATATGTACTAAAACCGAAATCACCTAATTTGATCAAGCGTTCTTTAGCAAAGAAGACATTTTCACTTTTGATATCACGATGAATAATACCTTTACTATGCTAAAATATTCAATCCCTGATCCTTTTCGTGATAATTCCAAAAGAAATGTTACCATATGATCAATAGCCGCTGTCAATTGAGCGAAAAGAGACTTTGCTTCATCTTCAGCGAATTTTCCTGCTTTTGATATTCGAGTATAGAGTTCACCACCAGGTGCATATTCAGTAACGATGTAAATCTCTGTCGGTGTTTCAATGACTTCATATAACCGGATTATATTTGGATGATGTAAACGTTCCATTGATGTTATTTCACGTAAGAGTAACCGTTGAGTGCGTTCATCGAGTTTAGTTTTATCAAGAATTTTTATTGCAACTTTTTCTAGTAAACAAAAAAAGAACACGTCTTTTTTAAGGGCATATATCATAATGGATTTAAAGCTTGTCTATGTAACACCTTGATGAGAGTCATTCATAGAAATTATCCTTAATCAATTATGAGTAGATAAGCATTGGAACGAAGAATATCTCTTACTTGATGAATAGACTGATTTACAAGAGTATCTACTTGTCTGATAGAGTCAACATCCTGCTTGTCAACACGAAGCTAACTGAATTGATAAGGTCAAAGTTTCTCTCTCTCTTTCGGCTAATGATCTAGACGTCAAGGAAAAGAAAAAAAAAGAAAGAAAATTACCTTTAGCAAGTAAATGTACACCTAGTTTAACACGAGAAAAATTTCCTAAACCAATATCACCACGAATACGATAAAATCCAATTCGTCGACCGGCCTTCTCCTCCGCTTTGAATCGCATATCATGTTGAGAATCGTAGAGAAGTTTTTCATACGCTGTCAAACGTTTCTTTTCGTCTTTGGCAAACGCAACTGTTACAGCTGCTGCTGATGGTACGCTGTTTGACGACGAGAATTCATCATTCATAATTATATCATTTCGAGCAGCTCTATGACTTTGGACGGGAACAGACACTGAATTCACATGATGACGGGTTTGACTTAGTGATGTTCGTCGCGATGAATTATTGGTTTCGGCAATTGAATTTGTTCTCGTAGGTGTACTAGCTCTATTCTCCGCTGTGTTCATTTGTTAGAAAATGACTTTATAGGTTCGCGATAATTTACATCTAAAAAAAGAGGAAAATAAACTAATAAATTTGTCACGACAAAATTATTAAACTGTTGACAGACATGATAAAAATAAGAGCAAGGAAACAGTAGAGAGAAAGAGAAAGAGACAAAAAACCTCAGTTTTCTAGCCAATGCATGCTGGTATTTCGAAGAAAATGTTAACAAATGAGTGTGCATTATCTAACATCTATCTGTTGTGGAAAAAGAAAAAAATTCTAGTCAAGAAAGTGAAGATAATAAGAAACTAATTTGATCTCAAATAAGAGCGATGAGAGATTTTCTCAAGCTGCCAATCTTCAGATAGCTGGACGAGGAAAAGAAAGCGTTAGTTCGAAGAAAGTAGAAGAGAACTTTAATGAAAAAAACATTGTGTGATTATACCAAAAGAGCTTTTCAAGCAGACATACTTCTTTCGTTCTCTCTTTTCAGATAATATCTTGTTTTGATCCTCTGGTTGAGACATCTGCTTCGCATTGAGAAAGCCAGATTAACAATTCTTCATTCTTACAACTATTTCATAAAAACCCAACGAGGAGAACGAGAAGAAGAAGAAGAAGAACAAGGAGGAGGAAAAAAGGCCAACAGAGTACCTGAAGAGTAATAAAAAGAAAATAAAAACGTCAAGAAAGGAAGATTATTCGAGTTTTATTCATTCGATCAAACAGGTAATTGAAAATGTTTTGAAAAGAAAGCACTATCGACAGAACAGACGAACAAATACTCTTAAACATGCTTGATTGAATATAATGATGTAAACATGTGTAGACATAGTAAGCGATATATATGTAGACGTACGAGCACTTGAAAACGAGAAGCGCAAGTTAACAGACAACAGTCGTCGATTCCATTTTCATTCGAAGGCGAAGCACAAGGGAAAACGACCAATTCTGCTTTATGTTTTCTCTTCTCGTGTTACGTGACTCAGTTTTTCTTCTTTGAGACGTATTTATAACAAACAACGTATTATGCTATCTATGCAGGCAAACTGCCATCCACATTGACGAGGAAAAAGTAGCAGTCGAGGAAATTCCTCATACATTTTTCTCTTCCTCTTAAACGGCCCATGTCACCATAGGTGAAACCTTTCTTGACTATTACTTAGCAACTTGATTTTCACCAAAGTGCATAGATGCGTTGACTTGCTCAATGCACTTTGTTGTTAATCGATATAAAATCTGTATAAATGAGAAATTTTAATTTTGGTTTTATGTAAAATTTGAAATGGCATAAAAAAGATTTTTTTCGAGAAATGTTGAATTGAGAGAATCAACTACGAATGATGAATCACGGAACGATTGAATTATTGTTTATTATTTATTTTCTAGTTTCTATTCTGAATAAACACAGTTTTAGTTCTAGAGAATTTCATATTCGAGAGCTGAATTGGAAGAAAAAATCAATTTCAATGTTTTTCTAGATCAGTATATTAAACAATGAAACGTAATCGATTTGTCTCATCATCACGACGAAAGGCCCGTAAACGTTACTTTACGGCTCCATCACACATTCGCCGTCGTTTCATGAGCGCACCACTAAATAAAGAATTACGTCGACGATACAATGTTCGTAGTTTACCAATTCGTAAAGATGATGAAGTGGCGGTACGTAATTCGAAAGACAAGCAAAAAATCTCTCGAAAACGTGCTCTTTTCTCGTTCAATTAGATTACACGTGGTCATTTCAAAGGTCAACCATCAGGTAAAGTAACTCAAGTCTATCGTAAGAAATTCGTCGTTCACGTCGAACGAATTACACGTGAAAAAGCCAATGGTAATACTGTTCATATTGGTATTCATCCATCAAAGGTAAAACATGACGGTTTTTCGTATGGTTTAAAATACGTGATTGACTTATTTAGGTTCAAATCACCAAATTGAAATTAGATCGTGATCGTAAACGCATTTTGGATCGCCGTTCGAAATCAAAATTGGCTGCCAAAGGCAAACATACCGAAGAAAGCATTCAACAAACATCCGCACCAATGGAAACATCATCTTAAACAAAGGAAATTGATCGAATGCTATTCTAGTTGTTTGTTTTTTTTTCTTTTGTTTTGTGTTTGTATGTGCGAATTCAAACCAACGGGACAAATAGCACAACAAAAAGAAAAAAAGAAGAAAAAGTTAATTATTAATAAAAACCATCAACAGAAATAAACGCACAACTTTCGTTTCCCTATTTTAATCATCTCCTGTGGGCTAAAGTACACTGATTTGATGCTTTTTGAGCTCCAACTTCGATCTCCGACGACATTAAATGATACAATCAGTTTCGTAAAAGTGAAAAGTCATTAACGAGAAGGTGTTCGTACATCGAATTTCTTACAGGGATATTTAATTGAGAATGATATCATGAAGAAGGTGGTACAATATTTGATTCTATCTTTATTATTCTCTCTGGCCAAGTTTGTATCGATATGCATGAATAGATCAATAATATCTTGCAAAAAGTTCGATATTCAGTCGCTTCGTTTCATCTGAGGACTTCTTCCTATGATTCTACTCGTGTCGCCCTCTATTGTTAGCTCATTTCTCTATTGGCTTTAAGTTCGAAAGATCTCGATAAACAAAAGAGAAGGAAAATAAGAAACAACAAATGAATTCTTGTTCTTCTCACTTTCTATTCCTATACCTGACGTAGAAACATAACAAATCTCACTTTTAGTTTTTTTTTAATTCATAGATCATCATGATGTTCTTCTTATTCGTGATCATTCCTTCCCTCACACTGAATTCCGTACTCGCCTCTCCAGTTCTTCTTTGGAGTAATGCGTAAGTTGAGTTAATTAACTTTCTTCCAAATCAACTAATGACTTGTTGCCGATTAGAAATCTTCCTCAATCGTCTGTTTCTCTTTCGACTGTTCCTTCGATTGATATCATTTCCAACTATATTTGTCAACTTTCCAATGAACAAATTCAAGTTCGTTTATTTGCAGTTAATGATGTAAGTCAAACAAATAGATAAGAACGAAAAATATGATATGGCGTTTTTTTCTCTCTTCTAGTTAACTAATGAAGATATTCAACGGGGTTTACAAAGTCAACATTCAGTTTTAGTCAATGCTAGAGTAATACAAACTATGCCACCATTAAGTCTAAACTGATGTGTTTGTTGGTTTAGAAAGCATCAAATGGATATCGATATTTTCCAAACGTTGCCGATGATGCCTATAAAACCTTTTCATTACTTCCTCAATCGAACAATATGAAATGTGCGCACATTCATTTTCAACAAGTTCAATCGACAACCTACGGAACATTACACGATGGTTTGTTGAAATACTCAGTGAAGTTCTTATCACTATGTTGACTATTTTCAGCGTTGAATGCAATTCAAGCGTCGGTCGACACTGTTGGAGCAGATTCTAAAGAAACTGTAGTTTTGGCCTTGACTGGAACTCCAGTCGTCGCTCGTCAACGTTCGGTACGAAGCATTGAAGAGAAAAGCAACAAATTGTATACTTTCATTCAATAGGCTCGTTTACGTCGCGATATCGCAGTTGATGAAGTAGATGTGCTTACCTCCGATGACGAAACTTGCATGTTTTATGCCAATAAATTATGCTGGGGAGATGCATATGCTTGTGATAATTCCGATGGAAATTTCACTCTCGATATAGACGCTAGTTCATGTACGAAGTCTGAAAACGGAACTTCAGCTGTGTAAGTCGATTTTTTTCTAGAAAGGATGACATGTATTGGGTGGAAACTTTTCTACATTTAGTCTCGAACTACATTGGAATAACGGAACAAGTGATACAGTCGTAATGACGTGTGTATTCCGTTTTCGAGTCAGTTCAAAACAAATCTTGTCGTTCTATGTTCTAGTTTGATTGCCAATATTACCGGTCGATATTGGTATTTGGAAAAAGCAATTATCAACGATACTGAATATCGTTATTTTGCCTACGGCATGCACAGTAAAATGGACACTCCGCCTGCATACTCCTATGTGTGTAAAACAGCTACTTTCATCAAATATGATCCAAATACGAAATATGGCACATACGATTTTACTGATAGATTCTATTTGGCGAACTTACAGGTAGATTAGAATCGAGTCAAAGTTTGCGTAATATGTTTTGCTTTTTCGATTTAAAGTTTCAACCATTTCATGGCAATGGTACATTCTTTGGTCCGCCAAATTATTGTACTTCGTTCTTCACCAGCGGTATTTGGATGGGTATTACCTCCAGTTTACTGTGTTTAGGAATTCTTTTATTCGGTGTCTATCGCATGATGAGTATTAAATCGAACGATCAATTCGATGATCCAAAAGGCAAACCGTTAATAATCAAAGCCCAAGAATAAACCAGTTTTTCCCTTCCCTTTTCGTCTTTTATTTATTGTGCAATAGATATTAATTAAATCATTTATTTTTCATTGTTGTCTTGTGATGATTATTGTGTAACGAGAAGAACAATCGGTGTTTTTATTTTCTGTATTTTTGTTCCTTTGCAATACTCGACAAAATAAGAATATTTATCTGTTTGTGACAAATTCCTTTTAGATTGAAAGAGAGAGGGAGAGAGACAAAATCAAATGCAGATTCGGCTGGTGATTGGGAATATTGATACGACGGATTCAATTGTCATTGAAGACAAGTCATTCTCAGCATGGATTATTGATTATTATTTCACACAGATCGATTCGACAGAAAAGAATGTTATCGGATTTGATGACATGGTGGATATTTCTGGAAAATTGGCGAAACCTTCGTATTCAATGGTGGAATTATGTCAGAAGAAACTGAAAAAAATTGAAAGCGATTGCGTATTAGAAGATTATCGAAAATATTTGAATCATTGTGAATTAAATGATATTATTGATATTTTTCTTCAATGTCAATTCGAATCGGCGGAAAAAGCCATTCTTTTATCAATCGATAGTTTCCGAAATGAAATCGATCAATTACTATTCGAATATTTAGTAAAGAATTCGTCGGTAACATGTGATATCTATGATGAAAAAAGCAAGACATTTCTCAATGAAACCAAAGAAAATCTAATCAAATTGATTAAGGAATCAAAAACTTTCCATCAACAAACGAATCCTCAAGTGAGTATTTTCTTCGGCAGTTTTTCTCGAAAAACATGAGTGATTCGTTTTTGCAGAATGTGTTAAAACATACAATCTGTTCGTATTTATCATTGGCAATGAACACTCGCAATGAGCATGCACTCATTCATTGTCTTCGTGCATCTCCAAAAATTGGATTAGATCAAAGTATGATCAAGAAGTTGATAAATTTACCATGTTCTGAGCACGTTACACTGTACGAGTCTCTTCATGCATTTCATTTGGAAAATTGTGATGCGTCAGCAGAACCAATTCGTCCACTGAAGGAATTTTTCGATTTAATTAAACAAGTGCACAATAAATGTGTGAACGCGGAAGCCGAGTAAGAGAATCCGCTCTATTTACCTAAATCAAACAAATATTCATGTGATTTTAGACGAACTTTAAGTCAAGTATTGAATTCGATTGGAAAATACTTAGACGTACAAGATAATCGGCTCTTAACAGATATTTTTGAAGAATTCTCTCAATGCTTTCAAACAATGCTCTCGCTTGTAAAGTCACCATTATCATCAAGTCAGGTAAGTTCTCGATGATCATCGGAAGTCATTCTTATTTCTCTTCTCTTACAGTCTGCATCGTCAACCGCTCGTTGCTTCCGTCGATCTATCATTTATCTTTGTGCGAAACAAGCACTTGTTCAAACGAAATCTACGATGAACGTTCCTGGAGAAATTTCATCCCCACGGCACATAGGAAAGCGCCTCATTCGAGAAAGTCGTGCTTTACCAACAATCTACGAAACAGACGAGAAAATAAATACCAAACGACAACCATTACAAATGCTCGATGTGAATTCATTCCCTCATACGGATGAACGAGAACTTCCATGTGAAAATTCAATCGTATGGAAATTCGTCAGTGATGGTGATAAAGAAAACTTGCCAATGTTAACGCGAAAACGACGAATGAATTCCACGAAAGCGGAACAATCGAATAAAAAACAGAAGAAAATCGATATTTAATTCTTTCCAAAACAATGTGATTCCTAGTGTGTGAAGTTTTCCAATCAATGAGATTATTTATCGACATAGAATTCTTTCCTTTCGATGTTTTTCTAATTTTTTTTGTTACTGTTAGACATGATATATTTGAAAATGTCAGATATAGATTTAGATCAATGCGAAATGATGTATGTTCAATTGAATATGCTCGATGTTATTGTTGCATACTTAGGCAATTTATTCAATTCGAAATGTTTTTTCTTATGAGAAAAAGATAGAAGATTTTTTCCATTTGTCCTTTCATATGTACGTCGATGTTATTTTTTGACATGTTCTAAACAATAAAAATACTAGTGTTAGTCGGCTGCAATTCATTTTCGGTCATGGTTTATATTCTAGTGGAATGTGTTTCGTGCTCACGAAATTTCTTCTGTTAACTTCGATCGAATCAATAACACACTTGCAATCTTTCCATGCTATGTTCATTTCACAAAGAAACATAACTCGTTATAGATAGAATCGGTTTTGATCCATTGTCGGATGAAGTTGGGCAACATGAACAAAGCGCAAACATTAAACAAATAAACAACCATCTACCTGCTAAGTTTGTATTACCGAGATCTTTTGTTTTCTCTATATTTATTTTTTAATTGCACATATATGGCTAAGGATTGATTTTTGTTGTAATGGTAGAGTTGCTACATTCGATAAGATTGAATGATGAATCACTCAACGCTATGAACGGCGTTGCTATTGAACTACTCAGAATATTGCTACTATATAGATAAGATAAATAGCAAAGTGCAGCACAGAATGTAAAATCGAAAAAACATGTAACAGGACAATAAACCATTCATCACTGGATATATAGAAACAAAACTTTTGGTGGAAACACGGACTACTTGAATGCCTTGAGCGAGCACGCATCGGAAAACAAGTCGACTGATACAACCGAAACGGTTGGTGTCGATTTTAATAACTGATAAATCATATTTACTATTAAGGAAGGAAATCAAATAATTTAGATTTTATACGAATAGTTTGGGTGATGTTAAACACCAGTATGTACTTTGCGTAGTGTATGAATTTATCTCCAGATAGAAAATATTAAACATAAAGTACTTACCCAAGAAATAAGGCGTTTGATGGAATTACTGCTAATGATTCCCGTGTTTGATTCTTTCAATTTTCTGGAATTTCGCAGCGCAGATGAACTATGTTTCTACATCGTTTACTTTTCCACAAAAATCTTCAGCGATCACGAGCGCCAACTGCCGACATGAGTCTTTTCCTTTCTTCTCTTACATAGCCATTCACATACCCAATACACTAAAGTTTCACTTCACTTCACTACCTTAACTTAACTGTGTTTGTGACTAAGTGCAAGCACACCCTTTTCACTCAGATAACATATCATGCGCTCCCGTCTTCTAGCAGCCCACTCTCTTACATATCCATTTTTATACATGTACTTATTCTGTGCCACATAATCTCTTCCTCTTCGTCCTCGATCACCACCGATCAAAATGGAAAAAAGAGGAGGGAAATCTTGTAAAAGCATTACAGAAAGTCGATTTTATGACGCAGATTTGATGATTATTCAAACAGACAACAACTTTGAAGTGATAAATGGTCGATAAGTAAGTGGTACATTTAATTCGCCATGAAGTTTCCTTCCAAACATTTGCACATGATTTGGTCATCAGCATTTAACAATGATTTTTCTCCACTGATCATGATCGCTGTACACTAGATCATAGTTCTAGATTTACTCCTTGTTTACTCTAGCAAATCCAACACACTCAACATCATGTCGAACAGACTCGTTTATGTTAATTTCAAGTTCAGAACTCTCTTCATTCTCAGACAACAAATACCATGCATCTCATCCACATCACCCTTCTCCACTCATCCAAGAAACATCGATCCCGGTCAACAGATGAAGTTACTCAATGACAAAAAGCAGTTCAAACAAACCATTGAGTTGTTCGAGAGAGAAACGAAGAAGAACAAGGAACAACTGTCCAGTTTCATCATCGATCAGGCGTTGAAAGCATGTGTACAAGTGCATGACTTTCGACGTGGAAAAGATATTCATCAGTTGGTTCAACATCGATTATCAGCTGATTCTTCGTTAGTGAAATCTCTCATTCACTTCTACAGTATGTTCATTGCGAATGAGATGACGTTATCTTCAATGGTGTTTCGTCGTAGTGCAATGTCATGATATGAACACAGCTGAATCTCTATTCCACATGTCGACAAACAAAACGGTGTATATTTGTAGTGTGATGATGAAGGGTTCGAAGTTTTGATCGATGTTGTAGTGAAGGATCTGCGAGATGTGTTTTTATTGTGTTTAGGATACATTGAAAATGGGAAACCAGAGAAAGCGATTGAAGTTTTCAAAGGAATAGATAAACCTGATGCAGTTCTGATCACATTGTTGTTCAAAGCTTGTGCTCAAGTACCATCAGAGGAATCGTTGAACTTCGTGAAAAACATCTGGAAGAAGTATCAAAACACATCTACTCTCAATTCATACGCTTTGACATCTTTAATCAATGCTTTAATGACACACAGAGATCTTAGCAGCGCAGAAAACATATTTAACGAACAATTAAACAAAGGACTGTCAATGTGTGGAGCAATGATGAAAGGTGTCTGTCTTTTCTCTTCGTTTTTCTGAATAGTTTTGTTGACAACTACTGCTGTTGTAGGATACATAGATAACGAGATGCCACAGAAAGCGATTAATCTTTTTCAACAGGTAGAAAATCCCAATGAAATTCTTATCGTACTTCTGTTCAATGCGTGTGCTCGACTACCCTCAAAACAATCGTTGAATTTAGTCAAGAATACCTGGGAACAGTCTCAAGTTAAATCTCTTCATAACGATAATGTATTAACTTCTGTGATCGATGCGTTGATGAAATGCGGAGATATCAAGAGTGCGGAAACTGCTTTTGATACATCATTAAACAAGTCGGTATATATGTATGGTGCAATGATGAAAGGTATGTTTTCCCATCAATCGCTTCACACGATTTTCCTAGATGCAATTGTGTTGGTAGGGTATATAAAAAATGAAATGCCAGAGAAAGCGATCGATCTTTTCAAACAAATCACACGTCTTGATGCAGTTCTCGTCACACTGTTGTTCAAGGCTTGTGCTCAAACACCATCAAAGGAATCGTTGAACTTCGTGAAAAACATCTGGAAGAAGTACCTAAACACGTCTCTTCTCAATCCCCATGCATTTAGCTCTCTAATCAGTGCTTTAATGAAACATAGTGATGTGAAGAGTGCAGAAAATGTGTTTCACCAACGATCGAACAAAACCCTATCAATGTACGGTGCGATGATGAAAGGTATTCATTTCGTTCATTTCTCCGGATAATCTGTAAATATTACTATTCGTGTAGGATACATAGATAATGAGGTGCCACAGAAAGCGATTGATCTTTTCCGACAGGTGGACAATCCTAATGAAATTCTCATTCTACTACTATTTAATGCATGTGCTCAACTAACCTCAGAACAATCGTTGAATTTAGTCAAGAACGTCTGGGAGCAATCTCAACGCAGATCTCTTCTTAGCGACAATTTATTAACTTCTGTAATCGATGCTCTCGTGAAATGCGGAGATGTTAGGAGTGCGGAAGTCGTTTTCGATGATTCACCAAACAAATCGATATCGATGTATGGAGCGATGATGAATGGTATGCTTCCCCATCAGTTTATCCGTATGATTTTTGAATGCTGTCGCCTCTGTAGGATACATCAAGAATGATATGTCGAAGAAAGCGATTGATCTTTTCCAACAAATCAAAGATCCGAATGAGGTTACCATAACACTTATGATTCAAGCTCTCATGAAATGCAATAATGTCAAAGACGCAGAAACATTTTTCCACAGATCAACAAACAAATTCGTGCGGATGTACGGAGCAATGATGCAGGGTATTATCTTCGATTAAATTCCTACATAGTGTCACTCGCTCATATTGTCGTTAAAGGGTACATAAACCATGAGATTCCAGAAAAAGCGGTTAATCTTTTCAACCAAGTTAACGAACCTGACGAGATTTTAGTCACACTCCTGTTCAAAGCTTGTGCTCAAATGCCATCAGAACAATCGTTGAACTTAGTCAAAAATGTCTGGGAACAATATAGCACTAAACTTGTCCGTAGCGAAAATACACTAACTTCCCTAATCAATACTCTCATGAAATGTGGCGACGTCAACCATTCAGAAGCCGTTTTCACTGAATCACGGCACAAATCGATATCGATGTACGGAGCAATGATGACAGGTATGCTTTTCTTTTATTGTTTTCATATGAGTCTATCGAGTTCTGACGTCTTGCAGGTTACATTGGGAATGAAATGTCGGAAAAAGCGATTGATCTCTTTAAGCAAATCAATGATCCAAATGAGGTTATCGTCACACTACTCTTCAATGCTTGTGCTCAACTACCCTCACAACAATCGTTGGGCTTGCTCAAAACCGTGTGGAAGAAGTATCAAAACACGTCTCTTCTCGATGATCATGCGCTAACTGCTTTAATCGATGCTTTCATGAGGTTTGGAGATGTTAATGGAGCAGAGACGATCTTCGACAAGTTACCACACAAAGTGTTACCTATGTATGGAGCTATGATGAAAGGTTGTTCATTGTTTTCATCGTGTTCAAGAAACTCATTCGAAACATTTCATTAGGATACCTTCTCAATAAAACACCAAACAAGACTCTTGATCTCTACCATCAAACCAAAAGTAAGCGTTTCATACAAAATATTTTCATTTTGTTCAGTTTCTTCATTCAGACATGAAGGAAACACAGTCAAATTTCGTCATTTATCTACTTGCGATCAATGCATCGGCACAGATTGCCATGGCATCCCAATGTCAGGCTATTGTGGATGACATTCCACTACAGATCATTTCTAATAGCAAAATATCTAACGCTCTCATAGATATGTGGGTAAGTGTTACACGGACAATGAAATATGAATAGTTAAACGTCTTTATTCATGAACCGTTCCTAGGGTAAAGCTGGTTGTGTGCAAAAAGCTGAAGAGGTTTTCGCCAATCTTTCATCGATTGATCAAGTCGGATATGCATCAATGAGTTAGATCTGCTATTGATTTCACCAGCATCACCCTCACGTTCCTCTCGGTCTTTATTTCTTTATTTAGTTCATGTTTATGGCATCAATGGAATGGGTGTGAAAGCACTCCAACTTTTCCATCAGATTCCACGATCGTTGCTTGCCGATTACACTTATGTTTGTGTTCTCAATGCATGTTCGCATGCTGGACTCGTTGATCAAGCTCGCTCGATCTTCACCAGCATCGAATCGAAAACAGAAAAGCATTATGCCGCAACGGTAATTCTCAAATGACATATTCTGCTCAATCTGTCAAAGGTGACTCTGATGCTCGTTTTTCTTTTGAAGATGGATTGTCTAAGTCGAGGATCACTGTTCGATGAAGCACAACAGCTGATCAATCAATATGAACTGCATCATCCACCTTCACCTGTCATGTACAGTAAGTCAGTCGGTAGAAGAGAAATATCTATGAGACGGGTTGTGTTTGAGAATATGGAAACAGTTCTCTTCATGATCGAAATGAATGAGTGAATGAATTGATTTCGTTGTAGTGGCATTACTATCAGCTGCAAGAAATCGAAGAAACAAACAGCTAGTCGAAAGCATTCACCAACGGATGAAGAAGCTCTTTCCTCGCTTACCCGATCTGATCACA